GTTCCTGAGATTAGTGCGTTCAAACAAACAAACTCTTCAGCTTTATATATTAGTATAAGCTTTATCAATCAGAAAATAAGACTATAAAATAATACTAAAAAGTCAAGCATACGAAAACAATACAAATTCATCTACATACATATGTAAATTCAGACACTTAAGACAAATACATCTGCTTAAAACAGGATTTCGCTTTAGATTCAATTATTTTTATGAAAACGGCTATCGAATCCGTCAGATTGATTGATCATCCCTCTTTTACTTATAATAAACCTTAGTCTCCTGATATAGAGATCATACGATAATAAAACAAAGCCTACCGTTGTATTTAAATATTCAATTCGAGGATTTTATTTATAAAGACGACATCTGATAGATGGGCTTTTATCGGCTTTTAAATAACAATTAAAGCTTTATTTGCCTTTTTATTCTAAAAATGTTGACACATAAAGAAAATTTCAGAAATTTTCTTCGAGATAAACCTTTCAGCTTTGCGTAGATGAAAATGAAATAGTTTTAATTGTAGAGCAATAGCTAGCAAAAAGAGAAACTAAGTGAGAATGTTCGTTGCGTATCTAATCACATGGTTTTAAATAAAACACTTCAACGGTTTAAAACGCGATATATTAGTTAAACTTATTTGCAGTCTCCCAGTGACCACAGCTGCTGCAAAGCATCCGAATCGTCGGGCCGAAGTTAAAAATCATTTTCAAATAAGTTTAAATAATATATCGCGTTTTAAACCGTTAAAGTGTTTTATTTAAATGTGTACTACTCGCGTAAACTAAAGACAGTATTTAACTAATGGAACTACTTTAGTAGTAGAAGGTAGTCCCAAAATACAGAAATATTATACAAGAGGAGCGTTATATTAGTTTCCAAAACTTGCTCAGATCATCAACCTTTATTCTCACATTCACTTTTATATCAGGATTCAGGAATTGCCATTTTTTGCGTTGTGAAGTTTTCCATGAATAGTTATTTGCCATAAATGTTTACGGACATACCTACGAGTCTGCGTAATATTTTTCCACACTTTATGTTTCTCATCTATTTTGTTAGTAGAAACATGAGTGTGTTCTATATAATAAAAGTAGTCTTACTTCTTGTGATATTTGCTTATTCGTCTTATTAAAATCGGTTTAGCAGTTTAGGTTAAAAATTAAAAATTTGCATATGTTTTTAAACGAGAAATACTTTGACAGATGACAAAGTCAATTCACGAGCAAAGCTGATTCTAAGAGATGTGTATCTATTAGACATGGGCCGAGTTCTCGGTTGCTACTCGGTACTTACCGTACTCGGCGGGTTTTTTGATCGGCCGGAAAACTTATACTCTGTTATTTGATAACGAATATACTTTGTTTAAGAAAGGCAATATATTGAAGTAGATAGAATTAAAATAACAGTGTTAACCCAAAGTATTTATTAGTAATTTAGGAAATCTTTGAAAATTTCAATTAATAACATCAAAACTATGCTAATGAATGTGTAGTAAAGGGCAAAACTACGAGAAGATGACGGTTGAAAAAACCAAAGTCGGTACTCGTTACTCGGACTCGCCTCTCACGGTCGCATCTCTAGTAATTATCGAATTATAATACCTCAAAGAAAGCTAAAACACCACAACACATTTAACAACATATAAACAAATAAGGATTTGATGAGCACATTGTGAAATTGTATAGCATTGTATGGCTAATAATCACTTACACGTTTCTTATCAATTTACAATCTTTCCGAAACAAGTTGAACTTCTAGAACGTCTAGAAATAATTGATTAAATAGGCGGTAGGAGTATCAAAATTCCGCCTGGGCTACGAACCTACGTCCAGAAATGAAAACCCGTAGTTTAGTATTTCCTAATATCCAAAGCTAAAAAGGTTGACAGCGCGTTTTATTTAGATGTTTTATGGCTGGGATATTTCCCTTACATCAAGTGAATCCTATGTGCGCCTCCTCCAAAAAAGGAATATTTAAATAAAACTCGTTTAACGGTTTAGAAAGCGAAATATTTTAATACATAATATAATAATTAAATTATTTAATTTCTTTTATTGACAGCTCATTTTGTTTAGATGTTTTATGGCTGGGATATTTCAACTTACATCAAGTGCATCTTATTTGTGTCTTAAAAAAGGGAAATCAAATAAAAAACGTTTAACGGTTTAAAACGCGAATTATATTACCTAGCATATTTTTAATTTCTTTTACGGTATAAGAACGGTATTTATTTTACGTTCTACCGTAAGTTAAATTGAGGTGAGCTCAAAAAATATATGTGTTACGTATAAACATAGGGAAGAATTTGGATAAACTTTCTTAATGGTCGGTACAAACACAAAGTAACTCTTGGTCGTAAAAAGGTCAATGACCCTATAGCATCAAGCGAGTGAACGTTTGAGATTAAAGTTGCCAAGTTGTGCCAATAGAGTAAATACCAAATTAGGAGTATTTTGAATCTTCTATTCTAGGTGACCAAGGAGCTTTAGAAACTATGCTGTAATGGGGCATGGGACATATTTATTCCGTAGATTGTTTCAATGATCCGTTATATTTACAGGCGAGTCGTTTATTATATCTCTGTTTCCTTGCTTGATTGAAACAGTATATTGTTTGGATTCGAACCCAGAACCCATTTGTAATAAATACAATAACAATACGCAACCATAGATCTATATATTGTAGATACAAATTGTAAAACATTTAACATCTAAACAAGATGCGCTGTGAACCTCTTTTGGCTTTGGACATTCGGAAGTCCAATTTCAAACTGAAACCGGGCGTAAGGGGTTTTCATCTAACAAGGATTGTAATTTTCTTAAACATAGCAGACCCAAATGTGGGGATTTGGCACTCGTCCCGTTTGTCAAACACTAGGTGCGTTAGTTAGTAGTCATCCGCGTAGAATTATTTTGAGCGTCATATTTATATTTTCAAACAACCTATTATATTAAAAACACGCAACGGAAGTTCTTGAAGATATAAAGAATGACATTTCCCGTTTTTTTTCACATTTTCTACTCTTTCTTCGTTCCTATTAGCCGCAGCGTAATGTTTTATAGCCTAAAGCCTTCCTCAACAAATTTTCTAACTAATACGAAAATAATTTTTCAATTCGAACCATTAAAGAAGTACTTGAGATTAGCGCGTTCACACAATCTCTTCAGCTTTGTAACATTAGTATTGATACGTTGCTACCAAAAAGAAAAGAAAGATTTATAGAAAAATATTGACGTGTGAGCGCTTATCCATTTTATCGCACACATTCTCTTTCGTCTTATTCCAAAACTTTGGTCAAAACATCGTCCGCCACGTTATTATTGAAATAACCGCCATTTTGTCAGACGTCTGACTAGATGAAAGGGCTTCGACGGTTTTAATTTAATTTTTAGAGTCCCTCACGACTGTGCTGACCCCATTATCACACGATCTATCCATTTCAAAGGATTCGTGCCTCGTTCATCTGATTTAATTATGATAATTATAGAGTTAACTTGGCCGTTTTCGCAGACGTATATACATTTTTAGTGTCAAGTATTTTTGTCAAATGTATTATTCAGATTTATTACTCAGGTTTGTAACGCAATATAAATTAGTTAAACTTGTTTGGAAATTATTTTAATTACGGCCCGACGTTTCGGATGCTTTCCACCAGACGTGGTCACGGGTAGACTACATCGTGTTTTAAAAACGTTAAAGCGTTTTATTTAAATGTGTTCTACTCGCGGAAAATACATACAGACATCACATGGGGGAGGGGGGACATACACAGGCAACTACAGCATGTTACTGCTCTAACCAATTGAGCTACCGTGTCACACACGTCATCGTCCAATTTTTCAACCCATTGATGCATGGCCTGTCACGTTGTAATCATATTTAACAATCGTGGCTGTGCTTATCTATAGTAAGGAGGCTAGTTATTAGTTGTTGTTCGGTGCGACGAATCTTTTTCACTCAGCTATTTACACTTTGATTTGATATTACGTATTTGTTTACTTTCCTGTATATTATAAGGCCGCCTTAATGTGTTAGCCCAACTCAGGTATTATCAAAATCCTTTGAATATACTTTTAAAGGTCATCAAGAGATTATACCTGACCACGATACAAATAATTTCAATAACTTACTTATACTTATAATTCCTGACTAGTTTCTTTTGTGTGTATATTATTAAAAATATTTAGAACAAATACTGTTTATTGTTTACGAGAGTACGATACATTTAAATACAACATTTGAACGGTTTAAAACGAGATTTATATTAGTTAAACTTATTTGAAAATTATTTTTACTACGGCTCGACGTTTCGGATGCTTTGCAGCAGCCGTGGTCACGGGGAGACTAAAGTTGGAGGGTGTCTCTGACATCAAAGTAAAAAACTGCTACACTAGCTCCATCTGTTCCGTCGAAGTTGGCACTGGGTGAAACTCGCCGGATCCTTGCAGAATTGACTAGTCGTAGTCATTTAGATTACCAAAAAGACTCCACATAGCACCACATATAACTGAAAACTCAACTTTCGGTCGGGCTTGGCACAGATACTATTTGCCCGTAAAAATCGATCAGTGATACAGGCACAAAAATGCGTTTGCTTTATGCCTTTTGTGAGGATGGGGACACTGATTGATATGTCTAGAAATCAGAATGAAACAAGGATTCGTAAAATTCACCCTTATCTTTACCATTTTATTTGAGCGCCCAATACAAAGTGAGACAAAAGTAAATGGCATTATCGGATTGGATTTAAGCATTCCTCGATTCAATTTCAATCTACAATTACCAGTTTGTAACAGATAAACGTGGAATCTTGGCTGGTGGCTTGAAGAATTTTATCAAAGGGAAACTTTGATAGATTAAATAAAACTTTTAACGGTTATAAACGCGAAATCTGTTGTGTGTGTCTACAGCACTATAGTTAGATTTTGCCTAAAGAAACGTTCCTTTTCTGATATTTTTTTCTTGCCCACAGATAATAAACAAAATGTGAATCCGGCATGGAAGAGGTGGCGTGCGACAACTGCAGTCTGTATGTAGACGAAAATGCTAGTCTCTACGACAACCAAACTCACAATGTCACCATTAACAAATTCTACTTCTATCAGGTGAGGTTTTCGTTAGAAATAGTCACTTACAATATCTAACTTATCGTTACCGCAGATGTGATTATGTCCATAGTTCGATCGCCAAAGCAATAATAATCGATGGGTTGTGGTGTCGAACCCCACCGGGTCCAACTGTTCCTGAAATTTGGATTTTAAATTGATGGTAGGAATATCGAAATTCCGTCTAGGTCACGAAACACTAGCCCACGGCTACAGATGAAAAAGCCGTGAAGTTTAATCGTATTCCTGTTTCAGTTTCAGATTTCCAAATATTTAAAGCCGAAATAGGTCGACGGCGCATCTTGTTAAACTTATTTAAATAATATTTAAAAATGATTTTTAACTTCGGACCGACGTTCGGATGCTTTGCAGCAGCCGTGGTCACGGCTAAATGTTTTATTTAAATGTACTACGCGCCGAAGTATTTTTTTTGTTCACTTACTTTGTGCAAGCTAGTTCGATGTTTAATAAGTTACCTTTGATAAGTTACCTATTCGCCTTCTCCTCAGGTCGCCATGTTGCAAAATTAAAGAGCGAACCATTTATAAATTACACGACAAATACAATAAAAAAAAATACATTTCGCCGCTAAACACGACAGATTTGGATTTTCATAAAACTATGATACAAAAGCGACCAATACAACAATTTTGATTTACTTTGTAGAAGGTTTTAAAGGCCGCCGCACAACCGCGGTTAGCGGGACGGTATACCGTTTACTTGAGCTTATCAATTCATAAATTATGACCATAGATAAGGTATATAGACTATACATAAGCACAGTTTAAACCAAATAATGTTACCTACACACTAATATTAACTCAAGTGTAAGAATGCACTCCATTAAACTTGTAACACCTTAAATCAACTCTCGTCATCTCTTTGAAAATTTGTCATCTTAAACTAACCTTTACCGCTCATATTGTTAAGTTTAAATTCAAATGACATCTTAATATAACCGCTATTGGGAGTGAATCGGATTTTAAGCTATAAAATTAAAGGAATAAAGATCAAAATAGCAATTTGAAAGCTCTTTATACCCGCACTTTGGGTTTCAATTAATTGTTGTGGAGACCGCTAAGGGATGGGTCTAGACACAGTTCTAATCGTATTTAAATAGCTACATGTGTAAGTGAATACAAATGCTTGTACTCATTAAAATTAAAGTAATGTACAGCCGGGTGATAAAGTGTGTACTTTTATTAACTATTTGTTTTCGTTTATTTTTTATTTGTTGTCAAACAAGAATGAGGTACAATGGTGCCATATGACATCTAAACAAGATGCGCTATCGACCTATATTCGCTTTGGCTATTCGGCATCCATAGGCAGCAACCGTAACGCGATTAAACTTAATGGCTTTTTCTTCTGTGGACGGAATCTCAATATTTCTACCATCTATTTAATATTTAGATTTCGAAACGAAGTCAAACATATTTCAGAGAGATTAATTAAAAATTTAATATATTTTTTTCCTTATCTATATTAATATATAAACTATAAAGCTGAAGAGTTTGTTTGTTTGAACGCGCTAATCTCAGGAAATACTGGTTCAAATTTAAAAAAATTGTGTTGGTTAGAGTATTTATCGACAAATAGGAGCGAAGAAACAGCGGGAAATGTGGATAAAACTGGGGAAATAATTCATCTCTGTGGGTTTCCGAGGCAAACGCTGTGAACACGGTTCAAGACACCCAAAAAATGGGTCTGAAAGAACGATTCCTCTTCTTAAAAGGTAGATTCGAAAAACACATTTGGATGCCCAAAATAACTATACTACGCGGACGAAGTCGCTGGCACAGCTAGTTCAATATAATTTATGCTGTAAAATTGTCATACCATTCCTTTTAGCTATGAAAGTTTTCAGTCAATTTATTCCTAGAAAATCGCTTGCTAACTGCACCGAGGGCGTTATTATGCTAAACGTTAAGCTCTTATAAATTTACAACAGAAAGCCATTAGTCATAGTCCAATATTTAAATATTTTTTACCCGTGCATTGCATTTTGATAAATAGTCTTCTAGATAAATAAATGTTACTCTTAAAACAAATGAATGAGTAAAGAAATTCGAATATATTTTAGACTTATATAGAAATAATAGTCTTATGTTTCACGTTAGTTTTATTATCTTTTTGTTATTAGTACATGTACGTGACCTGGTTTTATTCTATTTTTGGATTTTTGTAGCCCAAGTTCAGAATGATATTTTTTTTTAATTTCAAATTTCAAGCGAATGTTTTGGCTTCAATTAAAAGTAGGACTAATTATAATAAGTAATGATGCAGCTAAAAATTTTAGGCAATAAAGCTTACTTTGTTTAATTTCTATATACACAACATGTCTAATACAAATAATAAATATTTTCGACATATTAAAAAAATAATTAAAAATAACAATTATTGCTGTTTTACATTACAATAACTTATTGCTAGAAGCTAAACTTACACTATAAAAAAAAGTTTTCAAATAAGTTTTACTAATATATCGCGTTTTAAACGGTTAAATTGTTTTATTTAAATGAGTACTACTTGCGTAAACTATAGACAGTATTGTATTACACTATTTTTATTATTACTTGATTTCTTCGACAAATGCCACCACACAAAGTTTCCATGCTGTCCCATGTTACCCTAGTACACCTTGGGCTTGCCATTTTGTGACGTCTCTTCGCTTCGCCTGCCTTCCTGGTTTCCTTTTTCCGTCTCCAGGATACCGTTCACTTATCATTTTTATCCTTTCATACTTAACTGTGTACGTATGTATTCGTCATAGTAATCTGTTGGAATGTCTGTAGACAGCACAGCTTGCAGTTCTTTGGGTGTTGCTGGTGGCGATCGTCGCTGGGAACGCCACAGTCATTCTCGCTCTACTTCTCACCAAATCTAGGAAAAGCCGGATGAACTTTTTCATCATGAACTTAGCTATAGCAGGTAAGTCCTTTTCCCTAATACACCGCAAAAAATAAACCATTTAAATATTGTCTGTAGTTTACGCGAGAAGTACACAATTAAAAATACCGTTTTGACAGTTTAAAACTCAAACGTATTCTTAATTTAATTTGACAAACGCCCGGTGTGATATGGTTGAAATGGTCAGCTGACTGTGACAGTGGGCTGATCACCCGGCCTGCTATGGGTGTCCCCGATAGAAAATAATAAAGCCAGGTGTTTCGGATGCTTTGCAGCCGTGCAGGGTCCCAACATGACGTTTAATTAAATTGAGAATAAGTATGACAATGTATTTCGCGTTTTAAATAATTTAACACAAAATGGCCGTCGCGTCTTATTAATACATTGCCTAATATTTCGTTCGAAACTATAGACAAGGTTTTCAACTCAAAGTTCGTTTTCAACCTTTTTTACGGAACATAAAATACTTTTCAATTTAAATAAAACACTTTAACCGTTTTAAACGCGATATATTAGTTAAACCTATTTGAAAATGATTTTTAACTTCGGCCCGACTTTTCGGATGCTTTGCAGCAGCCGTGGTCACGGGCAGACTGATCCCCCGTGTTTTATTTAAATGTGTACTACTCGCGTAAACAATAGACAGTATTTAACACTTTTCTATACCTATCTAAGTATAAACAGCTGTTGCGAATCATATATTGAATATAAATGTTTTTGTTTCGATCGTTAGAATGCCGTTAGCCGCCAACAAACGCGCGCCACGCGCTCCGATCGTTTTGTGCGCGTGCGGCAAAGGTTACTTGTCCTTTGATGATCTATTTAGTTCAATCAATCTGTGTGGTTTAATCTATATCACGCAAAGGCGCGTTAGTATATTGGTGTTACCACGTAAGGTTCATACTTCAATCTGTTGTATACAAATTCAATACTGTCTTTGTTCATTTGATGACGGCGTAGTAATTTAATTTCTATTGAAGAATGTATAATAAAAAATATTAAGATCGTTATTTCTGAGGTTGACGTTTCTACTGTCGAGTGCATGCATTTAAATAAAACACTTAAGTAACCAATATCTATGTTATAGTAAATTACGCCACATTTCTTCATTATTATAGCACAGCATTTAACGAATTTCGATACAAAACTAGTGTAGTAAAACCTTAGATACATTTTTAATACATTTCGCATGTTAAGCCGTAAAAAGTTCGCGTAAAACAGACAATACTCGAAACGTATTTAAAATAAGTGATAAATACAACTAATTAACGTTTTAAACCGTTAAAAGTTTTTTTAAACGCTTATTAATCTAAAATATAGAGGTCTATAGGACAACAATGTGATGTCACATAACAATGTGATGTCATTCAGAATTAACATATGAGTTTTGCGTACAACATATAACACAATCGCCATTTCAATAAAGTTTTTTTGTGATCCATTATTACAATGGTTATATCCATTGAAGAAATAAAGTTGAACTGTTTGTCCTGTTAACCTTCGGATTTAATCTTTTGTACCACAAACTAGTCACGATAACACTTATACATAACAAGATGTCATACAAAAGAAGCAAAATTATGTACGGAACATCAATTAAGTCTTAAAGGACAATTATTTGCGCCTCGAAGGCCGACGTCGAGACATAAGTTACTATTGTTGTAATACGATATCGAGACAAAGATATTATGACCTGTGATATTTTTTTAAAATTATTATCTCACATAGAAAATATTCTTTGAGGCCGTTTCAAGTCCCGACCATGGTGTCTCGATTCAATCCATAGATTTTTAAATAAAATTTTGTAGCAGTCGTGGCGACGGGGAGCCTATATATTTCGCGTTTTAAACCGTTAAAGTGTTTTATTTGAACTCGCGTAAGCGAGACCTCTAATGCCGGTTTAAGTCCCGGCCAAAATGTCATTGAGTTTTCTCAAATTATAGCTTTTTTATTTCTTTCTAGAGAATATTTTGTTAGAAATAAGTTACTTACTTAAGTTAGTGTACATGTGTGAGGGCGTCGTAGTATACCTATGATTAAAGAAGCGGAAGAGCGCTGTGATCGATGAAAGAAAATGGAAAAGAAAAATTAAATAGATTGTAATTTTTGCCACCAATATATTCTATTCTCCTGTTCTTCGCACTATTTTAAAACGGCTGAAATATTCATTTTTATAAAATCCTATTCTAAAGTCTAATAAACTATATTTGTTATTAACTATATTGTATATGTTTATACATTGTAATTCTTGCCTTACAGATCTATGGGTTGGTCTCATCAGTGTTTTACCCGATTTGATTCAGCGGGTGACGATATCGTGGTTCGGTGGTTCCATCGCGTGTAAATTAATAAAATATTTACAGGTTAGTATGAACATACTTCTGTATGTCAGTAAGACATTTTTTTTTATTTATGTTATGGAAAATGATTTGGAAGATATTACACCCGTCAAGTTTAGATCAAATCGCATATTTATAAACAGTTTATAAATATTTATTTACGTTTGTCATTTCTTCGCAGTCTAATTAAGCAATCAATCTGTTTGATTTTTAGTTCATTTTTTTCAACTTATCACTGATAAACATGCATCTCGCGCCCAATATAATGTTAGCGTAGTATATTTATCAATATATAAATACATGAGAATAATAGAAGCACTAACCACTGAAAAATAATACGCGAACAATCCTGAAACGAAAACAAAGTGAGCGCGTTATTTATGTAATTGACAAGGTATTGTTGAAGCAAACAATAGGAATGAAACTTTAGTCGTGCCAACTGCCAACATATAATTTTGATCGCTATTGCAACGGACTGAAATGTGCTATTGATTTATTTTATTTGGCTCTTCGTTTGCTGTTTGAGATATCGAAGTATTATATTTATATAATTCGCAACATATAACAAGATAATTATTATTAATAAAATAAATAATCCGTTTAATATCACACATTACAAAATTTACACCTAAAATGAGTAACAAAAAATTAAAATATCGTCGAAAAGTTGGGACGAACTCAAAAACAATATAATTATAACATATTTTAGTGGCAGCGCGAATGTAAAACTATTGCGTAAGTAAAAGAAAAATAAAGTGAATAAAAAATATTTCCAATGGTTTGTTGTAAAGGTCATACGTAGTTAGTTGAGCTGATTTTGGAATTCCATTAATATGTCGCGGTACTTTTTTTAAAGTGCTTTCAACAGAGCATTTCCTTAGTGGAGCAAGATGTAATATCCAGATTTTCACACGTTCATGAAAATTATAAAATAATTACGAGAATAATCACCTAAAATTAATTACGCATGTCATTATAAGGGAATATATGTCATGCTAATTGTATTTAAAAAAATATTAAAAAGTACAACGGTATCTTATTTTCCAATTCAATTGATTAACTTTCCAATTATTTACAGGGTGTAGTAACTTATTCTTCGACGTACGTGTTGGTCGCACTTAGTGTTGACAGATGTGATGCGATAACGCATCCAATGAACTTCACGGGCAGTTGTAAGTATATATATAACTATATTTATATTCATTATTTCTTTACTCTATGCACGTCTTGTTATATATCGTATAAAAATACAATATACAAATAATAGGAAAGAAATTAATGATTCTGGTGTGTTATTCTTATGGATTACATGCTTTAATTCTAAAAACCCCATCAGTTCTTCTTTACTCTCCAGAGTTTAAAAGTGATGTTGGACATAAAGGAGTATATAGAGACCTTACTTTAACTCACCCACAATAAACATACAATACTAGACTTTGACATAGTATTTTAAATATAGCAATACTCTTAAAAGTATTTATGGCGTCAGTTCTTAATTTAAATATGGTTCAAAACACAGTGATATTTTATTCAAACATCGCTTTTTATTAAATACTGTCTATAGTTTACGCGAGTAGTACACATTTAAATAAAACACTTTAACGGTTTAAAAACGCGATATATTAGTTAAACTTATTTGAAAATGATTTTTTTAACTTCGGCCCGACGTTTCGGATGCTTTGCAGCAGCCGTGACCTCCCCGTGAACTAATATATCGCGTTTTAAACCGTTAAAGTGTTTTATTTAAATCGCTTTTTATTAATGCATTTTTCCACAGGGCGCCGAGCTAGAGGATTAATATGCGGCGCGTGGCTCGTTAGCTTTCTATTTTGCATACCCATGCTTATATTGTTCGACGAAGCTGACATACAAGGTAAGACTATTTTTAATATGAACGAACTATTTAACTATTGTAAATTTGTACCCCCATTAAAAAACTATGGCGCATGCCCCACTCGGGAGCAAGTTCGATCTTTTCCGATAGATCGATTTTATTTGTAGGCAGGTAGGAATTGACGACATGGAAACAAGTTTTCTTTTAAGTTGAAATAGTTAAACACATTGCTATAATTATAATATATGTACTTTGTTTTTTAATAATGCAAAATATCATTTTTGTGACGATTTAAAAACGCGGAGAATTTGAATGAAACACTTCAACGGTTAGGCTCCCCGTGACAACGGCTGCTGCAAAGCATCCGAATCGCCGGGCCGTAGTTAAAAATAATTCTTAAACAAGTTTAACTAAAATATATCGTCTAGTCTATAAACTATAGACTACTGTCTATAGTTTACGCAGTTTCGTTGTTCTATTCAGCTTAGTAACAAATTCAGTAAAATAAAATAGACAAAAACCTTTATCACCAAGTTAATCTGGCGTAACCTGATAATGTTCGAGCGACTGGGCATCTAAATATTCGTGGGACAGAATCCTCGTTCACAGTTGATCGAATAAAAGTTATTATTACTGAATATTTTTTCATAATGTATCATCCTCTTCGAAATTTCTTTCGTGCTCAATCGTGTTGAAATTCAAAGCGCCGGATAATCGCGGAGCACCTTTCAAAATATATTTTATCATGGATATATTACACTTGTATGGAGAGGTGGAACTTTCAAATATCATTTGAACTTAGATGCAGGGACATATAGGTCCCTGCGTAAGAGCTTAATTATTAGAAAAAAAATATCTTAAATACTGTCTGTAGTTTACGCGAGTAGGACACATTTATATAAAACACTTAAACGGTTTAAAACGCGATATATATTACTTAAATTATTTTAAAAGAATTTTAACTAATATATATCGCGTTTTAAACCGTTAAAATGTTTTATTTAAATACATGTGCCTTGTTGATACACCGCCTCTATAGCTAGATGGTTAAACGTGCCTAGTGCCTGCATTGTATTCAGTTCGAATTCCGGGGAAACGATAGATTAGTCTGGCCGGACTGCGAACAAAAGTCATAAAAACTTGTAAATAAAATTGATCAGTAAAACGGAAAAATGGTGGTCCCATATGATTTCGTGTTCCAGCCCACGTACATGAGTCAAAAAAAATCTAGGAGTTCACTTCTAACACTTTAAAATTAGAGTTCTATTCGTTAATAAATTTTTTAAAACTACAATTTAAAATTAATGAATATAATATTGTATTAGTTCATTTTAATATTATTATATAACTTCGTATTTTATTTTAAAACTGTATTTTATAAAAATAACCTTTGGGTTTTATACGCGAGTAGTGATAATATATAAATAAAAGACTATTAACACACGTCCCCCGTGTCCACAGTTGCGGCCAAACAACTAAAACGTTGAGTTATAGTTAAAATAAATTTAAAAGAATTGAATTAAAACAATTTACGTATTAACCATTGAAATTGTTTCATTAAGTAACAAGTTAACCCCGTTCTCCTCTATAGAATATTTTATATACGCCATTAATTTATGCCAATATTTGTTATCAATGTAACATGTTAAATTTAGACTATACCTGGCTTAAGGGAGAATTACGAGTGTCCCATTTGGTTTTGGTCATAAATTCTCATTTGGGGCGTACATTACAGCATTAGAATACCTTGCGTAACTTTATTGGGCGATATTTTAATGGCATTTGCAGGTTTGTGGTTTACTTGGACAAGTTGTGCATGAGATTGGGGCGAACAATAAATTCTAGTTGAAGTCATTACTTTATCTATACTAATATATAAAGCTGAAGCGTTTGTTTGTTTGAACGCGCCAATCTTAGAAACTATTGGTTCGAATTGAATTATTATTTAGTTTACTTACAGCAATTATCGAGGAAGCGAATTGCGATGCGATTAGTGAAACAGACTCACATGTTTAGCCCCATACCCCAAATACAAGATAAACAATTCATATTATATAATAAATATGTATGTCCAGGAACACTCCAATGCTGGTCCAGCATTAACGTGACGCAGTGGAGAATTTGGATGACCAGCGTCTTCTTGTCGTTGTTCGTTGCGCCTGCGCTGATAATCTCCGCGTGTTACGGCGTCATCGTCATCACGATACGACAGAAGAGTCGTCGTGTTTTGGGCAAGCGGGCTGCTGCAAGACAATGTAAGTAACTATTATTCAAATCATTAAACCCAGTAGTTTTAGTCATGTTGAACTCTAACAGGCCAATATTACAAAGGTAAAGAGTTCGTTTGTTTAAACGTGCTAATCTCAGGAACTAAACTTAATTGCTAGTTATTAAAAAAAATATTTTATGTTTAATTGACTATTTATTTAATAAGGCTATTAAACTTCAATGATTCTTCTCTAAATGATCTAAAAAATGTCTACTACAGTATATGTCTATCTTTAAAGATGAGCTCGCGAGAATGACGTAACGCGGACGACATCGTGGGTACCAGCTATAACGTATAAAGCAGTGGAGGTTGTTTGCAAAGATAAGTTTTGACGCGCAAAATAACTATTCCACGCGGACGAAGACGCGGGGACTGCTAGTACAGCTCTAATAATTAGATTTATGCAGCGTTGAAATGAAGATTAGAAAAATTGACCTTGATATGGTGCAGGCTAAAAGGTTATGAAGGTCAAAAGATAATGAAACATATTTTTTATTAATTAATCGTGAAATGGAATTTATACCATTAAAAAAAAATGTTATTTTATATAAATAATGATAAAACACTGTTAATTCTATGTCTACGATATCAAGAAAGTCTTCTTAACAAATGGTTACTAAAGAAAGAGATTAAGAGAAGTTTCTATTACAGTAATGGGTGCGTAAAAAACTTCGTCACTCGATCTTTTGTGGCTGAATTAAGAGGAAACCGATCGCTAAATTAATGGCGACGTAAAGCTGGTTACCCACTAGCGAGATTTCACTCTTGTCATTATAATATTATATATTTATTATTACCACAAATATACTAAATACACTTTACTATTTACGATACAAATACGAAAGTTGAATAAAACACTTAACGGTTTATACCGCGAAATATATTAATTACCTTTGGTCTAATTTTCTTAACATCCATTTAATCCAAATTTCCAGACGAATTAACATGTCTTAGAAAAATTATAAATTGATTAGAAACATGGTCACGGCGGGGATTGACCCACGACATTGATTCTTAGCCATACATTGCTACCTTCACATTAACGAGCCTGTCAAAAAGTATGCGAGGGGTAGACAGTGTCAACTGTCAATGCCACCAAATTTTGACATATCAACGTGGAAATCGTTCCTACCTATTTCATATCATAGACACATAAGTATATCAACTATTACATACCATACAAACATCCATTCGTTACGCTCGCAAGTGAGTATTCAGCTTAAATAGTACCTACAGCCTGCTTACGTAAATCTTTTCTAGGCTAATAGTCTTTTGCTGAATTAGTCCTATTTCTGGCTAATAATTTAGTATATTTCCCTCTGCTCAATAAATATGCGACTAATCTCGAACCAACATCCTGATTTGATAAGATTTATGTTTCAATGGACTGAATTAATTAAGTTCTTGTAAATATCTTTTGCCATCTTTTTCACGTATTGATATTGGAAAATTATTTTTGTGTAGGTTCGATCATTTATGAGCGACAAAACGGGGAAAATTATTCATCCTCGATGAGTATGCTCCAAAAATGGTGCAAGATATCCAAAAAAATTGTATAAATGAATGGTTCCTTAAATACTGTCTATAGTTTACGCGAGTAGTACACATTTAAATGAAACACTTTAACGGTTTAAAGCGCGATATATTATTTAAACTTATTTGAAAATGATTTTTAACTTCGGCCCGAAGTTTCGGATGCTTTGCAGCAGCCGTGGTCACGGGGAGACTAAAGATGGAGGATGTCTCTGACGTCAAAGTAAACGCGTTGGAATTCGCGTTGCGTTTTCGCAAGACACGCAACGCGAATCCTTCTTCACATTTCCCACTGCTTCTTGGCTTCTATTGGTGGCATCGATGTTTTATAGCCTAAAAGCCTTACACGATAAATGCTGTAAGCAACACATCATATTTTTTTAATTCCAACCAGTAGTTCCTAAGATTAGCGCGTTCAAATAAACAAACGCTTCAGTAAAGTTCTTTCAAGTTTCGGGCTATTAATAATAATAAGAATTCTTTCAAATAAAACACTTTAACGGTTTAAAACGCGATATATTAGTTAAACTTATTTGAAAATGATTTTTAACTTCGGCCGAGTCATTTTGCCCACGGTGTCTTCCTACCACGGGGAGACACCAAATAAGTTTAATAATATATCGGTTTTAAATTAAATTTATTTAATTTATATCCGTAAAAAAGTATATAATCTCTTGGATTCATTTAGTATTTTCAATAAGAAATAAATACTATAAATCTAAAAAAGTTCGTTTAATTTTAATAAAGGTGATGTCAAAACTCTCTCAGCATAATTACAGGACATTTATGTTCTAACACTGATTTTCAGCAAAACCCTACCGTTCGTCTGTTAGACAGCGCTCAACAATTTGGTATTTTAAATAACACTAAGCGTAACACTATGAAGTAATGAATTAGTAAATATTAGAAGTGCTCTCAGACATGTCACCTGAAGAAGAAGTAGTACATCCATTGACACGTAATATTACAGTCGGAAGTCGAATTGTATAATATGAAATCTTCCACACGGAGTGAAATCTTATTGAAAGGTTTCTTTATGCTCAAAGGGATTTTATTATTACCAATATCTGTCATATGAAATGATTGGATATCAAGCAGCTATATTAGGAAAATCTCTTTATTTACTTTACTTCTGATTATCTTTAGTAGAATGATGAACGAATTAAATATTTATTTAGATATCATTGTCGACTTTTAATTATTGATACTAGCAAGTTAATAATTAGTAAGTAATTCTCTCGTTGAGTAAACACATCATTAAAATTGCGAATAAGCGATATAATTACATATATTGGTCCCGCGTACCATGTCTGCTGTAAAGCTATCGAAAAATCAGGTCGTAGTTAAAAGGTTAACTTGAACATATTTCGCGTTTTAAACAGTCTACTCTAATGTTCCTTTCGTGCTTTTTTATTGTTATCGGGACAAATTCAGATCTGACTTCAAGTAATCATTCTAAGACAGATGTGGGTGATTGGTATCTCTTTTTGTGTAGGTATAATTTTGAGTGAAGTCATGTTTTGTAACTCAAAAGGTTTTCAAACAAAGGCCCCAATTTTTTTTTTTTTTCCCAAATTTTTTTTTTTTGCCCTTTTTTTTTTTTAAAAAATTTTTTTTTTTTTTTCCCCCCCCGGTGGGCTTTGTTTTTTTTTCCCCCCCCCCCTTTTTTTTGGGGTTTTTTTTTTTTTTTTCCCCCCCTGGGGGGGTTTTTTTTTTTTTTGCAGATAGTGACGATCTTGACAGTAGAAGAGCAAGCAGTCGCGGCATTATACCTAAAGCCAAAATCAAAACTGTCAAGATGACGTTCGTTATTGTATTTGGTAAGTCATTTTTATTGTTTAATTTGTATAAAAAGTGAATAAATCATTTTGTGGCACAAGTACAGAATCCATACCTTTACCTTTGTGCGCACCGTACCGTTATCATTACATTTTAATACACATATTGCACAGTGAAATTTCAACCTTAAAATTTATAAAATGAGGGTCAAAGTCCCATACTTTGCAGAGTTAAGAAATAATGGATAATTTAACTAATATATTTCGCGTTTTAACCCGTTAACATGTTTTATATAAATATATTTATTACGTTTGATTTTTCTTTTTTTCTATAGTATAACATGTGATATTATAATTTAAGTGCACTAATTAGAATTTCGCATGTCCCTCCGTGTTACGTGTTTCGTTCATATTTTTTATTTTATTTTAAATACACTTTTACTCAATTAAATAAGTAATTAATTAGAAAACTCACGAGCACCTACAAACAATGGTAAGTAGGAAATCATGTTTCTTGCAATTAAGATTGTAGGATAATGATAAAAATTTCCGCGCCCGTATTTTCATTTTTCGTGTTTACATGAAAAACTACGATATAATAATAAAAGGGATTGATATTTGAATTGATATGTCTTGAGAGCTGTTCGTACCAATATTATTGTTCTACGTTTAATCAGATTGTATAAAAAGTCTCTGTAAAAGTCTTTGTAAAAGTAATATATTAAATCAGGAGTTCCGGGGCCTCGTGAGTGCACCAACCACAAGATTAGCAAGACAGTTATACTCTGTCAATAATTTTATAGCAATTTATTTAATTTGCCTAAACAATAATGTTATCAATGCAATATAACGTCTATGGTAAAATCGAATTTAATAATAATGTGGGCGTGTATTCAAATAAAACACTCTCATTTTTAAAACGCGGTTTAAAATGAGCAATATTAGTTTTTTTAACTGTTAAGTTTTTTATTGAAATTACTTGTGTTAACTACCGACAATTCGTAAATTGAGTGAGAAAGTGAAATTTCCCAACCATACAAACATGTTAACTAGTTAACCTATTTTGGCTTTGGATATTCGGAAGAAGAATAGATTAAAACTGAAATGCAATTAAACTTTGTCTTTTCCATGTAGCGACGACGGTTCGCGACCCGGACGGAATTGCGACATTCTTACCATCCTTTTAATATCCAAACTTGTTTTAAAAGTAATATAAATTAATTATTAACATATTGGACCCGGTAGAGGTCGAACCCACGACCCGTTAATTGTTAGCTCCCCATTGCTATAGATCAACCAGCCCGTCGTAATTTATTATAGAGAGAGGATATTCCAACGTACTTCAACGATTCGTCAATCCAAAAAACTCTAACCAATATTGTTCTGGAAAAATTAATAATTGCGCTCAGTCTGGAAACTTGGTTGACAAGAAAAACAAAATTATGAAAACAGCCACGTCAACTAACTTAGCTCGGGTATTTGTATTCACTTCATTTTCTCGAAAGACTTTGGATTTATTCGTAGTCAACTCATAAGACCGCCCGTTGTTACAATTGCGCTGACGTCGATCTGTTTATTATTCCTTATTACATTTGTCATTCGGATCTTCGGTAGGTAAAATCGTATTTTTTTAAATGGTCGTTGGTCTATTTACATTACTTTAGTTAGCAACTAATGGATAATTATCATCGATGTCTCCCCATGGCCACGGCTGCTGCAAAGCATCGGCATCGTCGGGCCATAGATAAAACAATTTTCAAATAGGTTTATATATCACGTTTTAAACCGTTAAAGTGTTTTATTAAAATAAACAATGAGTCGAAGGTTCTATTCTCACTCCAATCAATTAATCTTTATTATGACCTTTGTCTTCAAATAGAATATATAAAAAGAATATCGAAATTCCGTCCGCATTTAGAAACACTATCCACAGGCGAAAAACAGTGAAGTTTAATCGCATTTCGTAAAGTCCGTGGATTTCCGACTGGATCTTCGGTCAAAATAGATTGACAGCGTTGAGATATTTTATGGCTGGGATATAGCGCGAACTGTAAACAAATGGCGATCGAGTATTTTTCCGGTAAAATTTTTCCAATTCCTTTTTGTTTCTTAAATCTTTAAATATCGTCTATAGTTTACGCGAGTAGTATACATTTAAATAAAACACTTTAACGGTTTAAAACGCGATATATTAGTTAAACTTATTTGAAAATGATTTTTAACTTCGCCGAACGTCGGGCCGAGGGTTAAACGGGAGACTTCTTAATTTAAAATTAAGTCTCCCCGTGACCACGGTTGCTGCAAAGCATCCGAAACGTCGGGCCGAAGTTAAAAATCATTTTCAAATAGGTTTAATTGACATATATCACGTTTCAAACCGTTAAAGTGTTTTATTTAAATCTTAAATCTTTTCTAACCGCGTCTTACTTACCAGTCGTTCATCATTTTGGATATAACAATGACTCAGCATTTTAAGTCTTAACTTAAACCATACATACACATGAATGTCCCCAAGCTGAAAAAGATTTTGAAAACAATAGCGTAGATTTAATTCATTATGTATTAGTTGAAAAAGTGAATACAATTCTAATTATAGTCGTCGATGAGGTTGCGTGGGAAGTACTTAGTCATACGAGTATAAGAATGTTTTGACTATCTAGAGAACTTTAAAGAATAGTATATCATTGTTTTTCGGGCTCTTCGGCCGACGTGATCAAAGAGTTAACATCTCCTGATGGTGCCGTCCGTACGCGATGGCGAAACGTCGAGAACCCCTTCTGGCTCACGTCGGCCGAACAGCCCGAAAGATAATGATATGCTGAACGATGGCCGTGAAAGCCTTACACAATTTATAAAGAATAGTGTACGTAAAAATAACCCGTTACATGATGTACGCCATTACGAAGTTAGAATTAAATATTTTCCTGTCATTACGATTTAAAACATCTTTATATTTATTTATATTAATAATTTATTTAAAAAAAACAATATCATTAATGAAACAATGTAATTATTATTATTTAAAATAAATAACTCGCACTTAGCACTTAGATGAATTAATACTCTCGGAAATTATCAATAAATTGTGAGCGAATATTGTTATATTTCCTATGATTGGAAGCGTTTAGTGCTATCACAGGATGAGTTCGAATTAAAAAAATTTTTTTTTTTTTTTTTGGTTAAAAATTATCAAAGCTAAAAAAACTTTAAAAATGTAACTCGCACGAAAATGATTCAAGACTCCATAATTTGTTAACTAATTTATTTTTAAATGGACAAAAAAAAGTCCGCGTTATATAAGCTATAGCCGACCATTCTATATAAAATAAATAAATATCAAACATTTTTACATACATTTTTAAGTAATCTGCATCAGTATTCAATAAAACTAAATATATCTTATTAAAACAATCCTAAAACAGCCAACAATATTATAAACACTTCTAACTGAGCACATAAATATATCGAAGGCAAACAATAATTCATAATGGCGACGCCAAAATCATTTTTCAATCCATTAGATAAAGAGCTTTTGTAAAATTTCATCCATAAAACGATATCTAAATTGCTTTAACCCAAGCATTGAAAAGCTATTAACAAAATAATATTATCGCCTATTTGAAAAGTTGTATGCACGAAAATAATAAACGTGAAAAGCAAAGGCTCCGCGAGGGCTTTTTGCCTTTTACGATCTCGTCCATTATGTCTAAGTGGACAAAATTGTTATTCTCACTGTTTTACTGTAACACGTCTAAATTAATTGGGACATAAAAATACTTCGTGTTACTAATATATGGCACGAGTTAGGTTTTCCCTTTAACTAAATTGTTCACGAGTGCGCTTTTGTGATCCTGCGTTATTATATTCAAAGGTAGCCATGAGCTAAGAATAATCGTTCAGTTATGGTTTCTTTTCCCACCAAGTCCGACATGTTTTCACCCATTCCGTTTCCATCAAAATACATTTTTATTTTTTAAAATAACATCAAACATTATATACATAAAATAAAATTATAATATTGGAGGCACAATTCTTAACACGTACATATTATGTTAAAATTAAGTATTGTCTGTCCTTAACGTGAGTAGTATACATATATAGAAAACACTGGGGGATTTCCCTGATCCACGGCTGCTGCAAAACATCCGAAATGTTGACTTTAAAATAAATTAATATATTTCACGTTTTAAACTGTTAAAACGTTCAATTTTTATATTAAAACTACTTTTGCCCGCGACTTCGTCCGCGTGGAATAGTGACTCGGGGTAGAATTTTTAATTATTTAGGCTGTTAATAATTTACGTAAGGGCGCATTTAAGGCAGCCAATCTATGTTGTAAGTGCTTCTTTGCTGCAACACTCCCTCCTCACATCACTCCTACTCTAACTCCCACTCTCATTCCTACAATCACTACCACTCTCACTCTCACTCCCACTCCTACTCCATTCCCAAAAAGCCAAAGAATAAAGTTTAATTGTTCCAGCTTCAAAAACGACTAATTTCCATACAACTTTTCATCCCCTTATTCAACCCCTTTTTTGGCATTGAAAAGTAGCCTATGTTCTTTTTCAAGCTCTAAAATATCTGTGTCGCAAATTTCATTTTAATCAGTTCAGTAGTTTCGGAGTTAAAGCCGGACAGACAGACATATAGAGTCACTTTCGCATTTACAATATTAGTATAGATGTAGATTATTTTACCTTAATGTCAGTCTACTATATTCGCAGCTCAGTTGTAAATTATCTAACCATTCTTTTGCTATATTCGAAGCTTTGATTCTGTGGAGTCCTCTAATACAAATAAAGATATTTTTTGAGGTGTACCTCAATGTTCACCACTCGTCACGTACCATATAACACGGCGATGTACCGTGAAAGAATCTTATAAATTCACAGTACCAATCGTGACTCGACTTTTCATTTCACCCACAAATGCTTTTACTTTATACGTCTTTGATGCTACAATGGTTTTTTTATGGGAGAGGAGGACAGACACGCATCGGGTTCACTTAAGGGAGAAATACAACATATAACATCTAGGCAAAACGTGTTGTTGACCTTTTTCGGCTATGCATATTCGAAAATCCACGTAGTAAAACCGAAACGCAATTAAACTTCACGGCTTTTTCATGGTTCGTGGCCCGAACGCAATTAACATTTCCAAGTTGAACATGTTTCAGAAAAATTAAATAATTATAAGAAATATGTTGGACCCGCACCCATTGGTTATTTTTTACATTGGTACCATTACACCATCGAGCCCATCCCGTGTATTGAAAATAAACTCTTAACGACACTCACGAAAGCCCTCGCGTCCACACTTGTCTAAAAAAATACTACAAGTTATCCTTTTCACACGCACTTATTCCATTACGTTTTTTCTGTAAATATTTCAGTTCCACCCTGAAAGCATTGCTGTGTGGCTATAGGGCCAAGTTATCTCAGCGAAGTATTATTTTTGCAGGGAAAAATGTTTACAAAATTACCATATTACTTGTCAAAATCGTACACGAAGATATTTTCAAATTACTCAACAGGGGATGTACATAGTACTTTTATTTTTTCTATTTAATATTATATTGTTATGTAATGTCTTCTAGAAGTAAAATCTAATGATTGCTTCTTAATAAATATATATGTATATTTTTAATCCTATGTATATATTAATACTTACGTAATTTTAAAGAACTAGATAATTTAACTGTAAGTAATAAGAACAAGGAAGCGTTTATTTAAACATTTTAATAACAATTAATTACTTATTATTATTTTCTATTTATCGTTGAAGAGCCTACAAACTCACTTAACATTTTTTCCTCATAACTTATTAACACTATTAAAAAAGTTCTATTAAAGCTGAAATCACTTTAATAAGTGCTTTCAATTGGCAAGTTTTAGAGGGTAGTTCATAGAAATGTGTCGGGTTCGAGGCCTGCAAACAATTTTTTTTTGTCTATTTACATTTTTGTTTCAGTCTTCGTCCTCTGCTGGTCCCCATATATGATCTTCGATCTCCTACAAGTGTATGGTTATGTACCAGATACTCAGGCCAACATTGCCATCGCTTCTCTTATTCAGAGCTTGGCACCGCTCAACTCGGCTGCAAATCCTGTCATATACTTCATATTCTCTAATAGGATATTTCTAAGTCTAAGGTAAGTTCCTAAACTACCATTTTTAAGATTCAGAAAGAAATTATTTCTGTATCTGTTCATTACAAAACAATTTATTGTTTCCTAGGATTCGAACCTATTGCGCAACGCAACAGGCTTAACCATTTAGCTACAGTGGCGGTCAATGACTCAGAAACTTGGTTTAAAATAAACTGATCTTAACTGGTATTTTTTTAGGTAAATATCATAGAATTAATAAAACTGTGTAATATAAATTTCCTATTTATCGGTTTAAAGACATTTATTTCCCACTCAGATTACAAGAATCACTCTTTTATACTAAGCTTCACCACGCGGCTTTAACAGCTGCAGTTTTTACAGATTTTTATTCCATTTGTGATGTTATATAAATATCTAAAATATATCAATCCTGCGCATATATCAAAAATTTAAAAGAAAATCAACGATGACGTTTAGGACATGGTGGCTCAATTGTTTAGAGCAACAACACGAGTAGGTGCCGGTTCCAGTCCCACCCGTGCAATAACTTTTTTTTACTAAATTTTATTTTTTTTGTTCACATAAATATAGGAACATTCCACCATACAAATGGTTTTGGTGCTGGATGCGTCGTGACAGCCCAACCGGAAACGAGTCGCGGGCGCATACAGAACTCTTGACTTCGTCTCATCGGCGCACGAGACACGAACTCACTATACGGGTATGTATAATTAATTAATTGAACACAATTTTAATATCATATTATATGCCATTCTCTAAGTTTACAGCGTTTTATGATTTTTGATGATAAACGAGAACTGGCAAATATGAAGTTACTGACTACGGCAAACTCAGCCATGGAAAGCTTAAAGATGTGTTATCGTCCTATATTTCGTTTGGATATTGAAATAATATTAGATTTTTTAAATATAATTTACGTTCCTTACTTTTCTGTTCTTATAAGAATTGTTGATACCATTATTATGCAATCAAAATAAAAACCAAAAAGGGATCATATTTATACCAAAAATATTAATTATTTTTAAGTATAATAATAATTGCATGACAAAAAATGCTAAATAAAACACTTTAACGGTTTAAAACGCTAAATATATTATTTGAACTTAATTAACTTCGGCCCGACGTTTCAAATGCTTTGTAGCAGCGGAGTCATGGGGAGATCACGGGGACTGTTTTATTTAAATGTGTACTACTACTGGGTAAACTCATTTTAGAAATAAATCTGTCAAAATTTTTCTAAAAGTCTTGGACTTCGTGTGGGAACCTAAATAATAAATTAGTGGTAGAATTCAAAATTCCTCCTCAACCACCATATCCACAGATGATAAAGCCGTCAAGTTTAATTGCATTTCAGTTGAGTCTGTAGATTTCCGAATGTTGAATGCCAAATACGTCGACAGTGCATCATCATCATTAAATGTTACATGGCTAAGATACCTACCATCACGTGAACTTCATGCTTGTGTCTCTTCCTCTATCATTAATATATATCAATTTAAATGAAACAACTTAACGGTTTAAAACGCGATATGTTAGTTAAACTTATTACAAAATTATTTTTAACTTCGGCCTGACGCTTTCGAAAGCATCCGAAAGCTTTGCAGCGACCGTGGTCACGGGTGCTGCAAAGCGTTTTATTTAAATGTGTACTACTCGCGTAAACTATAGACAATATATATCAATTTAATCTTATGCCATAAACCTTTACCTCTGAAAACTTTTTTATATTTTTCACAAGTTATTGCACATGAAGGCACTATATAATTTAAAAATCGAAACTAAATTAAAAAAAAATTCGACTCGAGCAGGACTTGAACAGCGTAGCGGGCATCGTCAGCGTTCCGTGCTGTCGCTCTACCAATTGAGCTACCGAGTCTCGTTAACAGCAGCAGATCGAATTTTTTTTCAATTTATTTTCGATTTTTAAATTATATAGAACCTTTGCCTCGTTTTGCTTCTCAAACATACTAAGCTTTGATTTAATTGATGGGTGTTGTCTTAATCCGTCTATTTTCAGCACTATTCGTCAGATCTCAATACATCCAAAATAGCGTTATAAATTGCGCGCAATGTTTACAGAAGGTTTGCATGTAACAAGCTCGTTTCTACGGATTAGCCCATAATCTGTATATTCCGGGATATCGTAGCATATTTATAAAGTTATTGTTACTGTCTATTATCGTAATCAAACAAAACACTTAACGGTATTAAACCCGAAGTATATTAAACGGTAAATTGTAAATAAGTTTCGCGTTTCAAACCGTTAGCGTGTTTTAGTTAAATATGTATTACTCGCGTAAACTACAGACCGTATTATCTTATTTTCTGCTGCTGTAGGACTTTGAATAGCTTGTTATAGACATAGCGAATTTTATTACATTATCAAGTTTAAATTACTAATGTTGTGTTAATTTTAATTACTTGAGAATAGTTCAGATTCACAATATATAATCAAAATACTCTACAAGATCACTTGATCACTTGCATCTTTTTTTGAGAAATAATGTCTTTAAACCTTAAATTACACTTCTACCGGCTAAAAGAAATAAGTTATCACAATATGTTAACCGTATTCAACATTTTGAATACTTAACATCCTTCGTACAATGGAAACACTGTGGCGTTAAGTGTGATTTTGTATGATTCAATCCTTTTTGAACGTAATATCATTAGAATTAAAATAAAGCAAAAATCTGCTAGCTAGCTCTAAGCTAAGATCAAATCTGAAATCTAAAATTATTATTTCTAAATGTATTTATACTGTAAGAACCCGTCAATATGGGTCCAATCAGCAGTGTGGTAGGGCCTTAGATCTATATAAGAGATGACCTGCAAAGAGGACATACAAATAAAATTAGATTATAGCTATAGTATTAAGCTATTGAAAAAATATATTCGATAAGAATGACGAAATATATTACTTGAAGTAGTAATTCGTTTACAATTGTCCGCCGTTTATGGGAGTAGTACACATTTAAACAAAATCTTTCGACGAGTTTAAACGAGTATAATTTGCTTCTTAAGTACGTAAGTGTTTCCATTGAATAGGAGGACGTTTTTCCTTATCTAAGAATTAATAAAAGCAAGAAAGGCCTTGTAAAGCACAACGCGTTTAACTGAAACTCTATCAAACGTATCTTGTTTTATTTCTGGAATTCGAACCAGAACCAATCAATCTTGAAGTAATAACCAATAAAACGCAGTTGTAAATATCTATAAATGTCTGCGGCTGTTTATTTACGCTTTCATTGAACTACTTTAAAGTATAGTTTAAAATGACGATTTACGTATTTTTAAATTTAATTAAATGCTACAAAAAAATCGTTCTGACTGATCACAGAAGTCTGATCAAGTTCTTGCCTAAACAAAAAACTCGGAAATGTGTCCGTCCCATGCCCCACAGGGGGAAAGGAGATTTATTAATATACTGTAGCGAGTTTCAGTCCACTGACGTCACTAGTCAATATACCATTGTTTTGATTGGGATAATTACAGGCAATTTGATCCTTTGAGATGTTACATGTGCTTGTAATTCTGTCTTCGCTGTAAGCGCAATATTTTGTTCATCATTAAATTAAGTAAAATAGAAGAAGAAAGTATAGATAAGAAATATTTAAAAGTAATTCATAGCAAATACAGCATAGCATAGTTATTGAATTAAAATATAAAATGTCATTTCTATTCCTATTTGTAGTTTCCAAAGCATCTCTATCTATCTTCGTGCTTAAAGACGAATTTATAACTTAAAACGTAAATTAAAAATCGATTTAGATTGAAAAAAATATTATAACTTCCACCGGCATCCACAGCGTTTCGTGCTGCTCTAACCAATTGAGTTACCGTGTCCTTCACGTCATCTTCGCATTTCTTCAACCCACTGATATAAATATAAAGCGTTTCAAACCGTATTCACTTTCCGTATCAACAATAATGTTTGTAATTATACCACATGCGGAATAGAAACGAGAACTCATACTAAATAATAAACGGTGTGTCTTTGGCAGTGACAGGGTTTATTTATAAAAAAATTCCATAGCAATGACAAAAAAGTCTTCAGCGTAAAATATTCACCACGCAAAATTTCCTGAGTGCGGAAATGTGTTTTGCAAACAAGACAACAAGTTGAGAAATAAAGATACTGTTAAGTTCTTGCGGTGTATTGAGGATATAGGTACATAAATTAAAATTTTGAGGATGTAGGTACCCATAGTAAAACAGCAACTTTTATTTTCAAACACAAAGTATAATTCCGATTTCTTGTTGGCAGGTTAAAGATGACAGCATAAAATACCCCAACCAGCGTCTCCATCAATGCAATAGTTCTCGCAAGGTTCGACTCCACTTGCCTGATCAAATTCAGATGAACAACAATTTTCACCAACCGAGGACCAGGGACGACACTTTTCTATAATTATATACGTTATGTGACATATAGCAGACAGACAAAGCCAGGCGAGAAGTTAAGTTATATGTTAATTATTTTTAGCCTGTATTTTTATTCTCTAAAAGATGAATGATGTAGGGGATAGAGCGTGGATTAGCAAGGACTTTCAATTTATTTTCGAGAGAAATCTTTTTTAAGTCTTATTGCATTTACCGCTAGCTCTATCAAGTTAAATAGTAAGGCGTTGTTGGTATAATCTTTTTTATTTGTCCTATCGTTAAAATAACAAGAACATATTTTAGCTGTAAGTAAAATATTTATAAAGTTATGATTATTGTTATTACATTTTTTTTAAATCTTGGACACACTACATGAATGTGAGGTAAGCTAAAAATTTAAAACACAATGAAAACCTAAGTTGGGTTTACTAGCTAAATAAAAGCTGACTTATTTTGAAGAACGCAAAATTACAAAATATTATATTATATACTGTTTACGATATGTAAAATATATTGATATTGCATCGTTTCTTAAAACATTTATTTAAATCATCAATCTTAAATCATGTCTAAGTACCTAAAGTGTAAGAATTTTATACGATTAGAATAAGCAACAAATAAATGTTAAGCCTTCATTAATTCACAATGCATTATATCGCATATTATTCTTTCGATGGCGTATTGTAAATTCATTTGAGTTTTTACTCATAAAGTATGCGTACGCGCCGACTTTTGGCACCGACCGTTTTTATAACCCTTAGTAAAGAGAAGTATTGGCGGGGTGTTATTCAGTTGAATTCTAGTCGAACTAGTTTTCTTCTATCTTAGAAGAAAACGATCAAATTTTAATTTGTTGGCTAATCTTACAAAATACACACAGTCTACGGTTAGCTTAAGTATTATTTATAAATTTAAGAACCATTGTTTATAACCTAATTACAAAATAAACATCACAGCTGTAGGAAGTTTAAATGATCTTAATAAGTTTTGTCGCAGTAAAACGCTACGTAAAATTGTATTCGAGTTAAGTATATCACTGTATCTTAGCGTAAATTATAATACAGGGATTATTTATATGTATATTAATTGCTATTTTTCCAAATATTGTCTAGATATTTTGTACGGACACCGATCTCTAGTACCAAAGATTATAGCGTTGATGTTAGAGTAAGAATAACATAGATATTATCTATTAGCATATTATATGAACGTCTGAAATGTTTGCTTGTCTGTCCTTTTATAATTAAAATATTAACCATAATTAATCCAATTTATAATTACTCGATTTTGTTTAAATAAAACACTTTAACGGTTTATAACGAGGAGACCCCCGTGACCACGGCTGCTGCAAAGCATCCGAAACGTCGGGACGAAGTTAAAAATAATTTTCAAATAAGTTTAACTAATATATCGCGTTTTAAACCGTTAAAATGTTTTATTTAAATGTGTACTACTCGCGTAAACTATAGACAATATTGACTTGATTTTGTCTTGTGGAACCTAACCTAACTGTTTCTCTGCTTATCATTAGGACTATTTGACAATGTACATAATACGAGTGTGAAAAAAATTAATTGTCAAAACGACACAGATAAAGCTAAAAGAACCCACATAACCTTGAAACGTGTTTTAAAAAGACCGCAGTTCGTTTGCCAAAAATTTCAAAAGTTTACATACGTGCCAAAATGGTGGAGTAAAACTCTTGTAATTTTGTCTACAATTAACCCTTGTTTATACCGTTATTACTTTAGGAGAATATGCGATTTGTAATATGTTATTGTATAATAAGGTTTCTCAAATAAATGTGTAAAGAAATGTCTGTTTTATTGACAAACACTGTTTTTAAACTTAAACCTCCTATATCATCGTAGTAAGAACATAGACCCATCCATCCGCTCCATAGTGGATAAGTGAGCTTTAAGTTACACCACTAATTAATCACAACCGACGTACAGCCTAGGTAATTTAAGATATCTAAAGCCAAAATAGGACGACAGCGCATCGTGTCAAGACGTTATATTTCTGGGGTACATTACCTTCCATCAAGTTGACACCATACTTGTCTGTGCTCTTATATTATAAAAAATCTTAGCCTCTCCGTACCTCTTAATGATAAAAAAACTATTTTTACAAATATAGGAAACGTTTTACAGTTTCTTAGAAGTTTAAAAAGACGAATTAATATAAACAATTATTCACATTAAAGAACCATTAAAACTTAGCTATCTTAAACAAAATCTTACGCGATGTGACAGCGAAAAAGTAATTATTTTCTTGAATGCACCACTGCAAGCTAAACGGCAATAAATCTCGCTGAATCGAGATGAGTCCCACTGATAAAAACTCTTTGGGAGTGTAAATAAAGATAATTCGGATACTTTATTTCGTCTGGCATAGGGTGAGTTACTACTTGATACATTAGGAATGCAAAACTTTTAACTGTACTCGAATTAAACAAGGAAAAGATACAAAAACTAAGAAAAAGGATTTATTGTAAGCGAAATTCCAGTTTATGCTTGTTGGACTGAGTAGTAGCAGTAGTTATTAACATGTTTCTGTTCATTATACTTAAGAATTTTTGATCTAGAAATTCTGTATCATAAATAAGTGGTAATCTTTCACAATCTATAGTAATATTATAACCGGAAAAGGCTGTTTGTTTGTTTGAACTATCCCAGGAACTACTGGTTCGAATTGATATGTTTTATCATTCTTCATTCTTTAAACATTTCTTTCTGTGTTGGTTGGAGCGTTTATCAAGGAAGGCTGGAAGCTATAAAATATCACGATACAACTAATAGAAGCAAAGAGACAGCGGGAAATGAAGAAAAAACGGGTAGAATTATTAATCGTTGTGGATTTCTGTTGCGAAAGCATTGTATGAAACATGTTTCAATAACTATATTAATTTTAAAATTGTATGAATGAAGCAATTCTTAAAAACGTAATTAAATTGAAAAAATTTTCGACTCGGGAACCGGCATCGTCAGCGTTATGTGCTGTTGAGCTGACTGATCTACTAGGTAGTCTACTATATAATTTAAACAAATTCTACGATAAATTAAGATTCACTTGAAAAAAGCGATCGTTTATAAAGATGAGGAGTTTTGCAAAAACTAATTTTGAGGCCCGAAATTCCACATGGTCGAAATCGCAGGCACAGCTAGTATTAGCACAGATTTAATCGTGAACATCGATTGAAATCAACAATTTATTTATTTAATAAGGCTTACTAATTACCTACACAAACATGTTTAAAACTACTTTAGCTAATTAAAGTAAGAATAATTCGTATGTACCATGTAGGATTGGTAGTAATTCTTATATAACAATCGATAGACTCGTGCTTGATGGTTTATTCAAATCGCTAAGACCTTAAGCTTCCAAATAACAAGGTAGCAATTAACGGCGAAGACAGAAGCTTGGAGCGACCCTTCTCAAGAAACTTGATCACCAACAAACTAGTCGAGTAATTATAATTCATCAATACTTTGTCACTTACATTGCTAATAACGGAAAATTATTTACACGTATTGGTACTTGCTTCTATATAATGTACTATTATTCACTTGTAGAAATTTCCTAAGTGCTTTGAATTCAGCAAGAAAATCCCATACTTCTAAAAAACTAAATTAACGTTACTTTGAGTTTCACTAAAAGTGTGAAACGACCGACGTTTAAATCTCAATAAACTTACAAACCGTTTAAAACCCAAAATATATTAGATTACTTATTTTTCTTTTCTAACTACAGTCCAGTGTACAGTAATCGTAATCCGCCCGTGACCATGGCTGCTGCAAAGCATTCGAAACGGCATAGTGAATAGTTTAAATAAATTAAAACTGAGTTAACTATATATATATTTCGAGAATAAGACTACAGACAATACCTATTTTATGAAATAGTTCAAGCTGGCTAGAGAAGCCGGATCACATATTTTTAATAACGGGACACACAAAATCGAAACTATATCACAGTGGTATTTTATTAGATCCATTAAACTGTTAGTTTTGTATATTATATAGATAGTTAATATATTATATACAATAATTATAACATAGGTACTTAAATATTACATCCTATTAATTTATCTATGGTTGTAAAATAATACAAGCAGATAAAAAACTGTGTGAACAGTTTATATTTTTAATTTGGACTTAGCCTCGAAATCTTGATGTTAAATGTGTGGTAGGAGTATCGAAATCAAAAATAGATCGACAGTGCATCTTCTTTAGATGTTATATAGCTAGGGTCTTTCGCCTACCATCGTGTGAAACCAATGTTGCCTGTCCTCTATCATAAAAGTGTGCCGACAAGCTATTAATTCCGTTCCTAAAAATATCATCGCCCCTTCCATAACTTTTCCTTTGACTTGTCCAAAAATATTGTTTCGTCCGTTTGATAAAAAGATTAATTGTGATCCGCTGACATTTATTGCGTCGAAAAGGATTGATTGTGAAGAACATGAATGGGCGAAAATCGTCTAACTTTTTACCTCCTCGACAAAAACATTTAACAGAAGCTCACGCAGTTCCATCATTGATATGTCGTTATTTTTAACATTCAACAACAAATTGCAGTATTTACTTGACATAATTGCACCTTCCAACTTTCTATATAAAAGTTTCATCAAAATTGACTAACAAAAGAAGCTTGAAAAAAATCCCAACAGAAGTATTATCAATAGTTTTCTCGACTAGTACGCTTAACTAAACACTTTTAACGGTTTAAAAGGCAAAATATACATAGTTAATTTATTTTAAATTTAATTTACATATAGCCCGACGTTTTGAAACAAATCGACACCCGAATTTAAAAATATTTTTAACTAATTTCGTTGTTAGCTACAAGTTTGTTTACTAACAACTTATTCTACCTTTACACGGCAATCTTAATACGATAGAATTACTAATTTTATAATGTCCATTTACATACAATAACAAATCTCATGAAGTGATATTTCTTTTTTTTGATATTTGCAAATTGCTATAACCAGACATAAGACAGAATAACGGTGTGTTTGCAAAAATACGACTTTACAGCAAGTTTGATTTATAGCCAGTAATAAAACACTTCTTGTCCCGTAGATTTTATAGTTGTTTGACGTAAAACTATATTCGTGTGAAACATCACTTTTTACGTATTTGATTTTATTGCTTCATTGAAACTCTAGTGGAGCCGACAACAACTTATTTGTTCACATAAAAATATGCATAAACATGGAAATATTGAATATACATTGCTAATGTGTAGCTTAAAAATAAGTATATTTTAAGCTATATACATATTGCTAAAAACCGCCGTGGATCCTAATTCTCGATATCTCTTAAGACGTTCTCTCAGGTCCGTCTGTGGTATATATTTTTTTACATTCTAATCTTTTGTAATAACTTTTTAAAATTTTTTAGTTCTCATTATGATTTTTAACTTCTGTGCCCCTCAACGAGTATAATCATAATTGTACTTTTCCTGCCTTAAACAACTTATAGCACATCAAATTTACAATTTAATAATCAGTTATACGTCCCTTACAATTTATTTTAGATTTGAATTCTCTCTCAATAATCAAGCACGAGAGATCCTAGGTTCGAATGATGGGTAAACAATAAATAATAAAACCCTTTAACGGTTTAAAACGCGATATATTATGATTTTCGCCAATTCGTGCAAAGGGGGTTTTTTTAATATTTTGTTTTAAACCGTTAAAATGTTTTATTTAAATGTTACACTCGCGTAAAATATTTAATTAAAAAACACAATTTAATAGATAATAATTCAGTATATGCAATCGCCGTTCATGCCACATATAAAAACCAAAGACCAAACTATCCCGCATTTTCTATAATTCGCTCGCAACTATACAGTGGCGTCACGCGAAATATCTTTATCTCTGTTTATGAGTTGTTGTCGAAGACAGCAATAAAATCGATAAGGGACTGCAAATAATCGGTCTGCGGTGACCCGATTTTCCCCGGGTCACGATCCGGGGTGCACGAGGTTAAACTATGGGCATTAATTTTTGCAACCACCAAATGTTACATAGCAACTCGTAATTCATAAATTCATTTATAATACGTAACATCTAAATTGAATTTGTTATATATGCTATTATAATGTCTGTAGTTTACGCGAGTAGGTGTACTACTCGTTTAAACTTAAACGGTTTAAAGCGCGATATATATTAGTCGTATAAATTTCGTCGAATACTTCCAATGGCAATAAAACGCCAAACCAGGTTAATTCAAACCTAATACATAATTGATCTCATTTAAATAAAACACTTTAACGGTTTAAGACGCGAAATATTAGTTAAACTTATTTAAAAATGATTTTTTTCGGCCCGACGTTTCGGATGCTTTGCAGCAGCCGTGGTCACGGGGAGACTCAAATAAGTTTAACTAATATATCGCATTTTAAACCGTTAAAGTGTTTTATTTAAATGTGTACTACTCGTGTAAACTATAGATTGTATATAATTGATCTCTGTTATGCTAAAGATATGTATATATTTATGTTCGACGTTACACATTGCATTTTAAAGCCGGGAAACGGGCGGTAATTGCTGGTTTGTAATAGGATTGGTAATCGGCTTATCTATATAATTTAATACCCTAAAAATATATTTCTCCAATTTTGCGACATTTAGATCTCATAGCATTTTCTTAAAAAATGGGGTTAACATTACACAAGTAAGAAGTAAAGGTGCAAATACAAGTGTACATAAATAATTTAAGCATTAAACTCTCACACGACTCTACAAATTGACATAACACCTTAATTCGAAGTATAATTTTTTTTTCTGTATCAAATTCGTCTTAAATTCTTAACAGTCCAAATTGGAACCGCAAAGTTTTAAAGTTTGAAGGCCTATTTATACAATTGTTTGGTATACTTAGTCATGGATTTAATCCCTACTCCGTTTTGGAATGTAAAGAAATTATTCATGGTTGATAAATTTAAACTCCCTTTGGGTTACTAGTCAATTCACTTATATTAAAAAACGGCATTAGCTAAAGCGTGAGGTATGAAAACGTTGGTAAGTAACCTCGTCTGTCCTCTTCTGCCACCAATCAACTAAAATATGAACTCTATGACAGTGTATAAGGTTCTATTTTTTGGTTTAGATTTTAGATATATACACGAGATTTTTACCTATTATTACCGCGTTTTGTTAATTATGTGTTAAGAAGATGAGCGTTAGAAACAAACAAACAAATTAACACGTTAAGTCTCGGAGACTGCAAGGGTCCTGACGTCACCATTGTAAAGCATCCAGACCATCGTGTCATAGATACATTAATTTAACTAATATTATTCGGGTTTTAAACCGTTAAAAGTGTTTTATTTAAATATCCTACTTGTGTAAGCTCCAGATAGTGAATCATTACTATACCTTTACGTAGGAAAGAAAGATAGCCTGTAAGGCTTTTGAATATTATTAATATGTCACTAAATGATTTACATCTGTTGATAAGAACAAATAGAAGTTCCCGATATTTTATATCTGCTGACACAAATTACTCGCTATCTTATTATCGATGGCCTATTTTAGTATTCATAGTCTAGTATAATATCTAGATATATAAAGCTTTCTTCTGATTAAACATATATGTTTTTATCATTATGTTATATAATACATTTTTACCTTCCAAATGTCTGTCTGTCAAAAGGCTGTCTGTCGGTTTCTATGGCTCATTGTATTGTGCGGGAGAGCTTCTGGTTTATTGAAACCAGAACTTGGGGATTGCCCCAAAAACACGTAATAAATAACTGATGATACCATTCTCTGTAAATAAAATCGATCTAAAAAGGACACAAAAATATATAATTTTATGCCCCTTATTTCACTTCTCTATATTTAAGTGGATGTAGATGAAACATTGATGACAGATTTTGACTGTTGTCTAATTTAAAGTTAAAATATAATCAGATATAATATAATATTGTAAGCTTCGTGGCTTAATTTTGTTTTGCATACCCACATTCTGGGGTATAAATAGTTTCGGGTTGGGTGGGGCACACAATTTTTTTTTATGATAGAGGACAGACAAGCTTGGGGTTCATTTGAGTAGTGAAAATACTTCAGCTAAGTAACATCTTTAGCAAGATCCGCTGTCGAACTATTTTGAATTTGGATATTGAATGGAAGGTGTCCTATATGATTATTGTATCTCCACAATACCCTCCAACCATTCTACTACAATGACATTACTATCTTCCTACAATAAGCAAATGAGGGAGCGTAAATATTGTTCTTACTGCAACTGCTGCAACAAACCCAATGCAATTAAAATACAGCACCATGGGCTGCGTATGCTGATTCAATAGTCAATGAGCCACGAAAAACGTTGGCAACACCGCGCAGAGGGTTTTTATTGGCTGCAATTTTTATTTCTATCGCCAATAAAGAAATGGTGGCCGTATGTTTGCTTTAATCGGGATATTTTCGATTAAAGCAAAACTATGGCCACAAATTGTAGATCCTCTTTGTAGTATACTTAAGTATGTTTATAGTAACATACAAACATGGAGTCATACAAACGTGTTTCCAGCGCTCCCTCAAAAGTACCGTAGTGGGCTATTGATGTGTTTAGTGGTTGTGGTCGATTACTGACTCCGAGAAAGACGTGTACTCCGGTGTAGTACGATTCAGCACACTCCCCACGTCACTATTGCGCGACGCGAGCGTGCATTATGCTTTCCTTCAGTAAAAAAATGGGTATTTAAAAATATCTATCAGTAAAAGTATCATTCAGTTATGAACTTCCTACTGGCTCATTAGTTAAATGCATTTGTCTAGCATGGTATTACCCTGGGTCCTAGGTTGAAACTCCGTGGCGAACGAGTTGGTCGGTATTTGGAACGAGAGTTTGGTGTTGGTCGGTATTTGATATTTTTTGTCTTTGTAAAATTGTACTCAGCACTACACGTAGTACATACTAATTTAACTCGGTACTCGTAAAAACATGTTTTATAATTATAATGAATTTATATCATAAATATATTTCAATTGCAATAAAAAGGACTTGCCGTGTTTTTGGCTTTTTTTATTGTCACCCTAAGCTAACAACTGCGCACAGTTTCTAAATCTAGACAATATCTCCCACAATAAGCACTGAACATAAATCTATGTAAATTTGACTAAACCCGAATAGAACGGACAATATGCAAGCTCTTCATGCTATCCTTTGGGAGCATAACGCTCCAAATGCAAAGCTGGGAGTTGCCTTACGTATAAAATACTTGTGCAGTTTCCTTGGAAATACAGGTTCCTTGAAACTAATCATAGTTTACTAAATCTATCCTTCAATCTTTCTTTTATATAACAAAAAAGCGTGCCACCTATGTTTAGGCCCCTATTAATAAATATTAGTAAAATAGTCCATTTAAACAAATCAGTAAATAATAATAAAAACTTTTTAAATACTGTCTATAGTTTACGCGAGTAGTACACATTTTAATAAAACACTTTAACTGCCTAAAACGCGATACATTAGTTGGGTAGTTGGTATAGTTACCACGGCCGCTGCAAACCATCCAAAACGTCGGGCTGAAGTTAAAAATCATTTTCAAATAAGTTTAACTAATATATCGCGTTTTAAACAGTTAGTGTTTTTATTTTAAAACTTTTTAGATCACTTTTTCTAGGTATTTTTCTTGCTGGCTTGATGATTTTTCGTATTACTTATCAAAAAAAGTTTTCACTATTTTCATATAAAACCTTAAGCTATTTGAAAAGACATTCATTCCAAAATCAAATAGCTTGTCAAATTGCAACGCCGGACAATTTTACATTCATCTCCGCTCAGCCACAAAATTTCAGTTAACAATGCATATTTAAGATTTTTTAAACCCGTTTACCATGGACTTATTTAACTAAACCCCATTCAGCCCCATAGCTTACTGCAGAGATAATACCAAGCCAACGATATGGAAAAGCCAAGTAAGTTAGTCTGATGCATTATTATATGAGAGAAAACTGTTCACAAATCCGTATGGGCCTTTTATTCTGGAAACCTGCATCGGACTTTAGGACACTTCAGTTTGAATAAGCGGAGTGACTGCTTGCAGTTGGATATTCTGGGTCATTCTCTCTGGTTAACTTGCGTTACCAAATATCATAAAAGTAGCTATGTATTACTTTATTATTAGATTTATTTTTAAACCATTAAATGCATCAAACCATATTTGTATTAAATCAATCATTACATTTCAAATCAATTATATAAAGTAATACAAAAATAGAAATGAACTTTTGAAAACTTTAATATTTTTCACATGATGGCACTATATAAATTAAAAATCGATTATTTCCTAAATACGCAAGTATTAAGGTTGAATAAAATCGATAACGTGTAGGACACGGTAGCTTAATTGGTTAGAGCACGGCTGTTGATCGCAATTCAAGTCCTGCCGTAGTTTTTTTTTAATTTCTATTCGATTTTATTTATTTATAAACCTTATAAATTAGATGACAGGGAAATCTTACATGTTTTTGTTACGGTGTTAAATAGCACACATCCAAAATTGCTATCACCTTCAAATCTTCCAGAGAGGACGCTCGAAGAACTTTTAGACCTGACAGATACTGAATCATCTTCCTCCAGTAACGGAGTATACGGAACTAATCAACAGTTTGTGTTAGAATTGCACGATCTCAAGAAGGACGACCCCCAAGCCCCAACAGAGCACACAGCACCGAGTGATTTGAAGAAGAAGAGAAGGAGGAAGCGGGCCCAACCAACTACAGAGAGGAGCACCACTTCTACTTCTAGTGCAGCATCAGATGCTAACCCGAAACCGGAAGATGCAGGAAAGGAGGAGTTTTATGATGCGAGTGGTAGCTTGCACGCATTGCCGGGTAAGAAGCAGTTTAGTCTCTTATTAAACCCTATATTTAAAGAGGTGTATAAGTACATAATGGTGAAACGTGTTACGTCATAGCATCACGTTTAGAGCAAGAGTTCGTGGGTTCAAATCCTGGGGAAACAATATATTGTTTTGGTCGGGTGGGGTCACAGAAGTCTTAACTACTGTTGTAAATTAAACCGATCAGTGATTTGGACACAGAAATGTGTATGGCCTATGCTCCACGCAGGTAAACGGGATTTCACTTAATAAACATATAATATATATTTTTATAATATAATGACTTCCTGTAATGTTATTTTTTTAATGTAATGCTTAGATGGAAATGTCTTTATGTAATGGCTGAATTTTGGGATTGTCTTTCAAATATAATCTTTTTTGAAATCAAACTTTATTCGGTAAAATAAGTGACAGTTGAGTTCGTTCTGTTTCTACCATATAATATAATGATATTTGGCAGTGTGTAAACATAGGCTACTTTGTATATTCGTTTCATACATTCATCTTGTTAATTTCAGAAAACCAAACAAAGCCGACTGGCACTATAGTACTGGCGCAAGCGCACTCTGAACACGGCCAGGATCCAAAGGCAATGACAGATCAAAGAACATCAGCAACACCACGACAACCATCTACAATAACGGTAAGCTTTATTAAATTGAATAGGTCGATAGAACGACTTGTGTGTTATCATTTTTTTACTATACAGTTGTTTAGTTAGAGGGCGGCAAGTCGAGTTATTTTATTAAACTGTAATAATTACTGTCTGTAGCTTACACGTGTTGTGCACATTAGAATAAAACGCTTTAACGGTTTAAATCGTGATGTATATTAGTTAATCTTAACTACGGCCCGACGTTTCGGACGGTTGGCAGCAGCTCCTCGTTTTTATTTAAACTGTTAATATTCTTAAATTAAACTGTATTATTATGTAAACAGCCAAAATTGTACCTCTATTGGTAGATTTACTCTTCTCTATGCAGTAGAGAAGATTTAATAGGAAAAAAAAGCAAAAAAAATAAGGGCCCCCCCCAAAAAGGGGGCCCTTTTGGGTTTTCCCCCGGGCCCCCGGCCCCCCCCCCCCCCCCCCCCCCCCCCCCCCGGGGGTTTTTTTTTCCCCCCCCGTCCCCCCCCCCCCCTTTTTTTTTTGGCACGGCGGCTGCTGCAAAGCATCTAAGACGTCGGGCCGTAGTTAATAATAAATTAGTTTAAATTAAGCGTTTTAAACCGCCAAAAAAAATACCTGTAACTGTAATGACTATATAATATATGTTCCCTTTTTTACAGAAACCTGTCGTGCCTCCCGATGAATAGTCAAAAATAATAAAAATATTTAATAAATGGATAGACCTTTTGGTGGCCACAAAATAGAAGCCATATAATATGCCGTTACAAGATTTTTTTCCACAATGCACATAAACTTCACTAAGATTCGAATAATTCCATACCACCAAGGTCTGCCTTTAACTTGACGCTATATTTGAGTTTAATAAGCCTTAATAAAAACATTTCATCACAGTGGTTTCTTTTTATTAAATACAATTTTAAGAGACAAATTCTTCTATATCAGTAATAATGTTGACCTAAATGTGTGACAAAATTAAATGAGTTACTGGAATGCACGTCGTTCTTCTGTGGCAGGCTGTCGAGCAATTGCTGCGCCATTTGTATGTATTGATTGAAAATCGGATATAGACGGATAGGGTAGAGTAGAGCAAGAGCACGGAACGCTGCGGTCACGGGTTTAAGACCCAACAGTGACATGACTTTCTTAAAAGGATTTTCAATTTTTAAATATTGTATCCGTATCCATCTAATTGGTTATCATTTAAACGTACCTAAGTTTACATTCATATTTTAGATGCAACTTTTTAATAAATTTTATGCCATTTTGTCTAACCGCCTCGACTTGAAAATCGCATTGTTAAAATTTAACATCGATCATTAAAGGAAATTGGCAATACTGTTATCATATTATAATAATAATAGAATATAATCTGTAGTTTCAATCACAAGCAAAATCAACAATTTCCATAAACAATACGAATTTATTAAAAAATCGCTCTATAGAAACGTTGCTTTGAAATAACAAAAAAGACGTCAACTGTGTCATTGAGTTGAAAGGGTATTTGCTTCGGCGCTCGAATTTTGTTTTGTTATAAATATTACTCGGGAGTCCCGTTCAGTCGGGACCTCCCGGGGAATTGTATTAGCGACTCAACTGTTCTAATCAAAGCTATGATAAATGCGTCTTAGCCCAAACCGAACAAAAACACCCCGTTCTTACAGTGATGGAAAAACCGACTCGAAATAAAAATAAAAGCAAAACATCTGCAATTAAGCAGAAATCTGGGAAACGCAAAAGTGACGGTAAAGATTAAACTATGTTTTCGATTTTCTTGCTTTTCTAACCTCTATAAGAGACTTACTAGTTAACCTTTCATACCAGGTCCGACTTGCTCGATGTTTTTAGCTGATCTAACGAGGAAATTAATGCTAAAAAAGAAACAAGATTCCAACGCGCCATTGAATATTGTCCGTTAGTGTTTCAATTGTTTAGTCCTTTTTGTTTCACGTTATAATGGATTTAAGCAACAGACTTTTTGTTTTCATAGAAACAATTATTGAAAGCATCACTAACGCACTACCAGTAAAATTATCTAGAAAATCTCCCCCGAGGAAAGATTCGCCTATGAAAATTGAGACTTTGCAAACTTACGCTCCCGAACTACTACCAAATGATACATTGGACATACCGAGACCAGTATTAATTATAGCGGAAGATCCTCCTATAGAAGAAAGCCCAATCACCAAGGGTAACCTCAAAATTCCTAAGATGCCGCTAACGAACAGTGACGTATTTAAACCGGCAGAGAGAAAACTTAACATTGTAACAGAAGATGTTGCTTGTAATACAGGAAATGATAAAGATGTAGCCGGGGAGATTGCCAAATATGTGGGGACGCTGAGAAGAATATCATTGATCGCTGAAGAGTTTAATCAAAAGACAGGTAAAATAAATATTACCTGAAGATGTCCAACAAATTAAACAATTGATTATTCAATAAATTTGTAATGTCTACATTATACTTTACAGCTAAAAACCTCAAAGAAATAGTGGACAGCGTCCAAGAAGATCTTATCAAAAAGTTAGAAGAAATACAAACAGACCAAGCAATTAAACCAGAAAGTACAAGAAACATCACAATAGAAGCAGCTATTAAAAAATAAACACTGTCACTGACTTAAGAAGATATTATTTTGGCATATCTGTCAACATGATTACTCTGGTCAACCAAATTTATAGTAAAATAAATCCCGTAAAAATATCTACTTCTGGTTTCATTTGCAGAAATTCTAAGTTTATAATGTATACTAGGAAAAACTAAAATCTAATCTCAGTAAGAGTTCAGTTTGGTGTTGGAAATATATAGAAACTTAATTGAACAAACAGAGTGACTTAAGCTTCATTTAATAAACATGGAAAACGCATACTTAGAAGTTGCTCCAAATCATTCCAACACGAAAGATTACACAATTGCTTTTGGCCGAATGACGTCACTGAAAAGTACTACAAACAGAGGTAATGGTTCTGTATGATAAAATTAAATTCGGTTTAAGTATCATAAATACGTAATACTAAATACTGTATGTTTTAGCATCGAGACAACTTAATAGTCAAGACAAGAAAGATGATAGTAAGACATATAAAACAAAGCAACCCCTGTCTAGGAAAAACCTTCCCCATAGTAACGGCGTTATTGATATAGCAGGTACTGTTATAGTAATATTAACACAGAAGTTAAGTAACATAAATATATATATGAAACACATTTTTGTTACAGGTGAACCGGCTACTAGTAGGAAGCTAAGAGGCCCGCCCCAGAAAAAAATAGATTTACAAAGTAATCAAAACATTTTATTAAATTTATTTAGATTTCAAAACAATATAAACTGCCGGGATTCAACTCGAAGACAATACATACTAGTAGTAAAAACTACATACAATACATTTAACAATCCCAGATTCTAGTTACTTAATATTTACCATACCTATTCACTGTAATTTAATTGTTTTGTAACAGAGCCAGAAAAGCAGTTGAAGATTAACCAAATGCCAAAACGTAATTTAAATCCCATCAAGAAAAGACCGTCTAAAGAAAAGCCGCATAGCCACTTAACACAGAACCGAAATGTTCAAAGGGTAGAAATCTTCAACACGGCACCAGGTAATCTGTTAAACACTACACAGAAGATAAAAGTATTAAAAAAGTTAATTTATTATCGCTTTTAGATTTTAAACAAGTTCTTGAAGTGCCACCTTCTCTTGCTACGACAAGGCCAATCCCAACGTTGGGATTGATTTATGGAGATTCCATACTGAGTAATGACATTTACAATGGTAATAAATTAGCTTTTTTGTAACAATCGAAAACTCCCCAAGACCATACATGATTTCATTAATTTCAGAATTATCTTTGGTTGCAGATTACTTCTTGGATGCGAGAAATGAAAATCATAATGATTATAATCATCCAGATTCAAGTACCGTTCCTGATATAACTTGTCCTGTTAATGCTATCTGTGGTACATAACAAAATTAATTCATTGACATAGTTAGTTGTTAAATGCTAATTTTTAATATGTTTCAGGCAACAATAATGCCAGTGAAGACCAAAATAAGTCTTCAATAATTAGTTTGAAATATGGTAATAAAGCCTTCAAAACAACGAATGATAATATAAAAGATTGGCTAACCTCAGAACTAGAAAAACCAACACGAGATAATGAATCCGGTAAAGTTAAATTTATTTAAAAAAGGGATTACATTTTAAGAATACACCGCTTGAAAAATGTGATATTTCAAGTCACTCGTGTGGGGTAAACACCATTTGCGTCCGTTTCATTGATCAATTGTAATAGACAAATTGATCGGGCATCTATTTTATTTGTATATATTTCTTAGATTTAATCTCTTGTGAAATACTAGATGAGTTTAACTTTTTATCCACTGAGACTGTCAATGTTCCAGCTTAATATTTATTTAGATGTAGATCTCTTAAATGAGAACTATATCAAACAATCTTTTACTAATTTCAGGCTACCATTCTACTAGTCCACCAAGGCAATCTGATGATAAAAATAAATCAAACACCCCAAAAGATACGAAAGCCGATATCATTCGGAAATATTCTCTCCTTTTTAAGAAACGAAGAGAAAACAAAAAGTCTGTTTCGACCACTGACATATCTAAAAAAAGTAGTGGTAAATTACTAGTACTGTTCTTTTATCTATTTTTAAGGAAATCCATAAGCGTATGATTAATATCTAAATTTAAATGTAGATAAATGTATTGTTATTATGCCTCATACCTTAAACAGTAAAATAATTTAGTAATTTTAAATCTTAAAATTACAGGGTCAAACTCCGTGAAGCAAAAGTCTACAACACTAAAGAACCAATTTCCATTGCCAAAGATGAATACCGAGACAAAAATGCTCAGACCTTCAAATCCTGGTATGTTCTTCTGTAGCAGGTCAGGTCCAAGGGTGTATGTATTAAGTGCTTTTAACTATAGCGATAAATCACGAAGTATTTTTTTTAAGTGGCTATAAAAATTACACACTGGAATGTGTTGTTTAAAAATTCATAATTATTTAAATATTTTTCTATTTAAATTTTCTACTACAACTTATCTACAACTAATCACTAAGGAACTCAGAAAAGGAGATATTGTATAAGTTATACATGTAAATTAGAAATCTATTAAAAATTTAAAAATTTTAGCCTCGCAGGACTTCCACCGGACTTCCATGCTGTTGCTCTAACCGATTGAGCTACCGAGTCCTATAGATTATCGTTGAATTTTCCACCTAGTGATGCATACACCTCTCGCTCAATGTAATTGAAAGCTACATGTAATAAAAAAACAACCTTCTACCTTTGTTAATTATAGGTAGAAAGGTTGTTTTTTTTTGTCACGGGATTGGCGTAAAAAGTTAAATTAAATTAGTAAAGCATCCCAAACGTATTAAAATATTGTATTTGTAAAATGTGTACCAATTGCACAAGTTACCACCATAAATTATTGTATATACGATTTCTATTGTGAATTTCAGTATTTTACACAACTTACAAATTCCCATCTACGCCCAATCCTACACACAATCAAGAATACAGTGCCAGTGCTGGTGTACCATCTTACGTTGAATGTCCGTCAGAGGTTTTACAGAGAACTACTAACTTCGAAACGGAAGGTGGAATATTTGGATATTAGTATTTTATGAGTATAGTTATTCAATTTCAGTGTTACAAGTTAGAATAATCATATTCCCTCTTGTTCGTGCTATGCAATAAGTGCAAGAGGGGATCGACATTTTTACGTTTAGCTTGGATGAATTGACAAAAGCATCACTCTATGACATATGTATTTTATAATTCTATCGCAATGGATATTGTTCTGTAATGTAGAATATGTCTATAATGAAAAATAAATATTTACAATCTTTTACGCATCTAAAGTTAATATTGATTAAGTCGTTCTACCGCCAGCAAGAACGGTTATGGGCATGGTATAGTGGCACCAGAATCGTGTTCACTCCACTAGTCGCTAAACCTCAGGAGTTATCAATATTAATACTCGCTTGGAGGTTAGAACACGCCAAAAGACCAGCAAGCGATTAGTTCTTCATTGTGAGTGAAGTTTGTCCAGGAAATACTTGCCCAAGCGACAAAACTATCACAATTTAAACTCGCGTTTTGTAAGTCGCTAATTCTTGTTGTTGAATTTTACTCGTCCCTCATTCATCACAGGTCGAACTACTATGGCGCCTGGGCAGTGTATAAATGTATAATTTAAGAATTAAATGCTAATGATAAAAAATCTAACAGGTCGAGAAACACCAAGCACTGTAAACGGGAAGGAAGACTTCCGTGATGACCTCTCTAGTCACGCGGCATGCGAACATCTGGATGATTTTAGTGAAACAACTGATCTGTGCGATTGGATTCTACCAAGCTCCCAGTGCAGTGCAGTCTTCAAAACCTCGAAGGAGTCCAATACTACACTCAGCTCGTGGCGGGGCCGAAGGGATAATCTGTCTAGTGACTTTTCCATGTTTAAATATCCAGGTAAGACGTAAATCTGCTATGAAATATATATTTTTATACGTAAAGTAAAACATCGTAAATAATCCTTACTTAATATTATAAATGCGAAAGTAACTCTGTCTGTCTGTTACTCTTTCACGCCAAATCTACTGAATGGATTTGAATGAAATTGGTACACATATGGTCTGGACCCTGAGAAAGAACATAGGCTACTTTTTATTGCTAAAAGGGGACTGTAAGGGGTTAAAAGGGAAGGGTGAAAGTTTGTATGGAAATTCGTGGTTTTTAAAGATAGAACATTGTAATTTTCTTCTTTGGCTTTTTGAGAATAGGATTGGGGTAAGAGTGGGAGTGGGGGTAGGGGTGGTAGTGGGAGTGAGATTGAGAATGGGAGTTAGAGTAGGATGTGTGCGGTGAGAGTGTTGCGGCAAAGTAGCACTTACAACATAGATTGGCTGCGATAAATACGCAATTACTAAATAATAAATAGCCTAAATAATTAAAAATTCTACCCCAAGTCACTATTCCACGCGAACGAAGTCGCGGGCACAGCTAGTTATAATATAATTTAGTCAAATTACTATTTATATAACTGGTAGCAAATCGTTATGTGGAGTAGAACAATATATATTTAAACCTAATAACGAATATATTCTTCTAAAAGAGAACTGCAGTTACCACGAGTATTTTTACCACTACTGCTGGCGTAAAGAGGGGGCCGGCAGAGACATTGACAGACAACAGATCCGCGACTGCTTGGGAAGGTGCAAGAAATGTCAGAAATATAGACGCCACCCAAACAACAGGGATAAGAGTAAGCATTAAGAATAGATTGAAATCTAATCGTTCATGCTATTGAGGTTTACGCAGACGGCTTATATCCTAAAGAAATAAAATACATTATAATTGAGCACAGGTGGCATATATATTTTTTTTATTTTAGACGAGGACGGGCAATCATGGTGTGCTAGATGAGCCCTAGTTTATAGCATTTAAACAAGATGTGCTGTCAATCTAATTTGGCTTCTGATATACGAACATCCACAGACTGAGACGTGATTAAACTTCACAGCTTTTTCATCTGTGGTTGTTCGTGACCTGGACGGAATTTCGATATTCCTACCACCCGTTTAATATCGAGATATCCATACGAAGTGCAACATGTTTTGGAAAGATTATAATGACATTGCGTTATATTGATACACGACACGGTAGCTCAATTGGTTAGAGCAACAGCACGGAATACTGTGGATGCCATTTTATGCACGATATGTAATTGATAGAGTGACGTCTTTGAAATATTTATGAATATAATTTATCGATTATCGATTTTCAATAAAGATTGTTATATTACAACACTGTCTATTCACAGATATTGTTGAAGTATGACAATGTTTACATTAAATACTGTCTATAGTTTTCGCGGAGAGTAAACATTTAAAAAAAACCCCTTTTCGGTTTTTAACCCCGAAATTTTTTTTTATTTTTTTTTTAAAAATTTTTTCCCCCCCCCCCCGACGAGGAGCTTTGCAGCAGACGGCTGCGGCGGCTTTTCAAATAAGTTTAAATAATATATCGCGTTTTAAACCGTTAAAGTGTTTTATTTAAAAATGTTTACATGTTCTATAAATTGAGTTGGAGCGAAATAGTTATTTTATTTTATTGTATCTTCCAGTCTCAATGAGGTTCGTCAAACTGAAAAACCGAATGACTTTAAGCCGTGTCTGTAAACATCGTTTGAATCGAGTGTGGAAGAAGACGACTAAGAGATTTTCCGATTGGTCAAAGTCTACGTCTAGAAACACGAGAGGTAATTTGTATCATAACTGTACTTTTTGAGAAGATAAAAGCAATCTGTGTAGTCATTTGATTGGAAAATAATTCCTTATTTTGTGTAGTGTATTGTTTTTATCGTGAGTTTATATAATACAATGATTCATATCATTCTCGAGACAAATATGTGAGGAATAACATATACATGTGCTGTCGTAGTTTACGTGGTAGTATATATTTCAATAAAACTCTTTTAACGGTATAATACGCGAAATATATTAAGTAACTTATTATATTGTAGTAGTTTTTTTTAAATATGGCCCTACGTTTGTAAATCTTTGAAAATCTTACGACGTCTTGACCGGCAAAAGTGTTACTAGGCGCATCTCTAGTTTAAACCATACATAAAAAGAAATTCGGTATTACTTCAAGTATTTTCTGTTATGTATGCTAGTAGTATATTGGAAAGGCGCGGGACGTCTTGGTGAATATAATATATCAATAGAACGCGCGGTGAAACGCCAGGGTTGAAATAAGTAATAATTCGTGTTCTATACAGTTAAATAAATAAATAAAAATGTTATATTAAAACTATTTTCGTGATCGTTTGCAAAATGGTGGTGTTAATGTCTGTAATTTTCGCAAGTAGGACTTAATAAAACATGGGGCGGAATTTAAAACATATTGTAAATAAGTGAACTAACACGTTTCGTGTTTCAAAACGTAAAACTGTGTTCTTTAAAAATAGAGGTGTCACAAACAAAAAGTGTCTGAATGGCGAAATGAAATTTTCTCTGAAATTGACTGAAACTTGATCTTATTTACGTCTAGAGGACGGAGGACGGAATATCAATATGGGATCCCTTTTGAAACACAGTGATTTCTCTCGCGAGGGAAGCCAATTACACTTGTATATCATGTATGGAGCTATATCGTTTTATTTCAAGTATGCTGAGCAAGTCAGATATAGAAAGATATTATGTCTCGGAAACCCATAGCGATGATTATTTTTCCCCGATTCTTCCACATTTCTCGCTGTGTCTTCGCTCGTCAAGAGCAACGTTAGCCTATAACCCTCCCCGATAAATGCTCTAACCAACACAAAAATAATTTTTAATTCGAACCAGTAGTTCCTGAGATTAGCTCGTTCAAACAAACAAATAAACTCAGCTTTATTTATTTGTATAGATGTGTGAGAATTAATGGTATTATTATCACCACTAAATGTATAATATCCTTAATTAACATATCTTCAGTTCGAATGATGCACTACTTACAACGCTACCACTGGGACAACGCGGATGTGCAGACAACCCTTCTTGTATATCATGAGACAGGTAACTTATAGTAATACAAAGACTATAAGATTATGTTCACTCACCGAATTGCCCAGGCCAATAATGGACAACCACCATGATATTTAAATAAAACACGTTAACGGCTTAAAACGCGATATATATTAATTTAAGTTATTTAAAAATGGTGCCCCCGTGACAACGGCTGCTGAAAAGCATCCGAAACGTCGGGACTTTGCAGCAGCCGTTGCCAACTTTATTGAATATTCTCCTTATAGGCACAGATGCGGTCGCGAAAAACCAAAAATCGGCGAATATCGCTACGGAATGCAGCGAGCCAAGCAAGCCAAAGGAAACGGGTATGTAACTGCCTATTAAAATGATGCTTACACATAATCACATGCTCAAAACAATTTTATTATTGTGCCCTTGCATAAGGGGTATATATAGTAGAGAGGGACATCAAGCATAGCGTTTAACTAAGGGGAAATACCCCAGCCATGTAACGTCTAAAAAAATGCGCTGTTGTCCTATTTCTGCTTTGAATATTCACAGACTGAAACCGAAACGCGATTAAACTTGTATAATCTAATTTTGAACTCCCGTTGAAGAGACACATACATAATTATTTTAAATTTCACGAATTATTTTAATTTTGAAATTGGTCACATTTTTGTCCCATACCCGACTGCAGGTAATCGTGATTCACACAACACAGGACCTTTTAATACGTTAAGTCAAGTGGAGCAACCAATTGAATAAAGCGTTTAAAATATTATATATAAATTCTCAATGTTTAAAATCAATTTTGAGGTTCAAAATGATAGTATTTTATTTATATACACATATTTAAACCTGGTAGAGACAAATTACTGTACTGTTATTATTTCCCAGTGTTCAAACGAAGATAAACTTTCTATATGATTTGATATTCAAAAAATGTTTTTAACGGTTTAAAACACCATATATATTAGTTTAACTAATTTGAAAATTATTTCAACTACGGCCCGACGTTTCGGATGCTTTGCAGCAGCCGTGGTCACGGGGAGACACGGTCCGTAGTTAAAATAATTTTCAAATAAATCTACTCGCGTAAACTACAGATTTTTTCATATTTTTTATAGTGTTTTCTATTTTTTTTAGTGGGAACTGCTATCTCATCGACGATTTATAAAGCTCGCACCAACCATGTAAATGTCGGGCCTTCTTTATTTCCGTTTATCAAGGAAATGAGTAAGGATTATTTATTTTAATTTTAAGAATATATACATATATTGGATGGGTGTTTATGGGGTGGGGCAAAGACATATCATTGTCAGTTTCACTAATCGATTTTATTATATGTCTTCGTAGCTCAATGCTTAAGTAAGGTCCTCAATTCAAGTCGTCAGAATGTTTAATGTATTAAGGAATTGAGTATTTTATTTTCATGTGTACTATAATCAATTAATTAATAAAAAAATATTTAGTTCTTGAAACGACTACCACAACGTTTCATAAATACATTGAGAGGAAATTCAAAGATCTCAGTATAATCTTTCTTTGGATTTCAAAATCAATATCTTTTCTAGGACCTCAAACCATATCGCAAGCTTCCTCGCCACAAAAGAGTAAAATAATACCAGATGTTATAAAGCTGAAAGAAATCGCAAACGTAATTACGAATTCGAAAAATACCGGGACAGAAGGTAAATGGTGTTATTTTATTTACCAACAATAACCTTATAGGTGTCGTCTCGTGTCTCGATTAATATCACGTGACGCCAGCGTGGAATTTCGGCAAATTGGCAGTTCCATTAACTCACTTAATATAACTATCTTATGCCTGAGACCTTATGTAGGCAACAGTGTGTAATGAAATTAAAAATGCATTTTAGATTTAAAAAAAATCTACGACATGGACAGAACTTAAACCGGCATCCACAATGTTATGTGCTGCTGCTTTAACTAATAAAGCTAGTAGCTGCACCCTATTCATTGCTGTTGTCAATTGATTTGAGTGACAGCACCAAAAGTTTTGGATGCCGGTTCAAGTCCTGCCTTTGTCGTTATTTTTTTTTTAATAGTGAAAAATTAAAAGTTTTCAAGTGTCGTATTTTTTATTTAATTTAAATAGTAACAGTTCTCAAGTGCCAGTTATTTAGTATTAAACGTGATAAGTCTTCATTTTAAACCGTTCAAGACATGAAGTTTTTTTTAGCGGCTTGTGCTATAAGTACATCAACAAGTTTAGACAACGCTTGGATTACCACGGTCGATAAAAGCTCAAGTGAGTACTCAGTGTGTTTGTCGTTACGGGGTATTCAAAAATGATTAGTTTTATTATTCGTAGAATGTTTTTTTATTATTTTATTTTATCCATAACTGGAAATGTATGTAAGGGAAAATTAAATGATAATATGTAATGAATTCAGTAAAGGTTAGTTAAATCTTAAATTAAACGTTTTGTTTTTTTAGGTGATTATTCTTTTATTTTTTCCTACTTAATTAAGATTTAGTTAAAGATTTTTTTTTTTTAGTTATTTAATAAAAGTTAGTAATTGATAAATGCATTTGTAATGCATTTATGAATGTATATAATATCATAAATGTATGGATGTAACACTGGAATATATAAAAAAGTGAATACACATATCTTTAATATTCAGTTACAGAGTCAGTCTTCTTATCTACGAGTGATGTGACGAATACACCATCTTATTTGAATGAGGCTTTACAACAGTGCATATGCAAGCCCATGCTGGTCGCTTGTCACAATGCGGGTATGTGAAATAATTGCTTTAGTTTAGATATCAATATAAAATTAACACAAATTAACAAACTTTATACGCGAGTTATACTAGTTAACTTATTTGCAATCTAGCATCGTAGATAAAATTAAATTTGAAGTAAGTTAACTAGCATATGTCTCGATTTAAACCGTTAAGTGTTTTTTTATACACAAATATCCCTAAGTCCACTTTCTGTGGTTATTTGATTTCTCTTTGTTCTCGGGCTTCAAACCTATAACGTTATGTGCTATACGTAATCCAGCTGCTTTACTAACTCAGGGTGCAATGGTGGGAAAACAATACTGATGATCGTGGGTTTGAATCTCGCACGCGTCCCATTATTTTAATCTAAATAAAAATAATTTTATTATTAAAGGAGGGTTGCCTGGAAGAGACGTACTATAGTATAGCCCATTGTACTCCATATCTAGTATTAATATTTTTAGAATTTTAAGTAAGTGATTTTTAAGTAATGCCTTCTTATGTGTTGCAATAGAGTTTAATAAATAGTATAAAATTTGAATTAAGTTAATTTACATGTATGTACATTGCGCGTTTTATACGGTGAATATGATTCTATTTAAATATACACTATTCGTGTAAAGCACAGACAATACAACATATATAACAATTCAAAGTGGAAATTATAAATCATGGCTATGGTCTTACTTGGTTTCCGACTCATAAAGCTGTTGCATGCTTCCACAGACTGTATTTCAACGGAAAATTGTTTCTCGTAAGCGAATATCAACGATCTTATTGTACGTTTCCTTTAGTCTATATCTTAATTAAGACAAGTTTATTTCAATACTGTGGTTTAGAGCAGAATTCGTTATAATTATAACTGAGAAAAGTTGAAGCCTAAAAATTATTTACCAGTTTTAAACGGGAAATGTATGTAAGGAAATATTAAATGATAATATGTAATGAATTCAGTAAAAGTTAGTTAAATCGTAAATTAAACGTTTGGTTTTATTAAAACTATTTAAGTGATTATTCTTTTATTTTTTCCTACTTAAGTAAGATTTAGTTAAACGTTTTTAGTTAGACTGTCCATACATATTGGCCAAAATTGTGATTTCTAAGATGAACGACGAAATCATTTTTAAACCATGAATAAACACTTTACTGGTACGTGTAGGACGTGCATATACACTTAGAATTTACATTTTTAAAAGTTTTGTATTTGAAAAGGTAAATTTGATTTTCTTTTCAGCAACGGATATTCAATTCATACCTCAAGAACCAGCAACTACCATGCCTAACTACTGTGCCTCCGATATTACAAACAGTTACATCAACACTCCAGGTTGTTTTAATAACTTATTTTTCCCTATATGATGGGCTTAGGGCTGAACTATTCCTATACCTTTCACTCTGAAATAAGAACACATTTATTTATAACTAACAAATATTAATTAAACTAAATACTGTCTATAGTTTACGCGAGTAGTACACATTTAAATAAAACACTTTAACGTCTCCCCGTGACCACGGCTGCTGCAAAGCATCCGAAACGTCGGGCCGAAGTTAAAAATAATTTTCAAATAAGTTTAACTAATATATCGCGTTTTAAACAGTTAAAGTGTTTTATTTAAATTAAGTAAACTAATTACTTTCAATATATATATGTTATCAATATGTTTATCAAACCGTACGTTATATTTGCAGTTAGCGAAACAAATAGCACGCTTCACCCAGGACCGATAAAAGCTCCCATAATCTTTACTTCTGTTAACACGGAAACCCCAAAATCTCCATCTGAATGCACACTAAAGGCTCCTGCGATTTTCACTTCTCCTGCAAAGGAAACTCCAACCGCTTCATCTATTTGTGCATCAGAAACATCGCACGAAGCACCAGTTTCACCAATGGCGATATCTTTAGTCCAACCAACAGCAACTCGTCTAATAGCTCCATTAACAGTTTCACCCTTAAATGATTCTTTGAATACTATAATTCCTTTAACCATAGTGCCAAAAATTCTGACTCCTACTGCAGTCACACACGAAATATGCGATGATTCTGTATCCACAAATACGCACATTATCGGTAAGTCTATGAGCATTTTTTTTGATGATAGAGGAGGCCAGCACACATATGGGGGTTCACTTGATGGTGTTGAAACACCCAAGCCTATAGCGTCTGAACAAGATGCCCTGTTAAAGATCTATTACCGTGATAAAACTCCCCGGCTTTTTCCTCTGGGGGGGGGGGTGGGGGGGGGGGGCAAATTTTTTTTTTTTTTCCCCCACCATAATATCGAGACCTCCAGGGGAGGCCAACCTTGTTCAAAAAAATTTTTAATGGATTAGGGATTTTTTTGCCCCCCCGTGGGGATCGAAACACAGCCCATTGATTATTAGCAGTACATTACACCAAGGAACCCGTTAAAAATTACAATGAATTTATAAATAATATAGCTCGTAAATCGCTCATTATTACAGGTACAAATAAAACAGCATCTGTTAAAGCTGAAACTACTATTTCACCAAGATTTAATCCCGAGACCCTACACCTACCGCCTATTATAACTTCATCAGGCAACGTTTCAGACCCTAACATTTCTGCTAACCTAGTACCCAGAGCTTCTATAAATAAAACTAGCGCAATCACTGTTGTGTTAGATCGGCCCAGATTGACAGTTGGAAATGACCAGGACACTGGTAAGCAAATAAGAATTTTTGAACCTTTTTGTCCCAATTTCAAATTGATTTTTTTTACAGTTTTACGAATGAAAGTAGAAACTTTAAAAAAAAAAACATTTTTTTTAAATATCACACATTGGCTGTGTTTGTGTACACACACTACAAGCTTTATCTATTTATAAATCTTTAAAATAAGTTACTTCGGAGGAGTGAAGAGAATGGCTCTTTGCTCAAGTATAACTTTATACATATTTTAATACTTTCCTAAAATGCGTTCCTCAAATTTTTTTTAGTTATCGTGTTTCAAGTCTAGAACAAGCCATTTTATTCATATGTTTCGTTATCGTTACATATTGAACAAAACCGTAAAACGACCTAGGCCACGAAACAATAGCTTATCCAAATATTTGAGAATTAGAAATGCTGACTGGAACAAATGCAAAGTTCTTTGCACAGTGTCAACCAGCGAAATAAATAAAAGCATAATTCAGTACAGAACGAGCCGAGAAGACGTGCGAATAGGTCGCGCGCGTCTCTATGTTTTACGTGTATCTCTAAAAACAATTAATACTCATAACTGACTGCGTTCCTGGTACCTCTCGCATTTCCACGAATAATCATAACACTTGATATCGTAATTCTCTGAACAGTGACGTCAGCTGGCAAAGATTCAGATCCTGTTACGTCTGCGAGCCTGGTACCCAGAAGTGTAACTCCTAAAAATGAAAGGAGCGCCCCCACCTCTGTTACGTGGAATCAATCTGGATCTATCGACAAGCAGAATATTGGTATAAAATTGATTAGTTATCATTTATAGCTTCATGTCGTTTGTACCTTTGCATTATCATGCCAGTGCTGAGCTTATTTGCTGCTGGCAACATCCGTCAGTCCACGCTGTTGCTTGCTGATCGTCCTAAATTTTGCTCGTGTAGCCATAGTTTTTGTTTTATCACCTATAATATAGAAATTAAACTGAACTGATATCGTTATTCCTTGTTTTATTTGAGATTGAGATGCTTGTAGTGACTGAGTCAAGTAGTACCCGCAGTAAAGAAACTAAACAAGATAAGCTGTCGACCTGTTTTGGCTTTGAATATTCGGGAGTCCACAGAATGAAACCGAAACGCGATTAAACTTAACACCTTTTTCGTCTGTGGACGTTGGTGACACGAATGGGACTTCTTACCAGCTACTTAATAGCCCTAGACGAAGTACAAGATGTTTCAGAAACATTATAGATTGATAAGAATAATGTTGGACGCGGTAGGGATCAAATCCACGACCCGTTGATTATTAACCTTATATTGTCACACCAATTAGCCCAGTGACCGTTGATAAATCATACCACAGAAATAACTGAAAAAAATTTTAAAGGTAATTGATAAATATTCGGTATAAAAAAAGCATATAACGTTTTACACGTAAAAGGACACAAAATCCCCCTACCCCCTTCATTTCTTAAGTAAGGAAATCGAATTTAAATACTGTCTGTAGTTTACGCGAGTAGTATACATTTCAATAAAACACTTCCACCGTTTAAGACGCGGTATATGTTGGTTAAACTTATGTGAAAATTATACTCTGTCTCCCCGTGACCACGGCTGAAAGCTTCGAAATTGGGCCGAATTTAAAAATAATTTTCAAATTAGTTAAAATAACCGCGTTTTAAACCGTGAAAGTGTAAATTTAAATCGGATTTACTAATTAGTAAACCAGTAATACAATTATTATTATTACGTTGAACGCATTCGCACTGTATATTCCCAACGGAGTCATATATTTTGAAGATCCCGAAGGAAATACTACTCACCGGAATAGAACATGTTCAGCACCGTTTCGGAATTCCAAATCTTCGTATAAAATTGTGATATTGAATATTGTATAATAACAACACATAAATTGTACTCGTAAAACAATAGTATATTTGGGATATGGCTTAAGTTTTAACGATAAAATTGAAAATCAAAAGAGCTCGGAAAAAATAAAAACAATATTTTTTAATTTTGCCCACCACATATAAAACTGTTAATTTCTGGATTAAATATACGCACCCGTGCCACTGCTTTCAAGAACTGATTTCCCTGGGAGCCCCCAAAATTTTGTTTGGGTTTTGGGGGGGGGTGGCCTTTTTATTTTTTTTTTTTCCCGGGGGCGGGGGGGGGGGGCCCCCGGGGGGGGGGGGGGGGTTTTTTTATCCCAGTACATCGTATATCGCGTATTAAACCGTTAAAGTTTTTTATTTAAATGAAGACGACACAAAAACAAAATTAAGTTAAATCAAAAAGGGGGGGGTGTTTCTAAATAAATATACCCTTAAACAAAGGAAATATTGAGAGAGGACCACAGTCCACAGATGAGTAAGCCGAGAAGTTTAATCGCGTTGCGGTGTCAGTTTGTGGATTTCGACATATTCAAAGCATATGGCGAAGCATAGTGAGAGGTATATCGTGAGATATTTGTCTGTGCTTCTCTATCATAGAAAAATAAAAAATATTGTATAATACTATTTCTAGTGTGTGCAAAAGTGAACACTTCTACAGAAAATTCTAATGAAAAAGTATCGACCGGGACATTTACATTCGAGTCCAGTTTTCGTGATACAGCCAGTATTGTAACAGGTAATTCTATAGTAATATATAAAGCTGAAGAGTTTGTTTGTTTACAGTGTTTTTCGAGCTACGATGAATTGAAAAATCTTGTTTTTTTTGTGTTGGTTAGAGCATTTATCGAAGAAGGCTATAAGCTATAAGTATATATTCTGGGAAAATTATTCTGCGAAAACAGTTTAAGATACCCCAAAAGTATGTATGATAGAATGGTTCCCCTATAATGATCTAAAAAAAGGTCCACATCGCTTTGTGTCTATCTTTCAAGATAAACTTGCAAAAATGACGCGACCAATGTGGTGGGTAACAGCTTAAGTTAAAGATGTGGTTTGTAAAAACGAATTTGGATGCCCAAAATATGTATATATTCTTAGCGGACAAAGTCGCTAAAACAGCTAGTATAAAATACTAACAATACATACACATATATACAAATAAAATATATAGTTAGAAATAGATTTAGTCCATAGTTAATACTGTCAAAACGTCGGTGGTTAAGTGTAAGTACAGTTGGCAATCGATCACGAAGACCTGGGTTCGAATCCTAATAAGTTGGTTATTTGGATTTTTTGGTATTATAACTTTGAGCTAAGTGCTTTTACACTGTTAAATCCAACTGGTGGATTTATATTTGAACTTTCTACTATACCTATAAGAGACGAAGTCTGTATTCTATTTTGGATCCGTTACTTTAATTTTTAATAATTTTTCCATGTTCGCTATGTATGTATGTTTTCCACGTTCCATGATCGCATCGTCTAGTCAAAACAATTTATTTGTTTATTTTACGAACTCAAACGATATTTATAATGGGGCTATCTTTACTCTAGATACAATACTCCCATGCCGAAGATTGGAGAATAAGGGATTAACAAAACTCACAACTCCGAAGGGAACAGTTCTGTCTTGTGCAGGTATGTTGTCTCACGAGCTCTAGAACTAGTGGAGTCTTACATAAGAATGCTACCTGACTGTATCTCTATTTTATACATATTTGTCGGATAGTTATGATTCTAGTAGCTCCTTAATTCGCGTCACTCTGAAGTAAGTCATAGTATGCTCTGTGAAATGTCAAAGTTGACAATCTGTCAAAGTTGACAATCTGTCAAATAGTCGGTTATGCGACTGTTTTCGTAATTGCACCTGAATTGGCCTTCCTTCTTTTCTTCGTCATATTTGCTTGTCTTTAATTGAATAATATTGTTTAATTCTTTTTTAAGTCACCATTGTTAAGGACACGTTACAGGACTTCATACTTAATAAATTAACTTATTTCCGCGTTATAAACCGTTAAATCTTTTATTTATTTTAGGCACGAAAATAACATCGGTCTCGTCAGTCAACCTTCAAACGTGCTCCGTATTTTGTAAAACTGATACTACTAACACAGGTAATCCGCCGCAAATATTTTCTATTTATTTTTGCACGAATCAGTTGTCGAATATCTGCCATCTATTAATATGGAAATTTGACTATAAAACGTGTTTTAATATAATTCAAATTGACAGCAATAGCTACGAATTTCGTGGCTACGCGAAATATACAGTGCTACACCGCGCCTTCTTTGTTCAAAAGGCGTCATAGGGATACATCTATAGGTATGTTAAGAAAATTATATATATGTAAATTCCTTCAAGTTTTTTAGTTTAATTAAGATCTGTAGTTGTTTAGAATTCAATCCACACTAAAGTGTATTGATTTCTCGAGATTCAAACCCAGTATCTCTTGCGCCTATAAGGATTAAATTATATATTAAAGATTAAAGTTAATTTGCCATTCAAACTGACATAGAAATCATCATAATTGTCATAAAATAACAAATAATCGAGAAGCTACCATCTCCTGATGATGCCGTCAGCTCGTGATGGCAAAACGTCGAGAACCTCTTTCGTCGTTTCGCTTTCGTCGGCTGTACAGCCCGAAAAACAATAATATGCTGAACGATGGCCGTGAAAGCCTTACACAATTTAAGTGCTAAGGCTTGAACGATGATTCATAATAAGAGAATTTTATTTATATTATGTACTACCAGGCTTAGATGTTACTCCAGAAGAAATAAAGAAAACTACTTCAACCTCAGTAACAAATTTTGAAAATGACCTGTTCTGCGATATGGGTAAGTTATGTATTAATTATTGTCTGTACTTAGCGCAAGTACACATTAAATATGTTTAACTGTTTAAAACGCAAAAATAATTTTACTAACAACTAACGATTTAAGATAGACGGTACCGCGACCACGGCATATACATTCCATCGAAAATGTCGGATCGTAGATATTTTTACAAATATTTTCTGCGTTTAAAACCCTTAAGTGATTTTGGCAAAGGGAAGCCAAAGAGGCAGCTCCAGTATATATGATTATTTTTAGTTTAAATAATTTATAGTTTAAGTTAAAATTGTTTCATTAAAACACTTCTAACGGTTCCAAATGCCAAATATATTATAATTAACTGTATCGTCGGCCTGACGTTTCGGTTTTGAAGCAGTAGTGTTCTGGGGTGGGTCCCAACTCAAGATGGAGGGTATGCCTAATTTCATGTCAAATCCGCTATGCTAGCGCCATCTGTTTCTCATGGTAGATATACAATAGAGCTGTTATTTGGGTAAAAAAGTAAATTAAGTTTACTAATATATAATGCGTTTTTAAACCGTTAAAATGTGTATTACTCGCGTCAACGGCAGACAACGTGATAATATATGTATATAATGATATAACATTAAATGATTTTTTTTTCAGCGGTCTCCACAACAAAGTTAATAAACACAGCCTCTTTTAACTGCGGTTCTCCTTTAGCCCAGTGCAGTTTTAACGCTGGTATGTAATATAATAATGCAATTTAGTCTTTGTACACTTTCATGGTCAATACTACCACTAATTTTTATTAACAGTCTATCTATTTAACCGAACGAATTCCAACATGTGTCAGAAAATTATAAATTGGTTAGAATATATATATATATATATATATAAATTGGTTAATTATTATTAGCCATACATTGCCATGATGAGTTCGTTTAAATAAAACACTTTAACCGTTTAAAACGCGTAATATATAAGTTAAACTTGAACAACACACCAACTACACCATGACGTTTCGAATGATTTGCAGCAGCCTCACAGGGAGACAATATATTTCGCGTTTTAAGCCGTTAAAGTGTTTGATTTAAATGTGTACTACTCCCGTAAAATAAAAACAGTGTGATGATGGTTGTATGCCTGAAGAATGCAACAAAATATATATAAATAGACACAAATAATATAAAGTTTAGAATATCCACTTAATACAGTTATTGCCATAAAATTGAGATTCCCGCCAAAGCGCAGGTTATATTGTCCCATAAAGTTGAAGATAAGTAGCTGAGAAGGATTTCGTTGATATCTTGACAATTTTCATGGTCTTGAATCTTTATTGGCCTCTCCTTGTGAACTTGAGTGCAGAGCTTTGGAATTCTTTAAACGATTATAATAAAATTAGATTTGTTTTAATACTATGTATAGGTTACGCGAGTAGTACACATTTTAATAAAACACTTTAACGGTTTAAAACGCGGGATATATTAGTTATCTATTCTATTAAGTTTAACTAATTTTGTTTTTCAAAGTTTAATTTTTTTTAAAAATAGATTGTCAAAAAAAATAGTGCTTTATTATTAAGATTTTTCTGTGTCTGTCTGTCTGTCTTCGCGTCAATTGGTCCGTCCATCTTCGCGTCAATCGTTCCGTCTGTCTGTTTAAGAACCGATCAGAAATTATTTATATCTATAGACAGTATAACAATAAACTAAAACTGTCGCGCTGGCGTCCCTCTCGCCAGATTTTTATTGTACTGTGCACTGTAAAATAGGTCTAATTTAAATGTTAAATTTATTTTACAGACGTCCATCCAACAATGTCATCAGTTTCCACCAATACAGACGAAGCGAGGAGCGAACCGATCGTATTGGCAAACGTTAACTTGACGAACGATAAACTAAGGAATACAACGGAAACGTGTGTACAGTACAGCAACAAAGGAAAGGATGGTGCGTCACGTTTTACATATTAAAATTATATTGCGGATATATTACTGTGTCCGCTTCGTGATCTACTTTGTTTAATAACTGATTAATTGTCTTCCGCTTTCGCGGTTAAAGTATGTCCGTATCCGTATGTCAAGTAGTTGATCAGACTTGCGTGGCCCACCCACTGTAACATTTTTTTACCTATTCGAACCAGGACCTCTCGAGGTTAACTATGCTAGGCAAATTTTTTCTATTGAACCATACGGGAGAATAATACATAAACCTTACAATAACAAGAAAAACTTTTATACAGAAACAAAACCAGATTTACAATAAAAGATAAATTTTACAATGTAAGAAGAATTAAATTATTATATAACTAAAAAGAGATAAAATACAATAATACAGTCTCCTCTGAAAAGGAGCCCACTCAGCTACTTTGGGACTGTCCCAACACTGATATTCCTCTAGCGCGTGCATCTCATGAGGCTAGACAGAGCTAACAGGAGCGATAGTTTGACGTTTCTCTCTTAATTTTAATTTATTTATTTTACTGTAAGATTAACCTTTGTGCAAAGCTATTTAGGACTTATAAAAGGTCTAATCTCCAATCAAGCCTAATTAGCAAAGTTAAAATTAAAATAAAGCCTCCTAAATATACTAATACTAGTAAACGCCCTCTATTTTGTATGCGTTTTGAGGTTTTACGATATTCATTAGATATTTGTTTTATTTATTTGTTTAGTGAGAGTTTTGTCTTATATATTTTAGGTTTGATTAACTCAATATTTAAAAAAGTATAGAGTCGGTATAGAGTAACCCGCTCTAACAAGAACAATAGACACTGTAAGTGCGTGAAAACTAAATGGCGAGTGCTGGCGAGTTTCTTGCCTGTTCTTCTCGTTTGTTCTATTTCTTTGTCTGTCAAGATCTGGAATCTCAGAATGGGTCGATAATTTTGTGTTGGCAATATACAAGCGACCGTGAAATGTGAAGGGGATTATTCATCATTATGGGTCACCAGGCGACGCTCAAAAACCAATAACGAAAAAATATGTATAGAGAATGATTTCTACCTACTTGTCTATCTTTTAAGATTGTCTTGTAAGAACGACGGGAAGGGACCGCCGATGTCGTGGGTTTAAGTTTATATGATAAAGGGTTTGCAAAAACGAATTTGGACAAGTGTCGAGCACAGATAGTAATTAATAAGTACGAATGATATGTTATTTCTAAAGGTTTTAAATTAGTTATTTCCTCTTAGATTCTCTTGGCTCTGGTCGTATCGGTCACAGCAGGCTGATGTCTGTTCGTATGCTCGGTGACTCTGTCTCCGATATGGGTACACAAGTTCAACCGTTACTCAACGATGCAGGTATGTTGTAGATCTAAAAAGATTTCTGCAATTACATATACTAATATGAACTAGGACGATACTATTTATTATTTTGTAGTTTGAATAGTTTAAAAATTGAAAAGACTTTGGACTTGAACCGGCATCGTCTGCGCAGGGGTATTAAAAATCCGACCTAGATTTGACCCACTGTAAATATATGGTGTAGTTTTGATTCAAGCCCATTGATTTATGAATGCCCTAACACAGACATAACACAGCATCTTGCTTTAACTCAGTGAGTATTATCTCCTGTCTGATCGGTCGGTCCGGTCCTCCTATGCCGTAAAAATAGTCACTTCGTCTTCTTCATTTGACTCCGACTGCTTGAATTGTCAGATTCGAATTTTAAAATGTTATAACTAATGAAACCGATAAACTATTCAAGGGTAGTAGTAGGATACATTTATATGTCTGTTTGCCTAATCGGTTATAATCATACCTGTAATATATCTGAATAAAATTATTGTTTCCCGTGGTTCAAACCCTGGATCTGTCGTATTTTATGAAATGATAGACGATGCTTTTAACTATGTAGCCACAATTAAAATAACTGTAGATGAATCTTATAATATATTGAAGTTGTGCTCATATTATTTTGGCTTATTCCTCTCTATCATTACCAGAGACCCGAACAATACCCAAGGGTCTCAATTCGGCTTCAGTGTTGACTTCGCATTTCTTATTGGCTGATCACCTTCAGAAAGTTAAGGAGGAAAACGGAGGTATGATTCCTAATTCTTTATTTTCTACTACATATTTAGTTCACGTATAGCAATAAAATATTGTTTACTCGAATATACTTACAACTTAAGCTTAAACAGTTTGACGGTTTAAAACGCAAAATATATTAGTTACCGATAAAATTGTATCACTCATTTAAGTACAATCCAAGCAAACTACTGTAATGTGTCACTCATTTAACACGCTACAATTTCAAGAAACATAATATAAGTCAAATTAATTTACGACGGCTGCTTTAAAGCATCTGAGACGTTGGGTCGTAGTTAAAATAAGTAATTTATTATTTCGCATTTTCCATCTTTAAGTATTTTCCTTATGTGTAAACCAGAGACTGTTCGCATACAGTTATAACTCACAATGACAAAGGTTTTTTTTAATAATATAAAGAATATGGACTTTTTTGTTATAATCAAATAAATTGTGTTAGATTCGACGATTAAAGATGGCGCTATTGGCAAGAAAGAAACCGCGAGATTAGAAGAGGCACCACAAGAACCAAGTAATTACTTTATAATATAAAAGACAAGTAGAATACTCCACCCACCAATATTTTTCTTGTGTAAATGGTAAATATTATTACCGTTATAAGAAGTAAAAGTAAGTAAGTAGCTACTAAGAAGTCACCTTTCTAGGATATTTAAAGTTAAAATACCTTCTAAAGTTTTGAATGTCAGAATATTGTTAGTTTTTTCTCTGGGAATACAACACATGACTCTCAAACACCGACCCTTTAATATCTAAATAGAACAATTTGAACGGTTTAAAACGCGAAATATATTAATTTAATTACAGTTTCTATAACAAATGTTGCATAGCATCCCTAACGTCCCGTGGTTTTTTAAAAAAATTTTTAAAAATTTTTTTTTTTTTTGGTTTTAATTAACTGCACACTTAACCTATGCGAAGTTCATAAGCGTGCAACTTATAAGTGAAGAGGCTAATTACTGCTAAGGAAATCTTGTACTAAATTGTTTCGCATAGTTTTAAAACGTGTGAGAAGTTTGTTAATTTAGAACTCGCCACTTTTAGTTTAATTAAAAGCTTTCTTGAAAGCTCTCCTAACAGCTTAAACGTGGTTTAAGATAATTTCCAAGTTTTTAGAAGAAGGCTTTTCTTGACGACGTAGGTATTTAGATAACATTCTAGTGGGTATTTTGTATTTTTTTTTATTTTAATGCAGTAAAGTGTAAACGTTTAAACCATTTATGTAAGTATTATTCTTTGCTTGTCTCTTAAATACTGTCTATAATTTACGCGAGTAGTATACATAAAAAAACACTTTAACCGTCCTGTGACGCTGCCCACTTAAATGAGGAGTTACAGCATGCAAGCAGGTCCTAGCAGAACAAGCTGAGGGTCCCCCCCCCCCCCCCCCGGAAAAAAGAAAACCCCCCCCCCCCAAAAACCCCCCCCCCCCCCCCCTTTTTCCATATGTGAAGGGAGTTACAGATAGAATTAGCAGAGGGCCCTAAATCGAGCTTCTATTGACACAATTTCCACAGCCGCACAAGAAGATTCAGCAATTCCTGAAACCAAGCAAGTGTACTATCCCCCCTTTACAAGATGCAGGCGTTTACAGACTGGATTGTGATTGTGGCCCCTATCCTACATCGGCCAAACAAAACGAAGCAACTCAAACAAAATTTTAAAGAACACGTCCGGATATAAAACATAAACGTCCTCTCCAGATCCGCGGAAAGCCAACACTCATCAGAAGGGCCCCAGTCACTACATTCGCTTTGACCAACCAAAAATCCCCCCAAAGGAGAGTCGATTTTTTCCCATTTTTTTTCCCCCCCCCGCGAAGCTAATTGAAATCAAAAAACACCGAAATTTCAATAGGGAGGACGGCCTCAAACTATCAAACCCCACCTGGGATCCCATATTAAAAACTCTGGATCCCAATAAACAGCATACCAGCAAACCCCCAAAACCCACCGTTCTGTAAGGACCCGGCCAGTTTCGCCAAAACATCGAGGACAGATGGCGCTAGCGTAGCAATTCTTTACTTTGACGTCTGAGACATCCTCCATCTTTAGTCTCCCGGGGACCCCGCCCCCCCCAAAGCCGAGGGCCAAGTAAAAATCATTTTCAAATAAGTTTAACTAATATATCGCGTTTAAACCGTTAAAGTGTTTTATTTAAATGCTTGTCTCTTGATATAATGTAATATACGTAAAAAAAAAAAAATATTTTTCATGATTGGACCTTATTTTAAATTTTATTTTTACATACAACCTTAGCTTTAAATAATAGCTATTACCAACGACGTCTTTCACGTCCTGTCGTTCTTGTGAGTTAATCTTAGATGACATATAATGTCGCGGACTTTTTTCTAAAATTACCTGGTTATTTCCATATATCTCTCTGTTTCTTCTTCTGCCGCTCCCATTAGTCGTAACTTAATGTTTTTTTAGGCCAAAGTCTTCCTTGATGGTTTATTCAACGCAAAAAATAATTTTTCAATTCGGTCCAGCCCTTCCTGAGTTTAGCGCGATTAGCGCCTTCAAACATGCAAACGCTTCAGTCTTATAATATTAGTAAAAATACCTTGTATAACTTAGAATCTTGAATTACAGTCAACTCAATCTGGACATATTTAAAAACTTTTTTTTTATTTTCTAAGATTCATCTAAAGCTCCAGTCAAAATGGAAGGACAAACCCACGAGCCTGAAAAGCCTAGCCGAGTGGTGGAACCGCGACATCCCAGCGTTGTGATTTCCAGCAATTTGAACGCGACTAAATGGATGAATGGATGTGCTAAAGAGGGTATCTTTGAAAATACTTTTGTTTTTACTCTAACATACATTAAATAAGCTAAAAAAAGAAACATGTAAAAGTAAAGAAAGAAGCGTTGTCGTATGTGTTCCTATTACTTGTTACAATTAATACCCGTTACTTTCGCATCGTACCGTTTCTCGTTACTTCTAATACCTCATCATACTACTCAATTTAATGTACATATTATATGTATGTATAGTGATTTTCACTTATTCGTATTATGTCATCTAAAACAAGGAATAGTGAGAGAACACTACTGACAACAATTCTTCAAAGCAGTTTTGTTAGTAATCTTTATACCATGCGACCAAATGCGAGTATCGAAATTGTTTCCTGCGTAACGTTACGTTACTCGTTAATTTATAACCGTTGGTTATAGATTTATTTTATGTTACTGTTGACGCTTCCACAAATGCTTGAACAATAAGAACTTTTTAATGTTTGTTTCCATCGGCGTAGGATACTGTAGAATAAATATTCTTTCTTATTTTCTTTACATGTACGTGAAGAAAATAAGGAAGTTCACACTACGATGGTTTCAGATTACCAATCCATAATAGATATAAGTGAAATGACAGTCTCGGAGTCCCTAGAGCGAGCGACACTTGCTGTCGCCACTTCGAACGCGTTCAAAACGTCTGAAGGTCAAAATGCTAATCAAGGCGCGGCTATCAACTGTGGTAAGTTTTTTTATAACACAAGATGGAAGAAATTGATGCCACTTGGAAAAATTATGTAATATGATAATCTGATAGGATGTGTTGTCGTACATCTTTTGATTTGAACGTTCAGAAATACATATTGAAATGTAACGCTTTTAACAGTTTTAAACGTGAAATTAACACCTTGCCTCAGCGGCCAAAGCATCCGAAATTAAGTTAAGTTAACTAATATATTTTTACGAATTTTAAAATATTTAACTTATTCTATTACTATACATATGTTACCAAATATATACCTACTTACTTGACAGCTCAACATTGTTACTGTGTATATCGGTCCCGAATTAAATTTCGTTCTTACTATTCAATGAGATAGATTTGAAAGTGGCTGCATCTTTACGTAAAATTTTAAGGCCAAAAATATTACTACCTAAACAATATACATGTTTCTAGTTACGTTGGTGTTAAGCTGATAAAAGTTTGGATATGTGCTATACTATATCACGCAAGAAAAACAACATTGAATTGTGTTGTTTCTAATGCAAAGTTGCGTAAATATCTCAAAATACAATGAATTATGTGTCCTAACGAGTTTCACAGTAACTCGTACCGAATTTACTTTCTTCTTGTTTATCTATTATGAGCTATATTTATTCTATTATGAGCTTATAATACAGTAGAGAAAGTTTTCTCGAAGTGCGCATATAAGAATATATATTAAGCCCTTTCTCTTAAAAACCTTTAAGTTAATAAATACTTTTACAGTGACCGCTAAGCCTATTGGTGTTATTTCTGACGTAAACTTGGCTGATGCGATCCCTGTTAGAGATGTGGATGGCCAAGATATTGTCAAAGTTGATCAGCAAATTGCTGAAATTGTAGAAGAGCCAAACATAGTATCAGGTAACTGTTATATTACAATACAAGATCATGGTCTGTATAGTGCAGTGTTAGGCTAAGAATTTGCAAGGATAAATAACACAGCTTTGTCAAGCGCTGATTTCTGACGTTGAGGAAGCTGATACTCTCTACTCAAACTCACTACACCCTACACAAATAATATACGAAATTTTAGTCAAAACAAAAACATTTTTAATCTAGCTGATCTGACAAACTTTGTCTTTTAAAAATCGAAAATAAGTTGAAAAAAATTTTCGACTTGGGCAGGACTTGAACCGGCATCGTCAGCGTTCCGTGCTGTTGCTCTACCAATTGAGCTACCGAGTTCTACACATCATCGTCGAATTTTTTTCAACTTATTGATAAAATCGCGCGTATTAAGGTTCAACGTCTTATGCTTTGCATCTTAAGAAATCATTGAAGATATAATTATAAATTTATAACGTTTGAAAACTATTTTTTTTTACATGTTATAAAAATCGAAAAGAAAATGTTTTTTTTTGCAAGATTAATATTAGTTTTGTTAATAAAACTCTAACATATAATTGGTAATAAAGCAATGAATTTTCACTAAAATTTATTATCATAAAAACAATTGTTGCGAGTAAACGCTATAATCTTCAAAGGTTGACCCTAAATATAGCGTCACTCATTCTTTCATACATAACTTCGTTGATCGTTTTTTCATACATATTATTTTTTGTTTAAACGTTTTACGAAAGGCCTAAAATATAAGTGTTTTTTTTCCGTTTTTTGACATATTCCACTATTTCTTCTCTCTTTTTATATAGCCTAAGGCCTTCCTCGATAAATGATCTACCCAACACAAATATATTTATTCAATGAAACTAGTGGTCCCCACTGACATTAGCGCGTTAAAACACATTATTTGTATGTATGTGGATAATTAAGTTAAGCTAACACTTACAAGCAACCCAACACGCAGAAAATATAAAAAGAAAGAAGGCCCGTTTCAGGCCACATACGGACGCAGGACTATAAAAAATGGAAAATATTTTTGCATTGTATCGATTATTTGTGGCCTTGAGCACTGATTTTTAGACTAATCGCTTTCAGATCCTAATAACGAAACGACACTACAAGTCAGTCCAACGGTTTGCGACGCAGGTAATAACAAGTTTAATAAATGATATACATTTCAATTAAAATTGCAACGTACGCGCCGCACGCGCAGTCGTTAATAAAAAATGTGTGGCAGTTTCATATTTTTACAACCAACGGATTCTAAAAGGCGTCCCGTTCAGCGTGTGATGCGCGTACGTTGTAAACAAATCTTCGATCAGGCTGATCAAACGTTTTATTGAACATTTCTTCCGTAGTTCAGCGGAGTTCCACAAAACACAACTCCAAGTTCGGTATCATATTAAAGTTGGACCGATTTCACAAAAGTAATTGTGTGATCACGATCAATATTGAGACGACTCCTAGAAAGTCCAAATAGGTAGGTTAATTAAAAATTATGTTAGTTTAAATGAAACACAATTAACGGTTTACTGGTTAAAACTCGATATATATTAAATCATTAAACTTGTTCGAAAAGTACTTTGACTAACGGACGTTTCGGATGCTTTGCAGCAGCCGTGGTCACGGGGGAGTTATAAACCGTTTTATTTAAATGTGTACTACTCGCGTAAACTACAGACAGTGTTTTAATAATATTAGTTTTCAATTGATTTAAAGTTTAAACCCTCTGATATTCGATTCAAAGTGTAACCACTACAGGTGGGTCTTTTCTCCCACCAGAGATAAGGTTTGGATCTAAGACTGGGTGGCTCAATGTCTAACACATTCACATCTACGTGACTAAGTCAGTGATTTAAATAATTTTCAAACAACTTTAACTAATATATATCGCGTTTTAAACCGTCAAAGTGTTTTATTTAAATATAAAATTACTTGTCGTTTTCATACAATTGCAAATGTTTGTTTATAGTTTTTTGAATTGAAGAGTCATTTTAGTATACATTTCTATTGTTTTAGGTGTGAATGTAAAACTCCCGATCCTAGTCAAACGAAAGTCAGTTGCCGTCTTGACGTCTCGTTACCTTCTGACGCAGCCCATACAATGCCACAAGGAAACTTCTGGTAATAATATATTTTGACCCTGCGACTTTGTGCGTGTAGAATAGTTATATTATCCAAATTTGTTTTTGCAAACGTCCTCTTCATCTTTATAAATTCTCACTGTTAACGAGAACGTCGGTCGCGTCGCGTTCTTGCTTAGTTCATTTTAAAAGAGAGTTTTAAACTACGAGTAACGCGCGAGTTATGCGATCAATGTTTTATTTAAATGACGTGTACTATTCGCGTAAACTACGGACAGTATTCAATCTTCCCGTACTTTAGTGTGCTACAATTTTTATTTTTATTTTTAGCCCCGAATATTTTTATCGTTAAGGTATTGATTCACGTAACCCTTTACAAGCAGTCTTTGCTTTATTGACACTGCTTCCAGTGGGGATTTTATTAAATATCGTATGCCTTAAAAGTAGTGAACCTTAAAAAGGACTAATACTTTTAAAGAGCCTCCTGTTTGGTACATTGTAGTTATTTTGTCCTTAGTACTTACATTGATGAACTGCTGTTGATTAAAAGTATCTACATTCTTCCTAATATTAAAAACATTTTCATAAAGATATTGCCAGCGTTAGATATTCAAAGCTTTGAACTTATATCTAACAGACCCCCATAAGCCTGTCTCACGAATAAACGGTGAAAGCGTAAACTTTTCAAATCAACAATGGACATTTCGTTCCCTCAACTGCTTTTCGCCAATACATCACTGTCGCGCCTGGCAAACTGTACGATTTATTCTCACTCTAAAATGCATAAATCTCTGCAAACAGAATCAATCAAACTTTGCAACTGCTGGATATCATTCATTCTAGAACATTCTCCAACAGCTGTTGATGGCTTAATTAACACTAAATTTGAGTTTAAAAGAACAGAAACTACACACCTTTGATTAAACTTTTTATAAGATAAAGGATGATAGTCTAATAGATAGTCTAGAGTAAGGTTTATTCAATGAAAGATTAAAATATCCTGGCCCTATAACATCTAATTCAAATGTGCTGTCGACTTTTTTGGCTGTGGACATTCAGGTATCTACGGTCTGCAATCGAGACACGGATTTATACTTCGCGTTTTTGGTAGTTCACCTGAATTAATTTTCGTTATTCCTTCCACCAGTTTACAGCAGAGATTTTCTGAAAGGCATCAAGCTAAGAAAAGCCATAAATTTATTGTGTTAGCCATCAGTCATATAAGGGATATAGACATTAACTAACAAATTCTATATCATAAATTCGTTTAAATTAAACACTGTTAGCGGTTTAAAACGCGAAGTATATTAGTTTACTTATTTATTGGTTGCCACGTGACCACGGCTACTGCAAAGCATCCGGAACGTCGGACCGTAGTTAAAGCAAACAAAGTCAAAAGTCTTTATATAAATGTGTACTACTCGCGTGAACTAAAAACAATACTTAACATTTAATGCCAATAATGTGACACAAATTTTCGTTCGTGACTATACAACTGAAATGTGTGTGTATAATATGACATTGTATGTTTTAGAGTGTCTGTACGTTTATGAAAGAGCTCGTTGCGTTGTTCACAATCAAAGGACTGACGCAAGCGTTCAAATCAAATCTACCCATCTTGCAATTGGAGAAAATAGTAGAGGTAACATAAAATATCGTTTAGTATACTATATTAACATTATTATCGGATAATACGAAGTAGAGTTTCGTCATCTACTTTATAAATTTCATTTACAAGAAAATCTAGAATTCCTGAAACTAACTATTTGGTGTTACGTCATGTAATAATTTCATAGATATAACGTAATATAAAAATCCTACTTTTAATTTTCTTAAACGGATTTGACGATCACAATTTATTAAAAATCTATTGACATTGAAGATAATTTTACATCATACAGATTTGAGCAGCATCCACTGCGTGCTATTCTTTCTGTGGATGCCAGTTCAAATCCCGCCCGTGTCATATTTTTGTTTTCAATTTAAATAAAATTTTCAGATAATAATGAGTTTACATAGTTGCTTTCTTCTTATTTCAATACTTATATGTAACTAAATTTGTGTTCAATTTACTTCATATATTCTAGTGCTATAATAATTTCCAAACACATGACGTTTAAATTTGCAGAAAATAAATGGACGCGAGATGACGTTGCTGTTGACTTAGCGATGTCAATTGTCAAAGCTGGAGATTACAAAGAAGTTGACAATTTGGCTGAAGCAGTTTCTCCTAGAGGTAAGCAACATACAGACATAAAATCCGAAGATTACAGATGGCGGCTGTGGTGAAATGCTTTTTACTCATAAGTTATCTGCTACCTCCAACTGAAAAAGTTGTTTTCTCAAGATTAAAAGACCAAGCAACATTAGCAGTCAATTCAAGACGCAGTCATTAAATCATTTGTTTTTTTTTTACGATAGAGGATGACAGACAACCATAGGGTTTAAATACTGTCTATAGTTTACACGAGTAGTACACATTTAAATAAAACACTTTAACGGTTTAAAACGCGGTATAGCGAGTCTCCCCGTGACCACGGCTGCTGCAAAGCATACGAAACGTCGGGCCGTAGTTAAAAATCATTTCCAAATTAGTTTAACTAATATATCGCGTTTTAAACCGTTAGTGTTTTATTTAAACCATAGGGTTTACTTGATGGTAGGTAAAATACTCCAGCCTATTAATTTATTTCAATATCTATAGCTTCTAAACAAGATGCGCTATCGATCTATTTTAGCTTTGGATAATCGGAAATCACAGACTGAAGCCAAAACGTGATTAAACTTCACGGCCTCTGTGGATGGTCGTTCGTGAAACGAAATTTCGATGTTCCACCCATTTTATATCCAGATTTCCAGACGAAATCCAACATGTTTCAGATTATAAATTGATTAGAAAAATGTTGGACCCGGTGGGGATCGAAAACAACCCTATGATTATTAGCCGTACATTGCTATCATAACACCAACGAGGCCATCAAAATTGTTACCATAAAAATATGGCTACTTTAGCGGTTAGAGTAAAATATAGTATTAATATATAGGTAGTTCGGGTTCCACTTTAAAATATAGTTGTTAATAAGTGCCTTCATTTCAGTGTACAAGACGCTTTATGAGACTTCAAGATTAATTGCCAAAGAACGCTCTTTGTCGAAGGAAATTGAAAATGTTGGAAACAAAACAGGTCCATTGTAGTTATTTAAGCAAACGACAGGGAGTTTCGATATAAAATTTTCTTATTAAAATCTATGTTTAAACTAAAATAGTGATTTTTAGAGACGGCAATTAGGTGCTGAGGTAATTGTTAAGAAATATTTTTTCTTCAGTGTAATGACCTCACTTTAAACAGAGTTTTGCACAATCGTAATTATAAAACAATATTATAACATCAATTGTTTTACTCTTTTAAGGGTTTAAAACCCGTAATATTTATATTAGTTGACTTATTTTGTGCTACAACTCGACGTTCTATATGCTTATTATAAGTTACCTAATAATCTACTTTTATTTAATTTACTACTCGCCTTAACAATATTTTTTTTTATAATAATTCGGATATTATGTAAACGTTTCAGATAAAAACGATTTGCTGGAAGAACAACTAACGACATCTTGCCGTTACTACAGCAAACTCCTGACCAAGAATATTACTCGTATGAAGGAGAGTTGTAAGTTGATGTAATAAAGCAAACTTAGTTTGAGTCTAGTTGATAATTTAGCTTTGAATAAGTTCTATCATGCGAATTTGTTGGTTTCTTGAAGCCTTGAAAGATGAATATTGTTCTTAATTTTCTCCACATTTCCACTGTTTTTTAGCTTAGATCGAAATGTAATGTTACACAGCCATAACAAAAATAATTTTTAATTGGAAGCTCTCAGCTTAAAAATTTAAACAATTGAAGAAACTTGGAGCCGGACCGACACCACGACCTTGATTTCTCGAGTTTAATACATTGGCCCGAATGAAGATTATAAGATTTGTTATAATTACAAATTCTTTACTTTTTCAGTTAAAAAACGTCTACCCATACCGGTATACAGAGCGGCGACATCTCAGAAGTACATCGAAGCGTTCACAATGAAACCCAGCGGTCGTCAAGATGTGAAATGCCAAGCGAAAATCGACTTTAATTCCAGTGATAATTGCCTTCTGACGCCAGCGGCTAGCGCCATTGATATAAGGGGGGGAAGACAGTCATGACTTACAAACGGTATATTATATCTTGAGTGCGATAGAGGGCAGGGTACGCAGATTAAAACACAACTTATAGATGGCGCTAGTTGTTCGTGTTAATATTTGAGATATAGTGCTGTCCTTTTTGCTCAAGTCATTAAATGCCGAAATACATGATGTGGAAGATATTTATTGAACTATATATTAAGAAATTTGCGTATTGGTAAGGTTTATGAAACAAAACGTCGAGCAAAGCATGAGTACCTAACTAATATCTATATATTTGTGGTGGCAAGTTATTATTTTATAATAGTTATCACTTTTATGAAATAGTTATGCATGACAATTATATAATACTAATGTACATGAGACGCGTTGGTCCAACAGTAGCAATGATGGCTAATAAACAACGGGTCATAGCGATGCCCACCGCGTCCTACATATTTCTTCTTATTATTTTTTTCCAATTAAAAAACCGTTAGGGAATTTTAAAAAATTGGGTTTTTTTTTCGGGGAAAAACCCCCGGCCCCCAAGGGGGGGAGCCCAAAATTTTTTGGGGTTGGGGGGGGGTTTTTGGGGGGGGGGGGTTTTTCCCCGCCCAATTTTTTTTTTTTTTTTTTTTTTTTTTTTTTTGGAACAACCCGAGTAAAAATAATAAATAAATTAATTAATCATAATATTTCAATTCAAAGACCGATCTCATAACAAAATGATATATTTCAATACTTTATAATACAAGAAATGACTTATAACAAGTAAATGAGGTTATACATTGATATAAACCAGAATTATTTACATAACAGTGTGACAGTGTAACTATATACAAATTTCAAAAGTATAGCCAGCCATTAAATTTTCTTCTCTTAAAATAAGGAAAATCTTAATTTTAGTAGTTCCAGAACGTTACATACAGCAGTTTAAATAAGTCGCTTTTAACTGTTTAAACGCGAAGTTCATTAGTAACCTTAAGTTATTTTAAGTACGGCCTGACGTTTTGGATGCTTTACGCAGCCGTCGTCATGGTGGAATTTCTTTTCGCGTCAAACCCTTAGTATTTTAATTTAGATGTGTAAACTACAAGAAAATTAAGTATAATTAAAAAATTAAATGACGCCGTTATTGTAGTATAACAAGTCATTTTTAAATTATGTCTAATGTGAGGATCCTATAAATATATCGAAATTTTGTATACGTTTTAAACGATTGTTGGATTTTAGGAGAGACTTGCATGGCCACTGAAAGTGTTTTATTTAAATGTGTACTCGCGTAAACTTCAGACAGTATTTAAATTTTGTGTTTTTAAGTTTTCATGAAAAGTAGCTTTGTATAATGACAGCGAAAAGGTTAGGATCAATTTTAGATTACTTATGTTTTAAAATAACTTAATCATCATTTTCAAAAAAAAAATATTACTTCTTTGGCTGGCTATCCTTTGCTAAAGCATTAAAAACGAACGTAAAGCATCTCATTAATATACTGTCCCGTATCGACATATACTAAATACAATATGTGCGAAAGGGACCGAGCTATAACATTTTAAGTGAAAAATCATAACGACAATAGAATTGTATTTACAATACAGCATTCCTCCACTCACACCCATTCCCCTACACCGGTGTGTAGAGAACACCGCATTTTCAAAGTATAATTACAATTAGTATCACTTCATTTATACGTTACCCTGAAAGAATTAGAGAATACGACTTGAAAGACTTTTTATACTTAACCGAAATTACCAACCTCAAACATTTTGTTTTAAGTAATTTTTGCCCGAATCTAATATTTACTGCTTTTCTAATCTATTGATACGAAGGAAAAAAGTGTGAGGCGGTTTCGTATCTCCCGTTATAAGTGTACATTACTCGTTAGTCTTAGCAATGTATAACTTACAACCAACGGGTCGTCGATCGATCCCCACCGAGTCAAACCAAGCGGGATTGATCCCCACCGAGTCGTCCATGTTGGGTAATATCAATATTGAAAATTCATATGATAAAGCCGCGTTTAATTGGATTTCAGTCTGTGAATTTCCGAATGTACAAAGACAAAATTGTTGGACTATGCATTAAGGTGTTATATGGCTGGTGAATTTGAATTTGAATTACAACAAAAACCCGTCCAGAACCGACAAGGGTCCTCCACTATCATAAAAAAAAATACTTTAGTGTGAAAGAGATAGAACATAGCAACTGCGCGTCGGTTGAAACGACGTAGTTTCATAAAATGGCGAAGAACATAATTCAAGCTCCATGAAGAATTCCCGTCTTATACTCGTACCACAGCCATTACCACAAACGATCCTGAAATAAAGCAATAATTGTTAAAAAAGAGATTTCAGTTTCAGTAATATTTAGCGAGTCGACTTATATTTGTGTTTTATTCTTATTTAACCATTTCGTCACAAAACAAAAATAATAACACTTATATTATATGTGACTTTATTTTTCAGAATCGCATTATACACACACACACTTTCAAACACATTTCTAAGGTATGTGTACCCATTTGAAGGAAAAAAAAATACGCCATAATTTGCTATGATCATCATCAAATTAATTACCCACAATAGGTATTTGCTGAATTATTAATAATTTCTGTTTTGAAGACCACAAATCACAAATTTTATGACAATATTAAGATTGTAATATTACCAATTATGTGTATAGTGTAATAAACATTTATATAACACACTTTTATGGTTTAAAACGCGAAAAATATTAGTTGATTTATTTTTAATTTCTTTTAACTACGCCCTGACGTTCCGGATGTTTTGCAGCAGTCATGGTCACGTCACAATCCCCGTAGTTAAAATAAATTAAAGTGAATACATTTCGTGTTTTAAACATTTTAAAGCGTGTTCTTTAAATATTACCAATTCTCAAATAAAAATACGATTTTATTTACATTATGTTTTTTTTTAATTAAATATATCTCACCTTACCTATGGATGATATCAGACCAGCGACCTCGGCGTAAAGACATGAACCAGCGAGTCCCACCCACAGTCGGCCAGCTGGTGGGGTCGCAACGTGTTCCAGTCCAGGCCATATGTGAACTCCGAGTGGTGTCTTATCGTTTCCAGTGGGTCGCAGCCGCGCTTCAAATCCCATAATCTGAAAAATATTGCAGATGAAAAACCATTCAACCAACCAACTATTTAAAAAAAAAAGAATATTTTCTTCAAAAATTATTCAAAGTCAAAATAGCTGTCGATCTATTATATATATCTTGTTTAGATGTTATACGGCTGGGCGGCCTCATCTACCATAAAGTAAGACCTCCTCTACCAGACAATTAACAACAAACTATTATAGACTATCGAAAACTAAAGTTGTATCATTAATTGTAATTTTTAAAATAGCACATTCTATAAAAATCTATTATTATTGACTTAATATTATATAAGTCTTAATAATCAAAACCTAAATATTACAAACAACTAAAAATATAAATTCTCTTATTATATATATTGTGATAATAACATGTTTATTAACTACCTGGTTGTAAAGTCGTAGGACACGGCGGCAACTACAGAGGGCGCGTGCGGCGAAAACTGTACTCTTCTCACTGCACATTCGCATCCTGGACATAGTAGATGTATAAAGTATTAAAAGTATCGTCTTAATATAACAATCTGTATAAGACCCTTATAAGAAAGACTTGCTCATCGTGTTAGTAGTACTTTCCAATCAAAGCAATGGTAAGTAAAGGTAATTGATAATTCAAGTTTTCTTGAACGAGTTAGTTATACTGTCTGTAATTTACGCAAGTAGTACACATTTAGATAAAACACTTTATCGGTTTAAAACGCAATATATATTAGTAAAACTTGTTTGTAAAATATTTTTAACTTCGGCCCGACGTTTCGGATGCTTTGCAGCAGCTGTGGTCATATCGCGTTTAAAACCGTTAAAGTGTTTTATATAAAAGAGTTAGATATGATCTAAGCATCGATCATCGTGTTCATATTCCATGAGAAAGATATTTTAAGTTCGACTCACACTTTGCAATGTAGTAAGTAGGTTAAGTTCTTTTTCTGCTGTCTCGCATTTCTTTTTTAATTTTTGCTTGGAAGAGATAGCTATATAGCCTCCGTTTGTCCTTAGTTTCCATCCATTTTTATTTTGCGGTTGTTTTGGACGATAAAGAAACAATCTCTATATAAATATTTTACCTTTAAGCGTGAACATTGGTGCCGTGAGTCTCCTTAAATCCCAGCCCCGGACTAGCCCGTCTGACCCAGCCGTCGCTAAGACATGACTCTCTGCTTTGCTCCAATCACACGATAACACCTGTAATGATCTTCCCTCTATAGTTATAGTATATGACTTCATTATGAAGTAATGGCTTCTTCATCTTCCTACAGTAATTTAAAATCCAGATTTTCCAGACGAAGTCTACCAACCTATTCTATGTTTTAAGACACATTTAATATAGATCTTTATTACAAGACGGACACCCCATGGGTGTCGGTCGGTGTTTACTTGATGGAAGGTGAAATAAATGAGCCGTATCTTGACAAGATCGACAAAAAATAAAGTCGACCTATTGGCTGTGGACCTGTGGAAAATTGTACCCACGAGCTGGTAGTTTGGAGCAACAATACTTTATCCTTACTAATATTATAAATGCGAAAATAACTCTGTCTGTCTGTCTGTTGCCTCTTTCACGACAGCCAATACTACTGAACGGATTTGAATGAAATTAGGTATACAGATGGTCTGGACCCTGAGAAAGGAAATAGGCTACTGTTTATTGAACGAAAAGGGTTATGGGTTAAAAAAGGGGGGGGGGGTGAGAAGTTGTATGGAAACTCGTGGTTTTTTGACGATAGAATAATGAAACTGTATTTTTTGGCTTTTCTCGTGGGAGTGGGAGTGATTGTAGGAATGAGAGTGGGAGTTAGAGTAGGAGTAATGTGAGGTGAAAGTGTTGCGGCAAAGTAGCACTTACCATAGATTGGCTGCCCTAAATGCGCCCTTACATAAATGAATAAACAGCCTAAATAATTAAAAATTCTACCCCAAGTCACTATTCCACGGGGACGAAGTCGCGGTCACAGCTAGTTTTATATATATTGTAAAAGATGCCTTCAGAACTATATAAAAAAGACACATTATTGTTTTAATTTCCTAATTAGTTCCTTCAGTTGACAACCATAAAACATTTTGGTCTAGTTTTACCAAAATCAACCTTAATACCCGGACCGTAAGATCATAATTACCTCAGCATCATGCGCCTTAACAACCGCCGCGGGTCTCGATGGCTCCGTGCAAGACCAAAGCTTGAGATGTCCATCACCAGACACCGAAGCGAAAGTGGCCGGTGAATGAGGCGAAAATGCCGCGGTGTACACCAACTGGGAGTGACCCGCGAATGTGTTTAGACATGTCTCGGATTCGGGATCCCACTATAAGGAAAATCGATTTAATAAAATTGCGATATAATTTTATATGTTATTTTCACTTATTGAACTCGAGATGAGGGAGAGGGGAGATACTTTTTTTTAATTAAAAATTTATTTAAGATTGAAACGGCATCCATAGCATTCCGTGTTGTTGCTCTACCAATTGAGCTACCGTGTCCTACAAGTCATCGTCGAATTTTTTCAACCTATTGATACTTACACCACGTGCGATGTATTTTCAACCTTAACACCTGATACTTAAGGTTCAATAACTTATGCTTTAATTGAACACTCTGACTTCATAAAGAATAAATCTATGTATATCTCATACGACCTATATGTTAAAAATATTGTTATAACTCACTCTCATTTGGAACTATTATTCTATAAGGACGAGTGACTGGTTTTTGATACAGGAATATAATAAATAGTCCTGGCGGCATCTTTTTTTTTATTCTGAAAAGGTTTGTAATTGAACTTACGATATTATTTAAACGGTTTCAATTGAAAAATTCCCGTGAGACTAATAAGAGCGAGAAATGTGAAAAGAATTGGGACAATTAATCATCGTTATGGGTTTCCGATGCGTACGCTGCTAAAATGGTTTCAAGATACCCAAAAAATATGTAGGAAAAAATGATTCCTCTTTTAATGATCTAAAAAAGTCCCTGACGCTATATGTCTACCTTTTAAGATTGCCTTGAAAGAACGACAGGAAGGAACGCGACCCACGTCGTGGGTAACAGCGTAAGTTTATGAAGATGAAGGGGTTTGCAAAAACGAATTCGGATGCCCAGAATAACGATTCTCGCGGAAGAAGGCGCTGGCACAGCTAGTTAAATACAAGAATAGGAAGACATATTAAAATTAGTCCGCAAAACGATAATTAAATATTTATTATTGGTTTCCGACGTTGACTTATTTTTAACAACGAACCGACGTTTCGTGTGCCTTTTTTATGAAGTATCACTTATTTTTCAGTAATCGCCTATAGGAGTGCCTTGCAACAAATGGCTATATAAAATAGATAAGCGATGGGTCACTAAAATGTAGGTGACAAAGTATGAAGTTGTAATATTATTTCACCATTGTCCAATGCAATATAAGAATATGGATTTCTCCTTTTGAAAAAAATATATCATACTACCTACTGTCAATTGTCAAACTATCCTTGTATTGGATAAAGACATTTTCTTAACAAGGGACATTAAAAGTATCCAAACAACAAAAAATATTGTTTTATTTCTTTATTAAGTTGAGAAAACTTTCAACACGTCTAAACGCGTTTCTTTCATTTTTATGTCCCCATGTTTCATTAGTTAAAAATCAATCAACTTCTATATTTAGCGTTTTAAATCATTAAACATAGTTTCTCAATTTAAATAAAACACTTTAACGGTTTAAAACGCGATATATTAGTTAAACTTATTTGAAAATGATTTTTAACTTCGGCCCGACGTTTCGGATTCGTTGATGATGTTTCTCAACTTACCGATTTTTTATTTTGCCAAGAAACAAAACAATATTTTTTTCTCACTATATAGGTACCTAGTAATGCCTTTATTAAGAAAATCTCTGTCCAATATAGGGATGATTTGACGATTGACAATAGGTTGTGTTTAAATTTGTACTACTCACTTATTAAGATTTTAGTGTCTTACCAATTTGACGGTAGTGTCCCAGCTAGCGCTCAGCAGGTGCGCCCGCAGCCAGTCGACTGAGCAGACTTCGCTGTGGTGCGCGCGCAACACTCTCAACGGGGCGGCGCACCCAACGCGCCACACAATGATCGTCCCATCTCCAGAGCCGCACGCGGCCACGCCATCTGACGTACCGGACCATGTCTGAAATTATGAAATTCCTACTTAGTCAAGCTGATGGTAGCAACACTTAAAACTATCCATGACTACCATATCATTTTTCTACTAGCAGAAGTATTATTCAAATCATCAAAAAAATAAACCACACCTTATTTTCAATACAGAAAGAATAACTTTACAAATCAACATAGTTTAGGACAATCCAATATTTCATAAATCATTATAAGAACATAGTACGGTACAGTAGTATGATCGAAGGAATTGAAACATCTCTAAACATCTATTTTCTGGAGACAGCGGCTTCTATTGCTATATTACTGAATAATTGTTGAAGTATATTGTTTCCTCTAATAGAATTATGACCAGCAGCTATGAGCAGCAGATTCACCTATCACTACAAGAATCTTATGCATAAATTGAATCTAAACAAGTAAACTCAATTAACTTCCTTCCTTCCTTTATAGATTGTCTATTTGATTTTGCTCAGAGAGTCAGATTAGTCTAACAAGCTTAATTTTGACTGTCAAATATCCAGATCCAAAATAGGTTGTCAGCGCTTAGATGTTATATCTGAGAAACTTCACCTTCTATCAAGTGATCCCTGTGCTTGCCTATCATAAAAAATCCTATCATATTAAACAACGAAAACTTAACACGTGGCTCAAATGGGGCAAGATTAAACGAAGGTAAATGAAAAGTTAAGCCTCTTAAGCACCCACGTCAGGCGCTCACATAACTGCACCGCTAGGGCTTCAAAAGGTTACTCATACTATGCCGCTCCCAATCGTGACCTAATGCAATAAACTTTAATGGGATTTAAATGGTTAACACTGTTACTTAGAAGGTGGTTAAATTATTTTCTTGGTTACGAGGTGTGGTATAATTAAGTATTATAAATTAAGGCCGGCAAAGGAGTATCTATATAGGAAAACTAGCTGTGCATGCGGATTCGTCTGGGCAACATTTTATGTATTTTTGCAAGCAAACTTTTAAGCTTCTTAAATAAGAAGTCGCTCTATCGCAGACATTTTGTTAGATCACTTAAATTTATAAGAATCTGCTTTTTTGGTTTCTTGAACCGTTTCACAGCACACGCAACGGAATCCAGCAAAGATTAATAACTATCCCCCTTTTTTACACATTTCCATTGCTTCTTTACACGGTCATAGCATAATTTCATATTGTAAAACCTTCTTCGAAAATGCTCTAACAAAAAGAACTTTTTAATAATTTTTTTACAAAAACTACTAATCTGACATGAATTGACTACTTGACTACCTGTAGAGAGATCTACCTCTCTACAGGTAGTCAAGTAGATCTAGACAACAAGTAGATAAATCAAATATATATTTTTAATAAAGGAATTAAAATAAAGTTAAATAAACATTAGATATAGCTAATGGAAAATGGAAATGCCATGAAATTATAGTTCTGTTTACTTTTTTATATGATATAGCCCAACATAGAGTCCACTTGATGAAAGGTGAAATACCACAGTTATAAAACATCTCAATTGAGTTGGCTTAGGATATTCAGAAATTCACAGCCTGAAACCGAAATGTCTTTACGGCTTAATTCACAGCTTTTAATCTGTGGTAACCCAAACACAATTTACATATTCATATCACCCATTTGTTATACAGATTTTCAAACAAACTCTCACATGGTTCACAAAAATTATACTTTTAACTTGTAACCAACATAACCAAATTTATTTCATGAAATAAGCAAAATATGTAATGTTCCAACGCCTTATTACATTACAATAATTAGTGTTATATATATATTTATTGAACTTCTGTTGTCATTTCATTTGACCACAGATTGTTCTTAATCATCATAAAAAGTAATAATACATGTTTTAGATACTTACAACATCAAACAAACCATCAGACCATTCCAGTTTCTGCAGTTCCAAAACTGTATTCCCATCCGGTGCGATCTCAAGGAAAAATAATGTGCCGCCACCTGCTAGCCCATAATACTGACTAGTGGCCACTGCTAAAGCATCAGGCCTCGTTCTTGAAAACCTGACACTGTAGCCATGCCGTCCTGGAGTCAGGAAGGTCGGCATGCTGATTGTGTAACTGTAAGAGCCATAAAACTAATGAGTATTAACATACAACAAATAGAACGTACACTTTATTTTTCTAAAATAATACAGGACTTTTCAAAATATACATATGTGTGAAAAGAAAGCTTATAAACTAATATTGAACAAATAATATACCCTATATCAATACAAAAAGGAAAATAGTGTATTCATAAAGGAATATTATTTTCCATTGATAGGTCTGTTATTGTAAAATGAACATAAAAACATTACACAATCACATTAAAGTTACCTAAATACAAATTATGACTTCATAAACTTAATTACCACATGAAATTCAAACATCTAGGCCAATTTTCCTAGTACCCATACTATGTACTACAATCCCATTGTTTATGTCTTATTAGTTTAATACAAGTAGAATAAAAAATACTAACACATTCACATAGTAAATTGTCTTGCAAAAGATTTTAAGTTAAGGTAGTCAAAGTCTTGTTAATTCTTATGAGATTCCAAGTAGAATGTTTTAAGATATTCCTCCTCCTAAGTACACTTTTAGTTTTAGCGCGCATATACATTTATTTTAAAATTGAGAGTGGTTTAGCAATTAAAACTAATTGGATTTTCCTAAATCTGTATGTACTTGTAAAAATTATGCCCATGCCGTTGTTTGTCAAGTAAAATTATCAATGTCAAATATTGTACGTCATCTTGACACCGCTTAAAGTTTGTACCCCAAAATAGTGCCGTACACAACTTATCGATTAACTGTTACAAAACAACGTCATTCGAGTTTAATCCAATTTGCGGCTCCTACGAGTAAAATCTTATTAGGTTGCTAGACTAACCTCGGAAACCTCACAGGTTGTGGGTATATATAAATAATGTGGCTCTACACCGATCATTTCTGGTGAAAGCCTCACAGCCTAAACATTCCAACAACAATCCACATATATACGAGTTTCTTATACTTGTTTCGTCCTGTAGTCTTGCATTAATTTGCACCCAGCAAAATGCTTGACTACCTGTCCCTTATCTTTGTCGTTGCCGTCAAAGTTTTCAAGAAAACCACTCCCAATGGAAAAGTTACGGTTTACCTTGGCAAGCGTGACTTCATTGATCACATCGACTACTGCGACCCAATCGATGGCGTTGTAGTCGTTGACACCGACTACCTGAAAGGAAGGAAAGTTTACAGCCAGGTATAGTGTAGTGAAAAAGTGAACCTTTGTGGAAATTGTGTAAAGTGAAGTGAACACCCTTGGATTTAACGAATTTTGTATTTGTGCAGCTCGTGACCACTTACCGCTATGGTAGGGAGGAAGATGAGGTTATGGGAGTCAAATTCTCCAAGGAAATGGTTATCGGAACGGAACAAGTCGTTCCCTTGGTCAACTCCAAAATGGAACTTACACCTGTCCAGGAGAAGCTTCTGAAGAAATTGGGTCCCAATGCCTTCCCATTCACATTCAACTTCCCAGAGATGTCTCCTAGCTCGGTAAAAAATAGTCTTACTTTGGATAAACTTTAACGATTGTTATAATTAATTGCTATTTATTAACGACTTAAACCTTGGGTTTACTCATCGTTTATTAGGTAACTCTACAAGCAAACGACGAGGACCAGGGCAAACCCATGGGTGTTGAATACTGCGTGCGTACCTACGTTGCTGAGAGCGAAGACCAGAAGAGCCACAAGAGGAGCTCAGTTACTCTCGCCATCAAGAAGGTAATACTCGAAGTAAAATTGAGAACTAAAATATTATGCCTCTTTGTATGCAATGATATAATAATTTCAACATCTACAGCTGCAACATGCTCCCGCCTCCCGTGGACGACGTCTTCCAAGCTCTCTCGTGAGCAAGGGCTTCACTTTCAGCAATGGAAAGATAAGCCTCGAAGTAACACTCGACAAAGAAATCTACTACCACGGCGAGAAGATCTGCGCGAACATCATTGTATCCAACAACTCCAGGAAGTCTGTCCGCAACATCCGCTGCATGGTTGTGCAACATGTTGAAATCACCATGATCAACTCTCAATTTAGCCGCCACGTTGCGTCTCTGGAAAGCCGCGAAGGTTGCCCAGTCACCCCTGGAGCAAGCCTTTCCAAGAGCTTTTACCTGGTACCCCTTGCTCGTAGCAACAAGGACATCCGCGGTAATTATTTTTATTCTAATTTAAAACAAAAATCAAGTTAGGATTTTTAATCAATCACTACATGTCTGGCTTAGGTGTGGCTCTGGATGGACACCTGAAGGAAGATGACGTGAACCTTGCTAGCTCTACCCTGGTCACCGAAGGAAAATGCCCAGCTGATGCCATTGGTATTGTGGTCTCTTACTCTGTACGTGTCAAGCTGAACTGCGGTACTCTTGGAGGCGAGCTCGTTACCGATGTGCCTTTCAAGCTTCTTCACCCAGCCGAGGGTACGTAAAAAGCAGTTTCATATCAAAACAACAATTTATTATTATTATTATAGCAAAACTTTTACAACAAATCCTCAAACAGGCTCCGTTGAACGCCAGCGATTCAACGCCATGAAGAAGATGCAATCCATTGAACGTCACCGCTATGAGAACTCTCTGTACACCAACGAGGAGGAGGACAACATCGTATTCGAAGACTTCGCTCGCCTCAGGATGAACGAACCAGAATAAGCAGTATGCGAGTGATCGAAAAAGCAAAAAAAAATGAAAAAAAAAACACTCAAAAAAAGAAAAAAAAATACACGTAACCAAGCAAGTTAACCTCGTAACTTATCTTCAACAATTGGGCGTACATTGGCACCCCTTTAATAGCATTTTCTAGTATACACTTAATCTAATTAGAACTTTGTATACTTATTATTCATAATCATTGCGTAATTATATAAATACAATGATATAATTATAGCTCTGCATATAATAAAATTGTGAGGCATTTTATATATATGAAAAAAAAAATGTAAAATCACCCATCGTTTCATATGTCCTACCTTCTTCAAATTAAATAAAAATTCACCAGATTTACTGTGTTTAAATTGTTCACCGCGCACTTTTTCCTTCTATATCAACAAATGTAAAGTTTAAGCTTATTGCAGTGCAAACGCTCATGCAATACTAACAACTTTTGGACTCGCGAATCAAACAATCTTAAGAATTACAACCCTTTGTTATTTTTTATCAGAAGGGGCGTTTCTCCCCACTTAATTTTTACCTTCCTGTATTGTTATATCTACAATGCATAAGATAACACTATCATTGGGTTATTCAAGAGTATAAAAAATAAATACTTTTATCGATAACACACTGGGCACATCATTACATAACAATCTGACATCTCGGTAGAATATAGACGCTTAACAGTTAAATTTTTCATAGTACAGGTAAAACTGAGATCTAGAAAATTTTATTTTCTGTAAAAATTTTAAAACATTTTTTTTCTTTACGTACATAATATGGTTTAATATTACTTTAACAAAATTGATTTTTTATTTTATTAAGGATAAGGACCTTTCGACTTACATTCTGTATTTATTATTAATAATAGATTCTTTACAGATTAAAAAAAATATAGTTACGATTTTACAAAAAAAAAAAATACATTTATTCAGTGTTACAGAATGAGTAATAGATTGTAAGTATTACACATTAGATAGAAAACATTAACGGTGTTATAACAATTTGTATTTACACTTTGGAAGCTTTACAGCATCCGTGATAGCAATACTTAACAGTGAAAAATGTTACCCAATATAGTGTGTACCATTTGAGTCAACTACAGACATTAATTACTTTGTAGATTCTAGCTATTCAAAATATAAACCATTTTACAACAGTAAACCTTACGTCATTGTACGCCGATGCAATATCACAAAAACCGTGATTAAAACTTCCGTAATAGATTTAAAGATGTCGAAAAAAAATTAAGTAACATTAGCAAAACTATCTTAACGAAACTGGTCAAACAAGTTGTGGACAATGGTGTCTTTGGTCCTTTCTTGCAAGGGTCGATAAAAACTCGTTTGGCCACTTTGTATGGGAAAGGACACTGAAATGACCCTTTATTTACATGTCAAAGGTGTTGGGGAAGTAGTGGAGTAGAAGGGACGACCTGTCGTTGCATAAATTGCAGCTACCTGACTACGCAAAAAGGGTAATGTTTTGTCCTGTATTAGTGCTTTAGAAAATTTAAAAGATGTATTTTTAAATTTTGTCTAACCATTTCAGTTATAAATTAATGTCAGTTTATTACTATCTATATATTAAAATGCTGTTTTTCATTATTATTTTTATTAATTATGTGTATAAAAATAGGTGAAAATTCATAGGTCAGTAAAATTGTAAATCCTTTGAGGGGTATTTTTTTGGAACGCCTGCTGAGAAATTACGAGCAAGATTTGTATGATTCTTAGTTAAAGGCAATTATTTTCTCTTAAAATATATACAAATAACTTTAGATAATTTTTCGTTTCACATTTCTAAACTTGGTATCAAAATGTATAATGCAAAACGAAACACATATGTTACAATTTGTACTTATATAATGTTTGAAAAGTTAATATTTTTCACATGACATGATGGCACTATGCAATCTAAAAAAAAATCGACTAGTGCAGGACTTCGTCAGAGCACAGCACGGAACGCTGACGATGCCGGTTCAAGTCCTGCCCGAGTCGATTTTTAAATTTATATAATAATTGTATAACAAAATGCGCTGTTGACCTACCAGGGATTTGAATATTTGTAAATTCGCAGACTGAAACCGAATTGCGATTAAACGTCACTGCTTTTTCATCTTAGGACGGTGGGACGTGACCCGGATGGATTTTCGATATCCCTGCCAGTCATTTAATATCCAAATTTACGGATGACGCCTTGTTGGGTTTCAGATCAGAACAATTTTAGATTCCTCAGAATCATGTTGAACTTAGTGGGGGTCGAACTCGTTGATTATTACTACTATTGCACCAAAGACCTTTACGATTAATTAATTAATAGAAATAAGTTTTTCATTACCAGCGCTGGACTTGCTTCACTCTATATTTTTTGAATCTCATTGTTATTTAACAACTGCACTAATAATGCAATAACAATGCAAGTTGTGTTCAACCGAAGGTCGTTCTTTGGCAAAAAGTGACGGTCGATAAAGTAGGGTATTTCTTCGCTTATTAAACTAAATGAGCTAGCTTAGCTAAAATATATAAAACTATATTTAAGCACGTTTTTAAGCTATTGTATAATGTCTTATTTGAAAAGAGTAGGGGTAGCACAATAATAGTAAGACAAAAGATAAAAAAATATTACAGCCCGCATGTCAAGTGACGGAAAACGTTAACATCTTATCTCATTGGAGGTCTCATTGTTTGAAGATGAGAACTGATTGACCCTTACTATGAAGGAGGTATTTTATATTGTCAAAGTATTCTCAAGCCATAAAATACTTGTATTTTATTAAATGTACTGTGTAATGTCTTGTTTAATTTTTTTAAAATGTATGTTTAAATAAAACTTGATTATATTTACATGTTAAAAAGACTCATGGATCTAGGTTCAAATACCGCCCTTGTGAAATATTTTTATCAATTTTAACACATTTTCGTTTGTTACATTTTCAGCATGTTATAATGAAATATGATTCTTAGCTGTTTACACCTACACAAATATATATACAAATAAAAACAAATATGTATACAAATAAAAGTAGTTTAAACAATTTTAAGTTAAAAGGAAACACATAGATAGTATAGTAGATCTGACTTAACATTAAGAACAACACATCTGAAGCGGTAGGTATGTACGTCGTTGGTAGAAACTAATTATGAGACAAATTCGCGTTTAAAAACCGTTAAAGTTTCTATTTTCCTAATAAAAGAAATGTTCAGACGTTTAACGTTTAGATTAGTTTAACGGTTAAATATATTCGTTAAAACCTTTGACATTCTGCACATGATGGTATTATACAAAATAAAAAATAGATTTTATCTTGCAAATATTACGGAACGCTGTGATGCCACTTCAAGCCCTGCCCGGGTCATAAATTACGTAAAATCTTACTACTTTACTACGTCTCGATGTTTTTGATGTTTGTTTGATCAGTCGTGGTAATTTAAATAAAACACTTTAACGGTTTAAAACGCGATATATTAGTTAAACTTATTTGAAAACGATTTTTAACTTCGGCCCGACGTTTCGGATGCTTTGCAGCAGCCGTGGTCACGGGGAGACCTCCCCGTGACCACGGCTGCCTATAGTTTCTACTGTCTATAGTTTACGCGAGTAGTACACATTTTAACGAAGTTAAAAATCATTTTCAAATAAGTTTAACTAATATATCGCGTTTTAAACCGTTAAAGTGTTTTATTTAAATGTGTACTACTCGCGTAAACTATAGACAGTATTCAGTCGTGGTAATTTTAAGCGTTGAATGTGTGTTATTTACATTAAGTGTTGTCTGTAGTTTTAGAAATAATACATCAACTGAAGCGAAATAAAAAAAATCTAAGAAAGAACGCAAAGTTCGCGAAACTTTCTCATGGCTTTCTGGTCAAACCAGTTATGGACAATGGTGTCTATAAGATAATGTCCTTTCAAATGGGGTCTGGCCCAAACTCGCCTGACCACTTTATGTGGGAAAGGACACTGCAATGACCCCTTTATTTGCATGTCATAGGTGAAGGTGATTCATACATCCAAACAATGCAGCCCTTCCGCACGACAAGTGTATAGGGGTCCTTAATACTCTGTTGCTACTCTAAATTCAACTTTATATACTAAGGAATAGGGTTGTAAATTCTTTACTCGTTGGCGATGTTCCTACTGGACACAATTCCCATACAAAACTGGTCGAGCAAGTTTATAGACTAGGAAGGGTGGGTCAAAATAATGTCTACGTGATAACGGTTTCTTGGCGAGGATTACATGCGGTCATGTGGGAATTATAATATTATTAATCTCTTAGTAATAGTACAAATAACTATGGCTTAAATTAAATGTATTTGAACGCTATGTAATTCAAAAACACAAAATTTTATTCTTTCAATACTGTGTTTAGAATTAGAAATTTATTTAACTTTACCGTCAAATTTAGACAAATATCTTTTCATGTCAATTTGATAAGTTTTGGATGCAAAATAAAAATCAATATGATCAAATGTCAAAGTAAAATATGTGTAAAAAGTCACTGATTTGAATAGTATATTTATGGATGGACATGCATGGCGTCTACTTGATAGTAGGTGAAACACCAAGGCATGTAACATCTAAACAAATTGCGCTGTTGGCCTATTTCGGCTGTGGATTTTCGAAAATCCACGGACTGAAACCAAACACGACCCTACCACGGATTTAATATCCAGATTTACAGGTGAAGTCCAACATTTTTCAGAAAAATTATAAATTGATTAGAAACTGCTGGACCCGGTGGGGATCGGACCCACGACCAGTTGGTTATTATATTCTTGTCAAAGGCCATTCTTAATGGGCGCAATTGCGGAAAGGGGCAAGATGAGGGGCATTCAGCATCAATCTTTTTATCTCAGTCGCGTGCCCCTATTTATACACAGCGGGTTCTTACTATTCAAACTGGGATAAAAAACATGACAAACTCATTTCAACACACTTACTGTATGGTTATAATTTTGTTCCGAGATATATTATTATATACTGATAATATTTTTAAAATGTTTCATGTTAAATTCACTTAATTAATGGAAGATCCTGTGTAGACCTTTTTCGCTTTTGGATATTGAAATAAACACAGACTGTAACCGAGATTCAAGTGAACTTTACGGCGTTTCAATCCCCCCCATTTCCCCCCCATTCAATGTCCCCAACGCAAATTCGATGTTATAAATATATCGATTAGAGACATGAGTCTGGTGGGAATCGAACCCCCTACCCATTCCTACCATCCAGTCACACCAGCTATATTTGCTAACGCGGTAGGGTTTGTTTTGGTTAAAAAAGGATTCGACAATTAATAATTTAATACGAGTAATTTATAAGAATAGAAAGAAGTCCAATATAATTTAAAAAGTTTAATATAAGATGTTAAAAACAAATAAATTAAGTATCATCTAACTGCCTTAACTAAAATAAATTACTGATTCACAATTATTGGCTGCAACACATAAGCTTGGCCCGTGGCTCTGTCTATCACACGTCCTGTTGCTGCGTCTAGAAATAATCTTGGTACATTATGATCTTGTTGATTGAGCACTCTGGCCCTTACATAAGGATTTGGAGTTGGTTCTGGTGCTAAGTTGCTAGGAGCTACGGAACTCTCTAGATTTTGGTTCTGTCTCATTGACCATTCATCGTTTGGCGATTGTTCGGGGTTGCCTTTTGTTACTGGTTCATTTGAGTTGTCTTGATTTTGATGATGTCTAGTACTATCTTCAATAGATGAAGCTTTTTGGTGTGATTCGTGCTCTTCCTCCTCGTCTTCTATATCCCTCTGTTTAACGATTAGCACGATATCGTTCTTCTCTCGTTTCTTGGGCTCGTGAGATCTCCTTTTATGCTGTTTTATCGTTCTTTCTTTGTAAACGATTTCGTCATCTCTATCATCGATTTCTCGGACTTGATGTCGTTGATCATCTAAATTTTTACCCTTTTGAGAATTAGCTCTCTTCTTACGTTCTGTTTCTTCATAACTAGAGTTATCATTTGGTATATCCTCTTCGTAGTGAGAAGACTGTTCACTGGGTTCATCGTAGGAGTCATGGTCGTCATGGTAACCATCTGAATTGTATTCACCATCATCATGGTCGTTGTTATGACCGGCATGATTTAAATCCCAATAATGTTCACCATATCCCCCCTTTTTATCTCCCCATCGGACCTTGAAAGGTAATTATTATTAATTGTAGAATGGCTAGTATAATATAACATATTCACCAAAAGTAAGATTGACAGAGAAAGATGTTGAGATTGAATAGGCAAATTCGTCAGTGACCTTCATTTTTTATTAATAACATGTGTTGGTGAATATATTAGAATTATTAATATTAGTAAAGAAAGGAAATATTAAAGAAGCACGAGAAACATATAAAGCACAGAAACAGTTAGAAACAATTTGGCCTTTTGCCCTACCATAATATTTTTAACATTATATCAAATGCACTACCAAAATAAACAATTTATTTTAGGGATCTATCTGAATAAATACGCATTATAATAATAATAAGAATATTTAAGCTTATATGCGAATATTTAATGAAAGCAGAAGCAGCGTACTTTAGCATTGTACAGTCCTGAAGATGGTCTCGAACGTTCGTGCCTTTCTGTGAAGTGGTGTTCGCTGCCCAGACGATGCCCTTGGTCAAAGTCCTCAGACGTGGGTAGATGCCTATACCTTGTTAAGCGAAGCGAGAGAAGAGTCAGCAGAGATTGACAAAGACCGACTTTTATAAGTACTCAACTCAAGTGATTGAATTATTAGTTAAGTACTACCATACTTTTTGTTATATAAAAAAAGCTAAATATAATAATCAGTCTTCGTTTGCAAAAAGTCTGTTCCCCATAAATTTCTTAGTTACCAATAAACAAACTTTGTCCGTAGCCCACACGAGTAGTACGCATGTAGTTAAACACTATTAATGGTTTAGTGGTAAAACATGACAGTCATTAAAGTTTCGGATACTTTGCAGTAGCCGTGGTCACGGGAGTCTTCCTAATACCAAAGACAGAACTGCTATGATAGCAGCAGTAGTTAAATTAAATTAAAGTCTAGTATCATATTTCGCGTTTTAAACCATTAAAAGTTTTTTTTAACTAAAATTATAACATATTAAACATTGATATTATGCAAAATCGTATCTTCTTAAATATCATTAATGTACCAACTTATTTTGTTATAATAAACGATAAAAATATAGTTTGTACTCGTAGATATAAGAAGCCACAAATATATAAATATTTTTGTTAGATATTAGAACCAATAACGGTACAGCATATTGGTCAGTAATCTTACTTGTTATTTACAATTATGAAGCGTTAACACGAGATAAATATGAAGAATATTAATTATAGCTGAAAGAAGGCACATAGACAGAAAAGAAAGAAGGTATTAACCAGAAAGAATAAGAGGAAGAAGATAAGCAAGACGAAAGTATAACACAATTACTTTTCCCATATCCCTGTGGTTTTTGTAATCTTTCTTTTCGTATCGTTGTTCCCACGTGTTCGGGTCTTCACATACGTGGCCAAACTCAATCTTGTAGGGACTCAACTGTACTGAGAAAAAATCCCTATAAATGATACATGTTATAAGTTGTAATAGAAAATCGCTGTAAATCGAGGGTAGATTAAGTAATTTGTTGAACGAATAAGAAGAAATAATGTTCTTGTAATGTCGGAAGAATTAAAATCTTTAATATTATAATTGTGCATATAGGATATTTTAGAATGGCTAGAAAATAACGATGCACGAATTGTTTTAATTATTATTAATTTATATGTTACAATACAATACTTATTTATTCCCCTATCATACACAAATATGGAAATTTATATTGTCTATTGTCCTCTCTTACAAACTCCCTCCAGATATTGTGACCGGATTTCAACATATTTTATTCATTACAAAATAATGCACAACGCTAAAGTTTTCACATAAAAAAATTAAAAGAAACAATATTTATCAGAGACAGTTTAGGCTTGCTTTGAACCCTGGACATCTTTTGGTACGCACACAATATTAATTTAAAGTGCCGTATTGGAAGACATACCTTCTTAGGTACAGCTGCCATTTTTCACAATCTAAGTGTTGTTTAGTGAAAGTTAACAAACAAACCAAATAATCAAAAATGTCTAAATGAATCTCTTATTGCTGTTTATTTAATCGTTCTTCTCCCAGCAGTGGGTATGAATGTCTAAATAGGACAATGGGCGTAAAAAGCAAACTCAGTTTCCAAGTTCTAAAGATAAGAGAACACAAGAAGAGAAAAGAAGGTAAAATAAATATGTAACACTTACTGAAAATATTTAGCCTGAGACTCAATAACTCCAGTAGCAGTTGGTTTGTTGGGTTGTGTTGGCAGAGCACCACAATTTACCGGGCTCAACACAGGACCGAGGTAAAGAACCAGTAATGACCAAATCCATTTCTGTGAACACAATATGTTTACGTATATTATTAATAACATTGAATAACTGTATATTAAGAACTCTATGTGCATTTAAAAAACTAGTGAAAACGGCTCGACCGATTTAAATCAAATGTTATATGGTTTTACTATTTAGCCGTTTTAAAACATACTTTCATTCTCATCGTCAGTCACGCGTGTGGTACACATTTAATAAAACATTCTAAACTGTTTAAAACACAAAATGTGTAAATTAGTTGTTTTAACTACGACCAGAAGTTTTGGATATATTACAGCAATCGTGATCATACGGGGACGGACGGTTTTGATATGTTGCGCCGTAGTTAAAGATAGATAATTTATATATTTCACATTGAGAACCGATAAAAATGTTTAATTGTTTACTAATTCGCGTAGAACCACTAGATCAATTTCACAGAACACTTTGCGGTGGAAATGCTTTCTTATCGCGAAGAAAAACGAAACACAACACTTTCACTAGATTCAAAGATCACTTATTTTTAAGTAGAATTTATCAATTTCCCCTTTTTTACCATTTCATCGAGACGTTTTGACATCTTGGAATGTTGACAGTGTTTGAGACACAATGGATGTTGTAAATTTATTTATAGGCTCGCTTATAGTGATAGTTAAGAAATAGGTTGAAGAAATTTCGACTTCTTCTCTTTGTCATTTCTTGAAAGCAATGATTCAAGGTCGATTAACTAATTATTAAGTAATTTGCTTTAGAATTGTTTATGTAACAAAAAGTACTTCAAATCTCAACAATAAAAATTTTATGAACATATATTAATCAAAAATATTGAAACACAAACAAGAGGTTTCAGTTCGTAGATTTCCAAATATCCAAAGTGTAATAGGCCGACTGCGCATCTTGTTTAGTTATATAGATGAGGTACTGCATCTTATTACGTAAAGTAAACTTTATGCTTGTCTGTAAATTCATTTAACGTCGTATATATGGCTTTCTTATCTTCGTTATAATTAGATATGAAAAATAACTAAGTTTCAGCTTCCCTTATATTACTAGTCTGTTATAGAATTTTATCAGAATCTATTTAGTCGTTATTAGTATGGATAAATAAAGGGAAGTTATAGTAAGCAATTAAAAGATGGACTTAATATTATTCTTGCTGTGTACTTTTGTTAGGTCTATGAAATAATGAATTTCAAAATTGACGCGTTGAGTCAAACGTTTTTAAAAATTTTAAATTCATTGAAAAAAAAATTGAATTAATGTAAAAGTTGTATATACAACGTTGTATGTCTTCAAAATAAATAAGAAAGTATTATTATTTTTTAGTGAAGCTTCAAATATTCTGTGAACAAATGTTTAAGTAAAACCATAGACAAACTTAGATCCTAAATAATTAAACAAATACAATGGTTTGAGCCAACTTAATTTATTTCGTTCTTTATTCTATGCATAAATGACAAAGTCGTGAATAAACCTACTGCCATATTCTCATGTACAAATAGGAATTAAGCCATCTCTTTTCTTTTCTATATTCAAATAGCGAAGCGAAGCAGTGGATAAATCTAGTGCCGTATATATGTTATAACTACTTAAAAAGGTACGAAGATTTGAGCCAGCTCAATTATTTCCTCATTATTTGATTCATAAATGGTGCAGCGAAACCGTGGTAAAGCCTAGTGCATTTAATCCCAGTGCTTTTGTATTATGCAATCGAATCTAATCGGAGCGTCAACGCCATCAGAGCAGAATCAAAGACAAAAACGATATCCGTTAATTACAAGCAAACGGCGTGTAATAATGGTTTCGTAATATCCCATCGTTATTTAGAGCTTCTTATTGATTGAGCTGGTGGTACACTGGGCGCGGTCTAATATTTATTAACGATTTTCTCTTTAAGTTTTGTGTGTGCCTTTGCGGCGTATTGGTATACACAATAAAGGTTCTGAATTAGAATCACGAAAAATTTTAAAGTTCTGCTTCACAGGAGTCTCATCGGTTCATGTCACAGACATGCCTTAAAAACGTCGTATACTTACGTAGTTACGTCACGGACTTATGTCATCGACGCAGGTAGCGAAATTTAAGCATATTATATATAGCAATATAAAATAGTATTATGTACAATTTAGTAGTACACGTTTAATGAAATCACCTCTAATTTTTCTTGTGACCGCGGTTGGTTCAATATATTTCGGGATTGTAACCATTACAGGTGTTTTTTTAATATATTGGTTACACAAAAAAATATTTCTCAGTCTACCCCATGCCTTAACTTAATCTCTGTGTACCGGTTTATTTCCGTTTATGTTTCGTTCCTGTTGTAACTCCTTCTTTTTCCAATTAGATAACTACGAGTATTAGAAAGCTATTAAACTGTTCAGCACTTTTTGCATTGAAAAGACATAACGCACAAATTGCGTTATCGTCCATTAGACTAAGGTCTAGCGGTTTCCGACATTAGCCGGAACAAACAGACGGACAGACAGACAGACAAAAAATTTTTTTAATGTTGTTTTGGTATGCGTACCGTTTAGTCGTTGCACATGTTTTGATTTTACGATCATATATTTGCATCTAAAGCGTTCTAAACGAGCATATTTCAGCCTCCATGTTCAACGAATCATGACTACTTACATCAAAGCAAAGAATAAGAGATATAAATATTTAATTACTTTCGACACTTTTGTCCCTGACTGTAATTATTTGGCATACTTTTGTAAATTTCGTCATATTTAGTATCTGAGAACTATTCAAATTGTACATTTTCACCAAGAGAGAACCAAGCATCGGAGTTCACCTAATGGAAGATGAAAAACGAAAGAGGAACGAACTGTCTATTTTCGCTTTAAACTTTGTCAAATCCACAGACTGAAACCAAAAAGCGGTTTTACTTTGATTCGTGACCAGAACGTAAGTCCTAGAATGATATCTTGTGTCCCTAATGTCAAAGTCGAATCTGCTACACAAGCGCCATCTGTTTCGTCGTCGTTGATATTTACAGAAACTGGCTGCAATTAAAGAAGTCTTCAAAAACTCACGTTGATTAATAGGATACCGTGAGTCGGTTTATTAGTGTATCTCGTGTATTAAACTGTTAAAAGTGTTTCATTTAAACGCTATGTTGTCTTTTAAATTAATAAGACTACACTTTCTTTTAAATGACAGCCTTTGTAGCCAAATTGTTAAACGTGTTGCCTAGCATTACGTTAAGCGCTAGAGCTCCTGGATACGACTACCGAGGAAACAATAGATCGTTTCGGTCGGTCTGGGCACAGAAGTCTGATCAGCAAAACGGACACAGAAATGAATTCGCCCCTTGTCCCACGGGGGAAACGTGATTTCACATCTTTACTTTTAAATAAGCCTCTGTAATAGTAAATAAAATAAATAGAAAGTGCATAAACAAGGTAATTATATTAATAATATCAATCTAGTGAAAGTTGCAACTCGAATCGTGTTGCACCAACAGTACTTAACATGTCGTGTGGTTTAAACACTAATATAAAAGTTAATTTCACACAAAAAGTTAAAATGAAGAATTATACAAGTTATATTCCTATACTAGGATTGAAATCTACATAAAATATATTTCACTCTCGTAAACTACAGATACAAAATACAGACACAATCTTATCTTATTTTTTTATCCTATAATCCTTACATAAAAAAGTTTTCAAAAATATAGATACTACCAAACTACAGTACACACGAGTACATAAAATTTGTGATTTACTGTCAACTTGGAATTTATTTTTAATTTTGTATATTTTTATTGCTGTAATCGCGAATAACTAAATAAGTTTAGGACAATGCATTGTATATTTTCAGTATATATGGCCGTCTTTTCAGCCATATAATTAAACCCGTTGCATAGCGTTGCGTGAAGCGGCAAAGGTCCTGGATTAAATTTCAAGACATAGGACTCTAGTCCACTACTTACCTGTAAAAGAACCGATCAATAAAACGGACACAGTAAAGCGTTCGGCCATTTTTTTTTTATTGTAATAATAGCAGTTTTGTGGTGATATAAATTTATAAATTAATTTCAATTAAAACGGACAATGATAACTGAAACAGCCCGAGTTTGAAACCTCTAAAGCCTACGCTTTTCAATGAATTTTAAAGTTCGAACGAACTTTCGAATGAATTTGTCACGATGAACCTTTGAATGGTACCTTTGTTGGTGAAGGTTAAGAACTTATAGTCAAGACAGTAGTAGTAGAGTATAAATAGTACTTATAGTAGTATATAAAATGTGAAAAAAAAACAACCTATGCTCACTACACACAAGTTTTGAGTTAGGAAACATATGCCTCACTTATTGTATATCTATAATAATAAAGCTGAAGAGTTTGTTTGTTTCAACGCGCTAATCTCAAGACCTACTGGTTAGAAATTTTCTGTTGTTGGGCCATTTACTAATGAAGACTTTCTAGGCTATAAAACCTAATCTGTGTCCAATAACGGCAACGAAGCAGAAATGTGGAAGAAACGTGGTTTTTCTTCTTTGAGGACTTCCGTTCCGAAAATATTTATGAAAGTATGATTCCTCTTCAAATGATTAAAAAAAAATTGTTTGTTAAGTTTGTTTGTAATAAAATGTTAAAAATGTCTATGAGTTATTCAAGATTTTGATCTCCAATAATTTCTGGCCATATCAAATTCGGCCGATGTGCACTGAAGCGCGAAAACGCTAGAAAGTGTTCAAAGTTTTCTTTCTACTTTATAAAAGCCGCTATGACACGATGACCGGCATTACTCGAACAGATATGGATTGCTACACTTTGGTGAGTGTTTTTTTATGTAATTTAATATCGACACTCGCTCTTGCCCGTGGTTTCACTCGCTAGAATTATTTAATGCAATAACACGCTTTACATGTAACACTCAAAATTCGTCACACTTTACTATTTGTATGTGTAATGATAGCAATGTACGGTTAATAATCAACGGGTCGTGGGTTCGACCCCCACTTGATACAATTAGAAACATATTGTATCCTATCCTATATTATATCAATTTAGAATTTTTCTGAAATACTATTGGACTTCGACGAGAAAAAACTTAAAAAATATAACTTTTTTGTGTGTCGCGCAATGCTAAGCAACGTGTTAGCCATTGAGTTATAGTGGCAGTTACCTACGATGTAAATTGATCTAAATTTTCATGTTTTTTTTTATTAATTAATTTTTATCTAAGTATTCAGTATATATACAAAAATTGTACGCAATGTAACGCCGTTACTAAATGTATATATTTATTCCAGCGATAGTTAATAGTGATTTCACTAATCGACGTATAATAAATTCTAAATATTAATTAGATATAACTAAAGCGAAATTTTAACCTATATTTTTAAATAGACAGACACAAATCCTACCCGTTTATATAGTAACAAATTACAAATCGCAATCCGGTTGAATGTAGGGCTTCTGTGAGAATGTTATCTTACGAAGCACTTTGATATATCGTATGACTGCAGGCAATGTGTTAAATCGTGAACTAGTTTATGTGGAATCTAGATCGTACTAAAATTGTCTTTTATTATATGGCTAAAAATGTTTTGTTATTTGCTAGATAGAACTAATAAACGATATACATTGCTTGTATGTAAAATGTGAACCACGTTTCCCCCTTGGGACATGGGGCGAACACATTTCTGTGTCCGTTTTGCTGATTGGTTCGTTTACAGGCAAGTAGTTGATCAGACTTCTGTGCCCACCCCGACCTAAACTATCTATTGTTTCCTAGGAGCTCTTGATTGGATGGTCCCATATCGTGAATATTGTTTAGATCGATGAGGAATCATTATTTATTCTCACCCAACGGAAGCCCGCAAAGATTCATAATTTTCCTCGGTTTTTCCACATTTTCTTCTCAGTCGCTGCGTGATTATGTAGTCTAATCACTAAAAACAATTCAATTAGAACTAGTAGTTAGTGCGTTAAACAAGCAAACAAATGAACTTCATATATATCTCATATGATAGGATCTACATATTAGTATAGTTGCGTCGCCACTATAAGAAATGACCAAATTTACATGCATTAAAAACATCGGTTTCGCTGCTCTACTGATCGCAGCAGCCGAGTGCCGTAGATACGAGTCCTGCACGTGTCATCGATTTTTTGCAATCAAAAATACTTTTTTATCTAATTCCAAAATGGTAATTTCGTCAAAGAAATGACGAGTCCAAATTTAATTGTAAGACTTTTTTAAGGCAGGTACATATTTGTATGTGTGGTATAAGCGATATATTAGTTAAAATTATTTGAAAATGATTTTTAACTTCGGCCCGACGTTTCGGATGCTTTGTATGTGTGGTATGTTTAAGATAGTATATACATATTGTATTTAAGTCTTATTGCTTCTGCGTGTATACGATTTTGTTAGTATTTACTATTGCCGTAAGTTATGTATTGCATGCTTTCTTCTATTTTGGTGACTTTTAATTTTTTTGCCTGAAAGAAATCGCCATTGGCAATAAGGCCGCATTTACTCTAGCTTATTATGTAAATTGGTTATTTTGTTGATTCTTTGTATTCCTACTTGTTTGCGCAATAAAGTGTTTTATTATTATTTATACAGACAATACGTAACAAGGCTAAACTATATTTTTCAGCTGCTGTTAGCTGGTCTGGTAATAAGTACTGGAGCATGGTCAGCACCCTTCCATGCTGTGTACAGACCAGCTCGAATCACCAGGTTCGCACCACTACCTCACAGAATGCCAAGTAAGATATATTTACTGATTAGAAAAGTAGTCTTGATGTATTGTGATTTTATCGAATAGTTTTAGAGTTGGAATTAGTTAGTCTTTTCAAACTTCACTTTTAACGGTTTAAAACGCGAATATAAGTTTACTTATTTTTAATTTATTTTAACTATGGCTTAGTGTTCCTACTAATATAACTAATATATGTAGTATTATAAACCGTAAGAAGTGATACACGTTTAAATAAAATATATTTAAATCACTCGTGTAAAATACAGATAATTAATTCATACACAACTAAGCAGTTCCTATTTTTATAGTCATTTGTCACCCCTGATAGTTAACAAATGCTTAGAAACTACCTGTTCCTCCAGTTTGTAGCGCTTCGTTCCCAGAACATGTCTGCAGTTTCCTTATATTTTCCGTGCCACCTCCTGAACGGTCTACCTTGTTTCCTTTTTACGCCTAAAGGAGTCCATCTTGTGATAACCTGGGACCACCGGTTGTCTTTTACTCGTAGCAGGTGCCCAGTCCATGCCCACTTCAGCTTTATGGAAGTCATCCTGATGTCTTTGGCCTTTGTCGCCTTTCTTATTATGTTGTGTTCTACTCGGTCTTTAGAAATCCCCTAGTAATAAAATATATAGCTAAACGTTTACCAGGTCAGCTAGTACATATAATAAACGTGATTGACACACACAAATTGTTTGAGTGATATCCGATTTGTTTGTGGTTTGAAATACTTCTAACTGGATACATTTCAGTGGCCACTGGTTATTATTTACAAGGTTAAATCTATTGGAGATAAATTAGATTTTATTTCGAAAACCAGACAAAGTTATAACCAATTTTAATTAACAATTTGGTTGGAAATTATCGGTACATTTTTTAGCTACATCTTTTTGACGAACTTGTTAGTGTAACGGTAGAAATGTATGTATCGTGTGTTCAATTCCTATCGGGTCCAAGATTTTTTTAATTGGATTTCGTGTGGGTATCTGGATGTTAAATTGTTGGTAGGAATATATAATGTACAGACCACCTCTGTAGCCAAATGGCTAAACGTATTGCCTAGCAATGCGTTAAGCGTGCGAGGTCCTGGGTTCGAATCCCAGGGAAACAAAAATTGTTTCGGTAAGTCTGACCAACTACTTGCTTGTTATAGAACGGATTAGTGGAACGGACACAGAAATGTGCTCGCCCCATGCCCCACGAGGGGGAAACGGGATTTCACAGTAGGAATATCGAAATTTCGTCCAGGTCACCACCGTCCACAGATGAAAAAGCAGTCTGTTGATTTCCGAATATCCAAATCTTGAGATGTTAGTAGACCCTATGCTTGAAGGTAGGTGAAATGTAGTTATAACAATAACATAGTTCGACAAGATTTGAACCTAGAACAGCTCAAAAATTTAATACCAACGGTAGTATTACTTCTTTAAATAAAGCATTGCGCAACGGACACTACAATACTTAAATTAACCATACAACATTTCAGTTCCAGTACAGCAACAGCGGCAAGAGAACTGGAATCGGCCGAAGCGTGGCCACCGCGATCACGACGATGAATATGACCACGACCACGATTACGACCACGGCCACAAAGACACTAGTGGTGTGACCGGCCCGGTTCATACGTTCGTGAAAACGGATAAAAATGCTAATTACAAATGGGGCGTTAGGCACCACGTCGGGAACAAATACGCGTCATAGCGAAGTTTGAAGAAGTTTATTTTTATTTTTTATTTAGTTTTTATGAAGGATATGGTCGCTGTATTGATTTTGTATTAATGTGATGTACATGAACTGCGTACAATGTGTAATTGTCAATTTTAGTGTTGTATTTGGGTTGCATTAAAGAGACCGCTTGTAAACGATAAGATAATGAACCCTGTCTCCTCTATCATAAAAAAACTTCTATTTTCGTTGGTATTGTATATTTTGTAACTGTAATTTAGTACTGTGTACAATAAATAGTAAATAATACACAACTTTATTTAAATTTAATTCGCTAGAATTTGAATTAGACATTGTTTTGGGCATCCAAATTTGTTTCTGGAAAAACCTCTACATCTTCATAAATATAAGCTGCCCACGACATCGGTTCGGGCTCCGCCGTTTGGACCCCATCGTTCTTGCAAGTTCATCAAGATATAGTCTTGAACCGTTTTCGCAGCATCAGAAACCCACAGAGATGAAAAAATTCCCCCGTCTTTCACATTTCCCGTTGTATCTTCTCTTCTTAGTACCCTTCTGAGTACCCTTCCTCAATAAATGCTCTAACTAACACAAAACGAACCTTGGATTCGAAAAATTCTTTAGATTAGCTTTCTTGAGATTACCGCGTTCAAACAAACTCTTCAGCTTTATATATAAGTATGGACACGCACGACGCCGCAGGCACGGCTAGTTAAAGCATAAGTCTACGAGCGAAGGTAGTGCAATACCCAATTAACTATCTACGAGCTACTGTAGTTTAGTATCGATCAAGTATTGTATAAGCATATCAAATGTCTTATATCAACGGCGTCTGCGCATGTGGTCGATGGCCGACACACGCGAATACCTAAATCCGTTCACTTAAATTATTACAACACTGCGCGTTGTCAGATAAGGCGGCATATACACTCACAGGCAACTAGTGAATTAAAATGACAGTTATACGCAATACTTATAACTTATAACGCTGTTGAGTGGTAAAACACCTTAATTGAGAAAAAGGGTTCGAAACCCATAAAACGTGCATCATGATTATGTGTTGCAGACTGATAATCTACTTATGTGAATAAAATCAATGGCGCTTAAAGAAATCAGAGTGTATATGTTGTTGTAGACATCATTACTTTCTATCTTCGGTTTAGATTATGAAATTCAAAGTGTCTTAATTCCGTTCAAGATCGTCGGCATAATTTTAATTAGATTTTAAAAATTCGATGACACGGGTGCAACTTGAACCCACGTCCAGGGTATTTCGTGAAGTTTCCTAACCAACAGAGTTATCATATCCCGTTTATTCTTATCAAATTTATGCAATAAATTTTTTCACCTCTCGTAAAATAATTTCAACACTTACGCTACTATAAGGCCTCCTATTATAGATTTATAATGGTTTAAAACGCGGAATATATTAATGAGTAAGCAATAGCTATATATTCCAAACGTCGGGTCGTAGTTAAACTAGTTAAAATAATTAATTAATAATAAAATACTGTATTTAGTTTACGCGAGTAGTACACATTTAAATAAAACATTTGAACACGGGAAGACTGTCTCCCCATGACCGCAGCTGTTGTAAAAGTATCTGAAAGGTCGCGCCGTAGTTGATATAGTCTCCGAATAATTTTAACTAGTATATGTCGTGTTTTAAACCGTTTATATGATTTAATTTAACCAAATAATATAGTAGAAAACTTGAAATAAATCTTTGATTTACACAGCACTAGCTGTTCGTGTATACCTTCCCTTATAATAACATAATATTAATAATAATCATTATAACAGTGAATAATTGTGATTTCGTATCTATTATCTATTGTTGTCTATTAATGAGGTTCCGCTTTGGAGTAAACCTATGATTATGACTTCCCCGGTATTCGAAACTAAGACCTTTTGTATACTTCTCATCACAATGCGACTAGTTAAAGCGTTGAACTGCAGAGGCAGCCAACAGCGTATCCTAATTAACAATTGTTGTATGGACACATTTAAATAAAACACTTTTAACGGTTTAAAATGCGAAATATGTTGGTTAAGATACTTTTGATTTGTTTTCTAACTTATTTTTTACTACCTCTGTAGCTAAATCGTTACAAGTGTAGGATTACATTAAGCGAGAGGCCCTGGGTTCGAATCACGAAAACAGTAGATTCTAGAATAGAACTCTGATCAACTACTATTGTATGTAATAATGCCGATCGGTTAAAGAGACAGATATGTGTTCGCATTATACCCCTGAAGATTTCACATTTACTTTAGTATTAATTTATTTCAGAAAGGTTCGCAAAAATATATTAAAAATAGTTAACTAATATATTTTAAACCCGCTCTTACAAATAAAAAGATGTACACGAATGCGTATGAATGAACTGAAATGCAAGTGAACGATGCGTAAGACACCAAAAACTTGATGATAAAAGGAGTAGCAGCGAGTTACTTGCCACTTCTTCTTGCTCATTCTACGCCCTCAATTTGGGAACTGGTAGTCAATGTTAATTTAGAGTTTTTAAGTTGTAACTGCATTGTCGTCCATGAGTGTACCTAGCTCCCTCCTCCCTCTTGATTTGATAAACCGTTAAAAGTGATTTTTAAAGATCTACAGCTTTTTCACTTTTATCGAGTGAATCCCATTTAAATAAAACACTTTAACGGTTTAAAACGAGATCTATATTAGTTAAACTTGTTTAAAGTTAAAGTTGTTTAAAAATTATTTTAACTACGGCCCGACGTTTCGAATGCTTTCCGGCAGCCAGGGTCGCCTAGCGCCATCTATTCGTTCGAATTCGTCCTTGCAGGACTTAATAAATACCAACTTCGACAGAACAGATGGCATTAGCGTAGCAGTTTAACTAATAGATATCGCGTTTTGAAGCATTAGCTTTATTAAAATGTGGACTACTCGCGTAAACTACAGACTGTATTTAAGGGAACCCTATGTTTGTCTGTCTCTCTTTTAGTGTCACCAAGGTCGTTTTCTAATGCACCGCTGCAACAGCTGAATAGTTCAAATGGACGACCTTATCCCAATTGCGACGAGGTGTGGCGAATGATCACAATGTATATGTGGGCTCAAATGTTCCTAAGGCGACAAAAAGTACAATAGATATATACAAGTGTATATATATGTATATATTACAGAAAGCAGAAACGAGACGAACAGTCAGCTGTTAATTGTTTAATAGCTATGTATTTAAAAAGAAACACTTAACAAGTTAATAAAGTATATTCTTAAATAGTTTAATACATAACGACCTGACGTTTCGACTAACTATCGTAAACACAGTTGATGTAAAGCATTCGGACCGTCGGGTTCTAGTGAAAATAAGTTTATTAATATCTCTTACGTTTTATGCCGGTAATTTTTTATATATGTTCAACATGCATAAGCTATTAAGATAGTACTTATTTTTTTGTTAGGGTGTCACTAATTGTATATGGATAATTAAAAATGCTTTAAATGTTTCAAGTTAACATAAAATGTGAACGAATAAATTGTCAACCATGTTTAAAAAGGAAGAACGAATATACAAAAGTTTTTAATTTAGAAAATAAGGTGAAGTATTATTTTGATGGGGTCGAGAAAACTTTTAGTACAATTAAGAATCAAGAAATTATAATCTCACAAGTACCTATACGACGTGAGGCACTTAAGCTGCAGATAAAGGATTTTGAGGGATATTCCCGGGAATTCAAAGTGAAGGAAATTATGTAAGTAAACGAGACGTTGATGATGACCACACCAGAGGTTATTAAAAAGATTGGGAAACAATAAAGTGTATTTTTTTGACAACAAACAATGTAAAATGTTACATGAAATCGTGATTTTCTCACAAGGTTTACATTTATTTACACTAAAACTAGTGAAACTGCTTCAAGACTTTTACTTAGTACCCACAATTTGAAGCTAAGATAATAAAGATCCTGCAATAGCAATTTATTTAGTTTGAAATTTAGATGAGAAAACAACGACAATATGAGGTAAGTCTACTCATGTAAGTGATTTGAATATTAAGGTCGTTGGTCTGTATATAATCTATATGTGTATGATTCTTTATCTATGTGTCATCTGTGGCATCAACTACACTCTATAAAAAGTCTACACTGAGTCTCTATGGTTTGTATTCGGCGATATTTGTTGCGGTCTGTTTTCAAGTCAGAAAATATATAGTACGCCCCTTAGAGCTATATTTAAAAGTAAAGGTGATACTTTGACTCATTCCAATATACCACTAAACTTATTACTCAAGTCTTTTATTACCAGTGATCTGAACTTTAGATTAGACCGAGTCAAAATGCTAAATCCTTTATGCTTGATATTACTTCTAATGATAAACATCTGAAGAATAGAATGTAATTGAAACTTAATTGGTGTAATGGTAGCAATGTATGGCTATATTTGGGCCGTGGGTTCGATCCCGGGTCTAACATTAATCGGTTTATAATTTTTGTGATACGTACAGACGTCGTAAGAATATCGAAATTTCGTCCGGGTTACGTATGAAAAAGCTGTGAAGTTTAATCACGTTTCGATTTCAGTCAGCCTAAAATCGGTCAACGGCACATCTTGTGTAAATGTTGTGTGGCTGGGGTATTTAACCTTTTTAAGTAAACCCCCAGCTTGTCTATCATAAAAAATGGTGAATGCTATCGTTTAATCGTTGAGTTACAAGGCGATAGCTATCCTGGATAATTAATTATATACTTATAAGATATGGACCCCGATTTAATTAGCTGTAACTTGAATTAGTTCTTGCTTGTAATGGAAAATTGTCATTTATCGCAGTTTTATGTATACTATATTAAATCAATCTATAGTTTACGCGAGTAGTACACATTTAAATAAAACACTTTAACGGTTTAAAACGCGATATATTCCATCTTTAGTCTCCCCGTGACCACGGCTGCTGCAAAGCATCCGAATCGTCGGGTCGAAGTTAAAAATCATTTTCAAATAAGTTTAACTAATATATCGCGTTTTAAACCGTTAAAGTGTTTTATTTCAATGTATACTATATTATATTACAGAGCTGATGAGTTTGTTTGTTTGTTTGAACGCGCTAATCTCAGGAACTATTGGTTCGCATTGAAAACATATTTTTGTGTTGGTTAGAGCATTTATCGAGGAAGGCTGGCTATAAAGTTGTGACTAATAAGAGCGAAGAAACAGCAAGAAATGTGAAAAAAATGGGAATATTATTCATCTCTGTGGGCTTCCGATGCGTACGCTGCAAGAACGGTTCAAGATACCCAAATCATATGTATGAAAGTATTGTTCCTCGTCAAATGATCTTAAAGAAAATGTGCAATGCTGTCTATCTTTTAAGATTAACTCGTCGTTCTTAACGACGGGACGCCAACCAGCTTTAGTTTACAAAGGAGGATTTCAAAAACAAATTTGGATGCTCACAATAACTATTATTTGCGGACGAAGCCGCTGACACTCCTAGTGAATATAATACATGAAATGATACCAATGACTTCTCAATCTTAAACCCCCAATGAAAATAGAAGGGGTGTCAATATATAAAGTGAATGCGCACAGGCAGGCCTACAAACGGAGAAATAACCGCGTGTGGAGTGGACTATTTTTTTTATTAGGCAATTCAGTGTGTGCAATGTTGCGTAATTGTGTTTTATTTGCTGTGGTAGGGTGTGTGTTGGGTGTGCCTGTAGCTCAGTACCAAGTACAGGTTTGTGGCATACGTTACTTACACGGGATGAACTTCCGAATGTTTATACTTTAGATAGAAAGTAGACTAGTTCGTTATTTTAAAAAATATAGGAAAGCATATGTCTTTCCAGTTCAGAGCTGATTATTTTTATGACAATAAAATATAATCATGTTTTTTAAACATAAAAATGATCAATATGCCTCAATAATGGAGGAAAGTAACTTAATACTACAAATAAGTATATGCAAAACTAGATCTTAAAAAAAATATTGATTTTGTCATTATTTATTAATAGGTACTGGTAGTTGAGTTTTATTTAAATAGGCAATAAAATTTTTATTTTTATTAGGTAGGATGCTAACTTTTATAGCTATAACAACACAATCATAAAAAAAAAATTAACTTTGACGAGAAAGACTGCGCCATAGAGAAAATGTCTGAAATCTCCACCTCTACCCAATATGTATAATATATATGAGGGCGCTAGAAGCAGAGTAGCCTAACTGCAATTTTATGACTTGACTTATTTATATTTTTATACTCTAAAAATCTACAAGAGCACATTGACTGAAATTTGTTAACATAATACTTACACAAATAGTACAAATTCATTTTCGCCCAAGTTAATTGCGCATTTTTATTTTCGTCTTTATTGAAAATCGTGTTTTTTGTTTTAGGCTACTCTGGCTCTTGCAGACTCATATATAGATCTTATTGTAGAGCCATTCTGTACTGTCGTTACATAACTCTGTAACTATGTTGTAATTGTGTTACAGTTTTGTCGCGTGAACAAGTTCAATGTACAAAATTGTTGTGAAAGTTAGCGCGTGTTAAGCTTCCGACGTGCATAATAAGTAACTATTACTGCTCAGCCAGGACTTGAACCGGCATCCACCGTGTTCCGTGCTGTTGCTCTATTATTTTATATTATACTAGCTGTGCCCGCGACTTTGTTCGCGTGGGATAGTGACTTGAGGTAGAATTTTTTAGGCTGTTTATTAATTTATGTAATTACGCATTTATCGCAGCCAATCTTTGTTTTACTTCTTTTACTTTGCCGCAACACTTTCATCTCACATCACTCCTAATCTAACTCCCACTCCTACTACTATTCCCAAAAAGCCAAAGAAAAAAGTTTCATTGTTCTAGCTTCAAAAACCACGAATTTCCATACAAACTTTCATTTCATTCAACTAGTAGTTTCGAAGATCAGCACGCTAGCATACAAACAAAACAAGCCGTGCGAAATTAATTGTAATTTAGTCCAACTAATACAATTCGCGTTTTAAACCGTTAAAAGTATTATATTTCAACATAAACATAATTAAATTTTACTGACCATTCACATGTACATTACGAATTAATTATGTAATCAAGTGATCTTATTAGAGCGTGTATCTTGCCGTTAATTACGGAATTAATCAATAAGTAACATATCAATCAAAGTTACTTCATACGTCAGTGAAAATTAACACAGTTTAAATGACTGATTTATTATTAAGAAGTAGTGCAGTTATGTAAGTTCCCGGTCGGTTACTCAAATTTTGTTGGTTATGCAAATCAAATTACTCAAGAGCTATAACTTTTAATGACATATTATAAAATACGTAATTATTAATGCTACTTTTCGCTATGTAATATTATTTAATCTACGTAATAAGTAAATTAGTAACTCCTATCTTTTTTCTAATAGTTCGTGAATATAATTTCTCAAAGGTTTTCTCTTATAAGTAATTTTGTGATTTTCCTGTTTAGTTACAAATAATTTACATAACGAGTTTAAATTAAACACTGTAACGGTTCAAAACGCGAAATATATTAGTTAAACTTATTCGATATTTACTTTATTTAAGGACGATAGTTATTTTATTTTTGGCCGTAGTTTTACTAATATATTTCGCGTTTTAAACCGTTAAGGTATTAAAATTTTTGCTACTCGCGTAAACTACAGACAGTATTTCAATAACGAACGTGTTTTATTTTACTACGAATTTTTATACGGGAGTTATTATAAGTCTGCATGTTTGTCAGCAGGAGGAAAACATACCCCCTCACCTCCTGAGACAGTACATCGGTCAGGGTCAGGCACAGCACGCACCCAGACCAGTGCCACAAGCGGCACCAGCTAGATTAGTAAGTAATTCATATATTCCGAAGAATCCCAGGGAAAAATGCATATGATCGCATATAAAAAATAACTATATATTATAATATTTATTTCTTTTGCCTAAGTGTCAAATATTTTTTGTTATTCTACATTTATATCAGGTATACACACCTGACTTAAGTGCGAACCCGAGACGTCTCGCAATTAACGCATTAACCACAGAACTATCGACCTTATAAAACTAAAGACGTAATTCCTTCAGCCCTACAATGTCCAAAGCGAAGAGCAATACCAACCACGACCACAATATCAGCCCCAACACCAAGCGCAGCCACAGCCCCAATACAGACCACAGCAGCCCCAGCAGCAAAGGGATCCAGAGGACTTCGATGTAAGTGTAATTCTATTTTAGCTTTAGATATTCGGAAATCCACAGACTGAATCTTAAACGCGATTACACTTTTCTGCTTTTTTATCTGTAGACGGTGATTTGTAACTGGGACGTTTTTTCGATAATACAGTGGGTATTGAACCTAAACCTTGGTTGCTATCATTAAACCAATGAGCTCGTGAAACTAACTAACCTAATACATATATAATAATAAAGAAAATCAAATTTATAATAATTTAGATGAAATTAATTTTTTAATGTATTAGACTACATAAAAAACGGCTAACAAAAAAAATATTTGTTAAGAAAAGAAAACTAAAGAATTGAAAGAGTACGGCACACTACTGAGTTGGTCATAGGTTCAAGCTCGCCTGTGTAAAATGTTAATATAAAGTTGTTTTTCTTTAATTATGTTAGCAACAAGTGTATATCTATAGTAATTTAACATGCTGTTATAATTATCGATGGCCAAGATGAAACCGAGTTAAATAGATTTGTTACGGACAATGAAACATGCACTTGTTATTTAGGAAACATTGTGACACGCGCATGAGTTTAACCGCGATGAAGAAAAACGTAACTTAATTAAACGTTAGTTATCCCGAAGTCATATTTCAAACATGCTTCTATTTATATAAGACTTGAAAGCAAAACTATATGAATATATATTTAACTAATGTTATAACTATTTATGTACTTGGAACGGTTTAAAAAACGACAAATTTCTTTTAACTTGTAAAATTTATTTTAACTATAGCCCAATCTATCGGATGTTTTGCAGCAGTGGCGATTTAAACCGTTAAAAGTGTTTTAAATTCTCGCGTAAACTACAGATAATTCTTAGTATGTATAGTACTTTCATAATCTGTAGTCATTAATCAATTTGATACGTGGTTACACTACTCTGTAGCAAGTATAAAGTGAAAGTAGTTCATTGGTCCCGCGCAATTGTAGATATGAATGTTAGTAAGTAGATTTTATACCCATATAAGTTTACTCTGACCAAACCTACCTGCTGTTAATCTTACTGGCATTTGGGCCTCGGCTTTATCTAAGTAGGAAAATTATTTTTGGCAGTATTGACACATATTTTCCTATTTACATTAAAAAGAACTACGATCAAACACTTAATGGATTTAAACCGCGAAATATTTAACTTGTTTATAATTTACAAAGACCCGATGTTTCGGGTGCTATGCAGTATCAATATTTAAGTCTAAATAAGGTTTAAATAAAACACTTTAACGGTTTAAAACGCGATATATTAGGATGCTTTGCAGCAGCCGTGACCACGGCTGCTGCAAAGCATCCGAAACGTCGGGCCGAAGTTAAAAATCATTTTCAAATAAGTTTAACTAATATATCGCGTTTTAAACCGTTAAAGTGTTTTATTTAAATGTGTACTACTCGCGTAAACTATAGACAGTATCTAAATAAGGTTACTAATATAAATTATATTTTAACCCGTTAAAACTGTTTTCCATGAATTTGTAGTGTTCGCTTAGAGACAGTTCTTAAAATATACATGTAAATTGTCCCCATAGCTCATTCGTTCTATAAGTTACGGGGAATTCAAACTCAGGGCGTTTCTTGGTTATCACGAAAAGCCTTGGGTTCAAATACCGACGAATCAATAAATTAATTTGGCCGGACATGAAACTTTAGTCTAATTAATCTAAATAAAATAGATCAATGAGACGGACACAGAAGTGTGTTTGCCCCGTCCCCACAAGGGGAAACGGGATTCCACATTTACACATATTAAATTGGTCTAAAATCTTTACTGTAACAGGATATTAAACCCACTTTTGGAAAGGTCATCGCCTCGAACTGTAAATCGTAACCAATATTGTTTAGTCATTTGCGAACAAATGGTAATTATATTTCGCACAACCATAAAACAATGGTTGAAACGATTGTAGACGAAACACAAAAGCATAATAATTATTTCCATGAAATATCTTATAGATTAGGATGTCTTTAAAAAGAAAAACAAATTATTTATTTATTTAAATAATATTAAGGTCGAAGGTCGGTTGCCATGGCAACGGCCTTTTCGCATCTTATGTAAAAAAAAATATTATGAACTAGCTGTGTTAGTTATAAATATATAAATTTAAGCTATTACCCACGACGTCGGCCGCGTCCCTTCGTTCTTGCAAGTTTTTAGATCTCTTAAAGAGTAATCATTCTTTCATACATATTTATTTGGTATCGTAAAATCGTAAAAGTTATTTTTTTAATTCGAACCAGTAGTTTATTGGATTAGCGCGCTTAGACAACCAAACAAACTCTTTTATTTGCAGCCTAACCCATCATACCAGTTCGGTTTCGACGTGAACGATGACCAATTCACCAACTACCAGAACAGGAAGGAGCAGAGAGAGGGCGACGTCATCAAGGGTTCCTACTCTGTGGTAGACAGCGACGGTTTCATCAGAACTGTCACTTACACCGCCGACCCCAAAGAGGGTTTCAAAGCTGAGGTGAGTTTGACGGATTTAAATGTGATATTTTAGGTACAGTCCATATTATAGAGTTGAGAGAATCAATTAAGAAGCGATTATAATTTAAAAAAATTGGGACTGGAGCAGGACTTGAACCGGCGTCTATAGCGTGCCGTGCTGTTGTTTGAATCTTGACAAAATATATTTATATTTAATTCGTACTTATCTAATCAGATAATTTTTAAGTTTAAATAAATCTTCGGAATACCATTGAAATGATAAGTAAAGGTGATTGTAATTTAATATTTAAATAACTTGAGTGAATCCCGTAACGCGTTAGGTGATAAAGCGGTTTGTTAAGAAGCTGTCGGTTCAAAACATTATGTTACTATTATATGAATCTTACAGGTATCCAGAAAGCCAACAGACATCGTTGTCAAATTCCCCACACCAAAGCCACAATTGCAACAGGAGGCACAGCACGCACCGCAACACGCTCAGCAACATGTGCCCCAATATGTTCCCCAACAACACCAACAGCATCAGCAACAATTACAACAGCGGCCACAGCCCAACCAACAACAGTACTACCGCTATGAATAGATTAATTAGTTTTCAAACATATTTGTAGCAATTTTGATGAATTATAGTTTAAAGGTGATAGATATAGTGAAGGTGATAGAGGTTGAAGGATGATAAAGAAAATTCAATGATATGTAACAATTAAAATCTCTAAGGGACGACAAAAGAAGATATACGTACTCGAAAATTCAAGTTTACGCGAATGATACACAAAGACACTTTTTGCATTAAAAAAGCTACATATTAAGTTAAAAGATATTTGAAATAAATAGATTACAAAAATCACTTATATGAGAAACTTATTACTACAATATGAAAGTTATTGCTACTCATCACGAGGATAGTTTTTAATAAATTCTGACGAACCATAGCCGACGACAATAAGATTGTGCCGTTAAAAACAAGATTTAACTTTACTTAGGCGGTGGTTCTAATATTCGGCGTTTTTTAAACCGTTAAGAGTCGTAACATTCGATAAATTAAGGAAGTCGCAGGCGTTTGTATTATAAATTCGCACAAAGAGTTGCAGGTTGAAAGAGATGGAGTTTTATAATATCATCTAAGTAAGTGAAAATTATTTTCATCAAAATTGCTATTCTCTCTACGGCTTGTTAAAAGTTTCTTAACGCAATATTCATAATCAAATGTGTATATAGGAATTAATCTTCATTTACATATGAGTGTTGTCTATTCAATTTCATGTAGCTTCTTCTTACCATAAGCTGTTCATTTTCCATCATACAGTTTTTTACCATATTGTATCACTTGATAAAAATATCTTTCGATATCAATCACGACTCATGTTATTTCTAAAGTATGCCAGGATCTTAAATTCTTTATGTCATCTCTTTAATGTGAGTATTTATTGTTGTGTCCACTTTCACATCACTTGCAGCTGTCATATTTCACGATCGTTTTTCATACACATAACATTAAAAAGTGCCAAAAGATTAAAATATAGTATGTTTCTATCCCACTAATATATTAATGTAACTAATGCGTTGGTAACCATTTACTATCTGTGAAATATTCTAAGACGTTTGTTCTTTTATCTTTTACTTTCTGTAAAAAAAATCTTCATTCATTTTCTTTCATATGGTAGAATATTGTGAATTCCTGTATTTTAAATATTGTTATTGTTGTTTTCAATTTAAGAATAATTTACACCCACTTAGGGTTCCTTAAATAAATACTCTTCTTCCGCTATAAAACAATTGAATACAAAGAGAAGTTTAATCTCGATAATAATGTATTAACTTTTTCTACCGTGGATAGCTTGAATAAGTATTTTAGCTTGTAGTGTGCGAACTATTAGAATAAGATCCCAAACCTAATGAACTCGGTTTATTTAGTTTTGTATTTAATTTGTTAATTGATGCTTTTGTATTGCTGTTTTTAGAGATGATCGAAAGTGTGATATGAAAAATAAAGTCATGTTTTTAATTTGCTGTTTTATTAGAATTCCTTATTTTATTAAGAAACTGCTTAAAGTTAGAATGTTTAAAATCTAATCGTTTTAACCTATACCCGTTACACTGCTCGGCGCCACTACCATCTGGTGGATTTTAAGTTCACAAATTTCTAACTCAGCACCCACATAAGGATACCAAACTGATATTTGGGCTGATCCGGGACATAAAATAACGGGATCTAAATGGTCCACCACCAGATCCATCAACTACACAGGGTAGTAGTGAGAAGAATATTATAACAAGACTAAAAAGACAATTTTAATTTATGTTTAACCATGACAGATAGAATATGTTTATAATGAAATAAATAAATGAAATAAAGGATTCTTTAAATGCCTTTAACTATTAAAAGACAGACATCGTCGGTGTCAGCGTCGATCCTAGTGTGTCTAACATGGTTTTAATCAATTCATAATTTGTCTATAGATGTTGGACTTTGTCCGGAATAGAATATTATATGGGCAGTTGAAAAATCAAAATTCCACCGTTCACGTATGAAAAAGTCGTGTAATTTGATGGTGTGTAGGTTTCAGTCTATGAATTAACCAAATCCGAATATACGAAGCCAAAATTGGTCGATAGTGCATCAAGATATGCCTGAAGTAATTCACCGCCCATCGAGTGAACGCTTTGTTCGTCTGCTCTCCTCTGTCGTAAAATATAAAAGTAAAAAATTCCAGTACCTCAAAAAATTATTTATTTCTCACAAAAATTCGATGTCATAAATAACTTAAAAATATAATTCAATAACCTGCTATTAAACAATAGCACATAGAGAGTTATACATAAAATATATTAATAAATTAACAAAATACTAACATTTCAGTCTATGTGGTGTGAACGCCATAGTTTCATACTGGAAATACCTACTACATCAATAAAATGTCGAGATTGAGCTTAAACAAAATGCATCCTTTACATACGCTACTTTGATGTGACCCTATAACTAAGTTAAAAAAAACTATATGGAAGCATTTGATAAAAACATTTATGTATCTACTGGATTAATGAAAAAATTTAAATCTATTACTCAAGTGCGATGGCCGGAAAGCTCAAATACTTATGTAGCTCGGCAAAATGTCTATCCTCCTCAACATTTTATAATTATAAGCAAAAGTAAGGCCAGCGAATACCAAAATGTATCTTCCTTGCCCTCGAAAACCCCCTTTTATTCGTCTATTTCTTCTATAGAATATTGTTTTCCATATTATAGAAGATATCTTTATTTCTTAATATGAAAGCGGTGATTTACACGCAAATAATTCTGAGCTCATCATCCAGAATGGCGAATTCATAATCGTGTTATACTGTTTTTGTCTCTTTCTTGCAAAAAATAATTTAATATTTATGGATATGACACAAACATGTCTGCGGCTATATTTATAATTAGTCCTCCTTTAAAATAACCCTTTTTAGGCCATAAAACTTTTGCACCTAAAAGTAAGGATAAAAGGAACCAATAGCTACACATAACTATACAACACGACTATAAAGTCTTTTAAACACGTCACTAACCCCACCCAACTTCTTGAACTAAAACAAATGGACTTAACAAATGTGGTCTACACAACTGGATCCGGCCTGCAGACACAGCCTGACTCCACCAGCACGTAGTCCTGTCCAGTAAGGGTGACAGGCCCCAAGGGCAGTACCAAGAATAAATAGGGAACGTAGGTTTGCGTACACGAGCCTCGGACCATGGAGCACTCGGTAGATCTGAAAGAACGAACAATTTGACTATGTCAATCGCAAATATAATAAGATGCGTTCAACTATTACTTAAGCAATATAGGGCATTGTTTTTATTGCACATGATGGCACTATATAAATTAAAAATCGTTACTTATATAAATTGAAATTACATTATGCGAGAGGTGTTGAGAAAAAAGACGACGATGACGTGTAAGACACTGTAGTTCAATTGGTTAGAGCACGGAACGGAGCACGGAACGTGCTCGTTGTTCGACAGCCGACGGGCTTGTTGGTATGGTAGCAGTGTACGTCTAATAACCAACGGTTCGTGGGTTCGATCCCCTCCGAGTCTAACATTTTTCTAATAAATTTATAATTTTTCCAAAACAACTCAATTCTCATAATCTGGACACGTCCACAGATGAAAAAACAATGAAGTTTAATCACGTTTCGATTTCAGTCTGTGGATTTCCAAATATCCAAAGCCAAAATAGGTCAATAGCGCATCTTGTTTAAATGCTGATGGTGAGGCCTACCATCAAGTGAACTACATGCTTGTCTATCCTCCTCTATCATTAAAAAAAAAGAACGCTGTGGATGCCGGTTCAAGTCCTGCGCGTGTCGTATTTAGTTTTTTAATTTAAAATCGATTTTTAATTCATATAGTGTAATTGTTGATGACCTTGAATGAAATTGTGGTAATTACGTTAGCAATACATCTTTACACCTATTATTTTTAATAGATTTCCGTAACGCATATAAAATCCTTTCGGTTACTGTAAAATTGTCTTTGGAATTTAAATGCTGGCAGAACAGTCTCAGTTTGGCATTATACTGCCCAAGCTCAGATTATTCTGTAAATGTAAGCCTGACAATTTATCCACGTAGTACTAGTCTGCATGTACTTATGCACAGATAATTTTCTGACAAACTACGATTTTGTAAATTTTATTAAAAGTGAAAGGTATAGACAAATGTTTTAAGTTTACTAAAAATATAAACGTTAAGGCAGTATACATACTCGCAAACCTCGAAGACGACCTGCTGTAGTAGATCAGGGAACTTCTGGACAATTGTAACAGGTTGCCCAGAAGTGAGAGACACTCCGTACATAGGAGCTGTCGTATTATAGCGGGTTTTACATAATCTGGTACCACCACAAGTGCTTTGTGGGTTAGGAGCTATTCCAGGTAGATTTGATGCACGAGCTGAAATTTAATAAGAATGTGTTATAAACTACATCGTATCCAACAACGTAAATGAATCCAACCCTTATTGATAGCCAGCTGCGGTAGTTAGTTGTGATAGCGTTTGACAATGTGACCAGAGTTTAAATCTGTGACACAATCTAAGCTATAGACAGTAGGGTCAATAACGTTTTATTTAACAAAAAAGGGTATCACTAGGCTTAAGATGCAATTGTAGTTAAGTCGGAAGATTCCCTGGATTTACTAATCCAAGTAAGGAGCAACAGATAAAGAGCTATTTCCAATTTACCTGTTCTATTACTCGGTGCTTTCATCACGCCCTCAGAATACCCTCCATGAGCCTCCAACAATGCTTTCCTCATCAATTCGGGATTCAGCGTCTTCATATCCCGACCTTGGCGTGATGACTGACCCCATGGTCCAGATTTTACTGCGCGATTTACTAAATGTCTGAAAATAACAGTTGCGTAGGTAAGCTCCACGATTTATTATTATAGATTCTAATAGTTATATAGTGCTACACTGAATATAAATGTAAAAATGTTATGTTGCATTGAAATGTTTTAGGAGTTTGGTATGAATAAAAAGCGAAGAAGTAAGAGGTAGGGTTTACTCCATTTGTCATTTTTTCAAAGCGCCCTCTATAAAAATATGATGGATATGAAAATTTTGCTCATTATTTTTACACGCAGGAGTTGCTTTAACTGATGATGTAATTCATCTACTTCGAGAAATTGTGACATGAAGATTGTGGTAAATAGTAGTACACCCTCCTTGGAGGCGGTCCACCAGAACTAATAAAAACACCACCAGCACACTACAGTGCTGTTGCTTCGATTAGTGTACGATATATCGTTATAACAAACGAAGTATTCAAATTGCCATGCACAAACTTTACAGCCTCGTACTATATCGCGGCGTTTTGCTTAGATAATGTTTTAAGTGCTTTTAAATATCTTTATTACTCATTTCCATGCATATATATATATATTATCTCTTTCTAACATTTCCACAAGCTATTGTAATTATTTCACATACTCTTTTAGCGATCTCTGACATTTTTGACTGTAGAACGTCAAGTTACGTACGGTGTACGTTAGGCGTACCAAAAACAATTTCTCGCGGTTTGTCGCTTCTACTGGTTTCAAGTGAATGAACTTAGCGACAAGATTCCCGTAGGCCATTAAATGTTTATACGCATCGCGGGACGCTGTCGTTACGTTTAAAATGTCTATCTGACCGCGAGAGTGCAGTTCCGGGTATATTTTACTTCCGTCTTCGAACTTTTTGATATTTTCAACAGTTTCTGCCTCTTCGAAAGTGGGCAAGAGATAACTATCTATTTTCAAATTTGGAGCCTATTCGAAGTGTGCACTGACATCACTGTGTGGGGACTTAGTATGGGATTTCAAAATGTACGCCCACTTCTTTGTTTTTACAGCTTCTGCTTTAATTCTATTGGTATATACCAAAACCAACACTTTCATTTAGTTGATTCAGATCTACACGATTTTTACCAGAATGGAAGTATTTCTAAATGGTACTTCTGTAACATATCGAATACTTCATCCACGGCAACGTAAGTTTGACTCTGTGCGACTATCGCTTTTATGAAATAATCTATCTCCAATGGGAGTCCGTAGAATTTTGTAATGTTTGATGATCCCCAGCGAATCGGCAACTGATTAAACGAAGCTGCTTCTTTACTTATTTGATTACGCGCTCCTACTTATTGAAAAGCATTCGGTCCGGTTTTTATTTTCAACAGCTTATTATAATGGAAAGTAAGTTTTTCTTTGTTGACAGTATCATCATTCGAGATTATGTAGAACATTAACGAAAGTGAGTAGAATGTTTAACGATAGCGGACTTTCCAAAAAACTGTTGTTATGACGCGTCGCGAGATGGCAGCTTTGGGTATATCTTTAGTAGAAAATTAATACAGCCGAAACAAGCCGAAGATTTACGAGGCGTCAGTGTGTAGGCAGTATAGCAATATTTTAGACAAGGACATAAAACACAAGTCAATTAAAACCATAATTTAAAAATATTAAGGTAATTTCGAACTCTTTGGTATATTTTTCTTTATAAAATAAAACATTGGAAGCAAATGGCAAATAATGTAGATCAAACCAAATACCGTCATCATTCTCAAAAGTAAAGAAGTCACGACTACTCCAAAACGCAGTAACTCAATATATTACATTAAACATTAAAATATTTAATATTTAGAGTATATAAGGTGTAATTTTATTTTAAAAGAACAATTTATACTCTAAAGGGTTTACAGCGCCCTACTGGAAATTGTTATGGTACTCTATTTCTGGCTGGTTCTTTATTCTGTGTTTAGCAAGTAGCAAATAACTTCAACTATTCAAAGTTTTTATTACCTAGGATAGGGCGTTCCATCTGGCCCCGGACAGTCTGTGCCCTGCAACGCATCACCCCAAGCATACTTCAGTCTTGGCCCACAATCGCCGATGACACTTGCAATTACCGCCTGGAAATCATAATTAGTATCATAAATATCTTTGTTGCATCACAGCAGTTTATTTTTATTGAAAAGAAATTTAGACTTGGACGGGACCTTCAAGGTTGGGCTCAGAGTAGCACCACGAAATACTATGGTCGTAATCTATTTTTAATCGCAATAGATTTATAAAAACATATGATATGTAAATTATATAAAAAGTTTTAAATGAATATTTAAAAATATTTGTATGACACAGTCGTGTTTCAAATCGACGACCAACATCGTATCAAGCTGTTGTTACTCATAGAAAGAGCTAACGAGCATTCTACGTTAGGTCTCATGAGAGTTTTCATGTAATCAATATTAATACATATATGTATACACTATAAATAAAAAAACATTGGAATGTTCCATCTGTGTATATATATCGTCGTCTAATTAATGCACTTTTTATTAGTTCGGTTCGCCATTCTGTGAAATTGCTGATAAATTTTCAATAAAATTAAACCACCAGAAAATGGAAGACATAAGGGATTTAAGCTATAGACGGCAACGCTGGGCACGGCTAGTTGTTTATAAATATGTATTACGCTAGACTACAGTTAGAAATCTAGCCTGGGTCTAGCCTAGTTATGTGTCATAGATATTTTGCTTCCCTTGGGGCAAACATCGTAAATTATGTCGTAAGTTTGCATATACGAGTACTATAAACATTATGCCAACTTTACTACATTGTAGAAAGTGTTTTTAGTTACAGTGACAAAAGTTTATCTAGAAATAGGCTTTAGTTAAGAGTAAGGCATTGTCTGTCCTGTCTTGGTGATTACAATTAATACATAGACAACCCGTCGACGTTAAATTTTGTATTATTAGATTTGAACTAAAGTTGTTCCACCACTCATTACAACAGTTATGCCACTGGATTTTCTTATGATGAAAGAGAACAAGGGGTTTACTAAATGGAAGGTGGTAGAACCCAGCCATATATATTTCGAAAGTCTAATCGAAATCTATCCGAGAATAGACAAGTGTGATGTTTATTTCAAATGAAAAAATAGTTTTCCTAATATTATTTAATAGTTAAAGATAATTATTATAATACAACCGTTGCGAAACTGGAAAGCGCTTTTAAATCAATCTGTCAAACAAAATTTATTTACGAGGCAATGATAAATTCGTGAAAATCGATTTATGTAAGTGAGTTTGATGGCGAAAGTAAAAGTGGAACTATTATTATTCGGTTGACATAAAAACGCATCTTAAACGACAACATAATATCTATTTATAACTTTATGCATAAAAATAATTCTACGTCTATACCAATAATAAAGCTGCAGAGTTTGTTTCAGAGTTTCAATCTTCAGAACTACCAAGGCTAACATCACGGTGCGACTAATAAGGCAATGAGACATTAGGTAATGTGAAACAAATCTTTGAGAGTTTCCATAACGTACGCTGCGAAAATGGTTCAGGTGGCCAAAATAGATATTTTTGCAACAACAATAAAAGCAACACTATATCTATTTTTTATGATTAACTTGCAAGAACGACGGGACGGTTTTATAAAGATGAGGAGTGGTTCGCAAAAACCAAATGTTTATGTCTAAAATAGCTGTTCTACGCGGACGAAGTCGCTCGAACAGCAGTGACTATATAAAATCAAATTCAAATTGCTATATGAAACTTCGCCGCGTTGGTAAGAATAACTGTCTGTGAGTGGGTCACGAGTTCGATTCTCAATCATGAACTAATATTTGTCTTTGTGTACATTCCGACGCGTGGTTTCCGCTTCACGCAAACGTTGTATGGAGACCGGCATGACCTAGAAAAAAGTTCGACGACGTCGGTCATATGCCAGTTGACATTTGACTATCGTGGGTAACCTCCAAGTTAGGTCCCACCAGGTTTTTCTGAAACATGGCGGACGTCGTATGAAAATCTGGATATTAAGCTGGTGGTGGGAATATCGAAATTGTGTCCGAGTCACGAACCAGCCACAGATGAAAAAACCGTTATGTTAATAGCTTTTTAGTTTCAGTCTGTGGATTTCCTAATATCCAAATATGAGACGACAGCGAATCTTGTTTAGATGTTATACGGCAAGTAAGTGGACTCAATGCTTGTCTATTCTTCTGTATCATAAAAAAAGTACAGTTATAATTTTTGACGTCATTATAGAAATTATTATCGAGATTCACGACCGCAGTTATAAATTCGATGCCGGCACGATTTCACGGCCAAACGTGCGCATGGGCAGAACCAGAATGTATGCCACGGCCTAATAACACAATTCCTTAGGCCCAAGTCATTATCGAGAGCTAGACGGCTAGAACCTTTGCGGGAAAATTTATATATTAAACTTAAATACTCTGTAGTTTACGCGAGCTATACACATTTAAATAAAACACTTTAACGGTTTAAAACGCGATATTAATTAGTTAAACTTATTTGAAAATTATTACTACGGCCCGACATTTCGCCGTTTCGCAGTCTCCCCGTGTCGACGGATTCAACAAAGTAGTTATAAATATTTTATATTAGATATCGCATTTTAAACCGTTAAACTTGCTGACCTGGCAAACGTTATTTTTACATATGAAGTATTTTGAACATAATTTGATGACCATAAGAACTCTTCTAGATAGATGATCTTAAAAGATATACATACTGTCGCGGACATTTTTATTTTACGAGGAAAATTAAAAACATATTTTGTTGGTATCTAGAACCGTTATCGCAGCGCACGCGACGGAAACCTTCAAAGATCAATATTTTTCCTGTGTTTTCCACATTTCCCACTGACTCTTCGCTCCTATCCCGCGCAAAGCCTTCCCTGATAAATGCTCTAACCAAAACAAACATTATTTTTAATTTGAAACAATTGTTCCCGAGCTTAGCGTGTTCAAACAAATAAACTCTCCGATTATGTATGTTTCATTTCCTAGTGTTTTTTTTTAAATATTCAAACTTATTTCAATTTATTATAAAACGCAAGAGATGATGGTGTATTCAACCGTTAAAAATACTTTGTAAGAATATTAATCTATAAACGTCGAGTTATTTTATCTGCTACAAATACGGTTCGCTTGACTCATCTCGATTATAAAAAGGAGAAAGTATACAAAATTCTTAGAAAGATTCCGCCGCGGTGTAAGGAAATAAAAAATATCTGACTCCTAGTTAAAATAAATGGAAGAGGTACTTTTTTAGTCTAAATACAAAACTAAAACTTTAATGGTTTAAAACGCGATATATATTAGTCGAGCTTAATTGAAAATTATTTTAACTACGACGCGTATATCGCCATTTAAACCGTTAAAGTATTTTATTTGAATATGTACTACTTGCGAAAACTAAACAAACAAACAAACAACTACTGACAGTATTTACTTATTTTGTCGTTTACCTACAGCAGGGGTCTTCTTACTCATGGGAGAGGGAATTTACAAGTGTAGGCCCACCACGATGAACCAGTACGAATTGACGATCTTTTAGTACTGATACTGATTTCATGTTGATAACTAAGACCAATGTGTATGTAATGTAATTCTTAGTAACTGCTTATTCACTACTACTACTCGAGTAAACTACGCGAACAACGTCGTGGGTAACATAAAAGCTATATTCATACAGATGAAGAGGAGGTTTGCAAAAATAAATGATATAATATGCAAAATACTTACCCGCGGTCCAAATCACGGACACAGTTTGTACTTCAAACGACGAAAGTTGCCAAGTCAGCTTGTTAATAGTATTTGTATAATTAAGGGCTTGGAATCCTCGACCTCTCGATCAACAGTTGACTGACCGTTAAAGCAACGGAGGGAGGTAATCATCGTAACAGTAAAAGGAGAAAACTTTTGTTATTATTGATAGGTGCAATGGAACTAGAGTAAGCGGAAGCGGGAAGAGTAACACTTCATGTGACTTGAATCGTTAAGTCTTGATGAAAGTGGCAGTGTCACATTTCTAGGCCAGATTTATAGCGTAATGTCGTTGAACCCCAGGGAAACACGAGCAATAACAAATGACGCGCATGGATAACCTCCATTTATTACATAACGAATCAATATAAAAAATGTCCGCGACTGTTCATGTCTAACTTTTAATATTAACTTGCAAGGACGACGGGACGCGACCGACGTCGTGGGTAACAGCTTCAATGTATAAAGGGATTTGCAAAAACAAATTCTGATGCCCATAATAGCTATTTTACGCGGTCGAAGTCGCTGACTCAGCTATATATATATATATATAAAATAGAGTTAGATAATTCTTTACCAATTTAATTTATTTAACATTAGAATTAAGTGGTATTGTGCTTTCTTTCAAACAATATACTTTTGTATGTCTGTGATTGAAGATACACATATCAAATTATTGGATAAACATTTGATATAAATTATGTTAAATAGTATATGGGACATGTCATTTATCTTATCCGTCAATAAATCGTGATTAGTAACTTTGAATTGTTATTTACAAGTTAAACAAACAAAGTGAAAAACGTAGAGAAAGTGCCGGCACTTTTTAGACGCGTATGACAATCAGTACTGGCCCACGGTCAATATAACGGACCGTTTGACTTCTATAATCAGAGATACTATATTTAAGAAACTACAATATGGAAGACTGTTTTCTGTAGACATATATCATACGTAAATCTTAGACGGGTTTATAGAATTGATTTAAATATTAATTTATGCACTACAGTTTTATTAAAATATTATATAAAGCTGAAGAGTTTGTTGTTTGTTTGAACGAGCTAATCTCAGGTACTGGTTCAAATTATTTTTGTGTTAGTTAAAGTATTTATTAAGGCTATAGGCTATAAAACATCGCGATGTGACTAATAGAAACGAAGGTACAGCGGGAAATGTCAACAAAACGGGGAAATTTTTCTCTTTGTGGGATGCGTACGCTGCGCAAACGGTTCAAAAAACCAAAACCAAAGTATGGAAGGATCATTCCTCCGCCACGCTATATGTCTATCTTTTAAGATTAACGAACGATGGGACGCGTACGACGGGATACTAATGTCGTGGGTAACAGCTGTAATGAGGAGGAAGTTCGCAAAAACTATTTTGACGCCCAAAATAACTATTATATGCGGACGAAGTCGCTGGCACAGCTAGTTTAAAATAATCTCATTTTTCTAGCACAGTCAAACACTTGATGGTAGGTAATATATTCCAGCCTATAACATCTAAACAGGATGTGCTGTCATCCTATATTTTAAAATCCACAGACTGAAATCTCACGGCTTTTTTATATGTGAACGCTGGTTGTGTAACTCAGACCGAATTTCGATATTCCAACCACACTATTAATATCCATATTTCCAGACGTCCAACGTGTTTGAGAAAAAAACGCGATATAGGCGTGGTCACAGGTCTCCCCGTGACCACGGCTGCTGCAAAGCATCCGAAACGTCGGGCCGAAGTTAAAAATCATTTTCAAATAAGTTTAACTAATATATCGCGTTTTAAACCGTTGAAGTGTTTTATTTAAATAAATATGCATAGTTACGTATGCGATTGGGTAAATCGTTAGCAGTTATTGTGGACCGATCGGCTTAAAACCAGAGTCCCAAAAAATAGTAGAACACGAACAGTAACATCAAGTGTTTTCACATTTACATAATACTTTCTCTAAGCGCTTAGTGCAGCTGATAAGCCATCGGATGCTTTGACAAGTGCGTTGTTAGAATAATGATTGAGTGTTTACACTAATGATGGCTTAGAATGATCTTAACATGTTATTTAGTCTGTTTAAATTGTCTTACTTAACGATATGCCATAATTACCCGTCAGTGGTGATGACTGCGGTTTTTACGCTTAGTTTAGAGCGGCTTCTGATATCTATACTAATATATAAAGCTAAAGATTTTGTTTGTTTGAACGCGCTAACCTCAGAAGACATTTATGTAGAGACATTTTTAAGGAAGGCAATTCAATAGGGTATAAAACATTGCGCTGTGATTAATAGGAGCGAAGAAACAGCGGAAATGGCGAAAAAGAGGACAAAATTATTCATTTAAATAAAACACTTTAACGGTTTAAAACGCGATATATTAGTTATGCTTATTTGAAAATGATTGCAGCTGCTGCAAAGCATCCGAAACGTCGGGCCGAAGTTAAAAATCATTTTCAAATAAGTTTAACTAATATATCGCTTTTTAAACTGTTAAAGTGTTTTATTTAAATGTGTACTACTCGCGTAAACTGTAGACAGTATTTAAAATTATTCATTTTTGTAGATTCCCATGAGTATATATCTATCTTTTAAGATGAATTCGCTTGAATGACGGGACTCGACCGACGTCGTGGATAACAGCTTATATTTATAAGGATGAAGAGGATGGATACCCAAAATAACTATTCTACGCGGACGAAGTCGCTGACACATCTAGTTTCTGGTAATAATGATAGATAAAATACAATTAAGCTCTGTAGCTCAATATTTAGACGTTTTCTAGCCCGTCGTTAAGAAGAGGTCGTGGGTTAGAATCCTGGGCAAAAAATGTATCAGTCACGCCGAACAGTATGATACTTGTAAATAATAGAGACAGTAAAACGGACGCAGAAATGTGGTCGCCCAATTTCTTACATTCAATTGAAACTTTATTTCTCAACCGTCGATCGAGCCGTGCTTATTTGTAACTTGTTAGCATACGTGATAACTAACATCAACTTTGTCTCCGACATTCAACGTACTAAAATTTAAAAATCAATAGGTATCATCAACAATGATAAAATTTTGTGTACAAAAAGAATGCAGCGTGAACGACGTGGGTAACGCTATGATTTATAAAGCTAAGGAGATTGCAAACTAAATAATATCATGCCCGAACATGCGGACGAAGTCGCGGGTCCAGCTTGTGTCGTTATAATAAATAAGTTGAACATGTAAAATTCGTGATTTGTAAAGGGGAACGCATGAATCCTGTCTCCGCCTTACAGATGCCTGCTAAACGCCCGTACCCAATGTGTCATAAGTGGTCTGACGGGTCTCTTAACATGTTCGCCAGCATTAAATTATAGGAAGAAGCGGCGGTCAGCAACCTTCGACTAATGACACGGTAATGCGCTTAGACGGGCTTGCGGATAACAGTAAACCAATGATATCTTCACCCACAGCTTATAACTTTTTTATCTTCCCGAACGGTTCGCTCCACATGCATAACTAATGAGTCAGTCAAGCACACACCGTGAGATTGCGTTAACACAGGGTTAATTGAAGTTAATGGAATTGTTAAGTTTTTCTTTTGGCTGTTTCGTTTAATTTTCAGGCGTACCTTGAGTTTAATGGCTGTTTTGTCCAATTTCAATGAAATCGCAATTAATTTAATTGTGTATTACTTAAGGTTAAATTATCAATTTTGGATATAAAAATTATTATTCAGTAATAAATGACGGCCTTTGTATTTCTAGGATGTAATAAAATTTTATCTAGTAAAATTGTTGACCGTGAATACAGCTTAAACACCAATGTTCAAAAGCTAGGAAGCTTATTTAATACACTCGGATTAAGCGTTACTATAAAAAATAAAAACTTCGCATTTATCATTTATTTAAGTAGAAGCTAGTTTAATAACACAGATATTATATTAACTTTATTTTTATTCACTCCATTGTATGTCTTGCATTAATTTAAATAATGTTTGACCTGTTTTTTTCAATCGAGAAAAACTGTTTAATTTTATAATTTTAAATTTAAAGAAAGTAACTTACCAAATAAAAACAAACCAAAGACCGTCTGTACCACATTTTGGTAATAAGCTGAATTTTCACACTAATATTTTAAATCTCCGCAACACTTTCAGTACATTTGCGAATTTCGACCCGAATGTCGGCAGATATTACACATTCGCGGTTGTAGAAGGGCGTGCGGTCGGCGCACTGCCCGCGTAGACAACAACAAGTGGTTTTTCATTATAACGGGAACTTGGTCTGGAGTTTAGTACACTGCGGGCGCAAATTACCACCTACTTTGCTTCGTGAACTCTCTCTTTACAGAATAATTAATTTCAGCGCCATCTGTAACATGTTTACGAAATCATTCTAATTATTTAAAACGTTTATTTCCATTATAAAATAAAAATGTGCAAAGTCTATAAAATGTATTTTTAGATTTTATATAAGTATAATAGTATGATACTTTACGCTTCTGTTAAATTGAATTCCTAAGGAATATCGATGCTATAACGAATACTTTTGACATATCTCATATGCAATTGACAATTATATTACACGGTTGCCAACAGCGTGTGACAATTACAAAAATCTACCACAGATATAACTACAAGTCCTTGCAAAACCGTAGTTAATAATCAAAATAAATTATTAATGCGCTAAATCTATGAACATGTTTTGTCACAAACGGAGATAATTAAAACATGAACACTCGAACTTTCATCTGTTAGTCAAATTTATTATTAAAGGAATAATTTACGAAAATATTTAAATTATCCCTAAGTGATTTCTTTAAAAATTTCACACAAATAAATGTCTTCAAGCGTAAATACCAAATCCTCTAAAATGTTTCATTATGTAGGAGCTGGCTCATTATAATGAAATAAATAAAACATTGCGTAAGTATAATAAGTTGTTGTTTGCTTTGGGCTTTTAAATTTAATTTATTATTGTTGGTTAAAACTTCTAAAGTTTTGTAAGGAATCAGCTGTTTGTCAATATATTCCGTCTCTTTCATTCGCCTAATACACAGCACTGTGATATCCTTGTCTTCCGCCTACGTTTTTTGGGTAATCTATTTTAGTACATTACCATCACCATGAGATGTAATTATACTAATTTTACGTTGTCTTATGGTTAAACAATATTCTTATGTTGCATAAATAAATAATGATCGGCAGGTAACACATTTATTCCGTTGCAAATACGCCACAAATAATAACAAACTGCTTTTCGCTTGTCTAACGTTTGAACCATAGAACACTATTGTCAAAATATTTACCGCGTAAAAAGAACTGTAGTTAAAATACTAAAACCTACACATTTCCACACATAAACATTTTATATAGCTGAAAAAGGGTTAATTCATTGTTTAAGTAACTAGAACCTACAAAAGGTTATGTTATTGTTTTTAATAGCACAAACTGTTTATGTAAATAATTAATCAATTGCAAAGTTTGGTCTTATTTATATAAAGACCTTTCACATAAAAAGAAGTTTTTTCAGTAAAATTTTGTTTATATTGTAAAGACTGTTTGTCCTTCATACTAGTAAGAACTAGGATTATCTTAGGCTGAGGTCTTGTCTGTTTGGATGACAATATAACTTCAATTAATTGTATATCATGAATTTTAATTTCAGGAACAATGAACAGGCACAGAACTTATCTAAGGGAATTGAGACATCTAATATGGACAAAGCTAAGTTAAAAGCAGAAGACAGTAACGCAAGATACAAATGTGAATATGAAGGATGTGAACGAACTTACAGCACTGTTGGTAATCTCCGTACACACTTGAAGACACATACAGGTACTTTTTTATGTATAATCACATTAATTATTAATTGAATACATTTTTATCAATATGACAATTGGAAGTAAAAGTGAAATAATTATTTATTCAAATCTTCTGTTTGTTAATTATTATTAGTTTTTTGTGCTCCTTAAACATTATATTATGTTGGAAGGGGTTTTTACATGTGAGCCAGTAAGTTTATCCAACCAACAGAAATGTTCATACATATATGTAGATTTTTATGTATTCATATTAAATTTCAGGAGAATACAAATTTGTCTGCCCCATGCCATCATGCAATAAGGCATTTCTCACATCCTATAGTTTGAAGATACATGTCCGGGCGCACACTAAGGCTAAACCGTTTGCATGCAATATGGGAACTTGTAATAAAGCATTCAACACACTGTACAGGTTAGTTATATAATGCATTCTCTGGCCTAAATCGAACTTTATGACTTGTATGGTCACTTGTTAATTTCTGCTTGGCTCCGATCTAATATAATATAGAGAAAGACTAAGAGCTTTGATTAGGACCACCTTTTATCATGTTAATCTGATTAGCCTGAAAGCCATGTTGGTTTTGAAGTACATCCAACAGTTGTGAGTCAATTAAATGTTTATTATTGCATCTTTGGTGTAGATAAACATAGAAAAGACCAGGATGTAGAAAGGGCCTGAGAAGTGAAACATCTTTTAAATAAATTCTGTCTATAGTTTAAGCCAGTAGTACACACTTAGATAAAACACTTTAACAGGTTTGTGTTACTTCTGTAATGACTTAGCTAGATCCTCCAAATACCAGTTATGAAAAAACAGATGGCGCTAACATAGCATATTTGACTTTCATATTAGGGATACCTTCCATCTTCAGTCCCCCTGGAATAAGATTGCTGCAAAGCATCCAAAGTATCAGGTTGTATTTAAAATAACATATCTAATATGTTTTACAAAGGTTTAAACTATAGACTCGTCCTGGGCTTTTAATTATATTGAAGATGTCTTTAGTTACACTTAAATTAGTTTTACTAGTACATAGTAATTTTGAGTCATTAGGTACTTAGATTATTATCTGAATATCCAAAGCCAAAATATGTCGACAGCTGATTGTTACAAACTGTTATAGGGCTGCAGTATTTTTAATATTTCATCGGGTGAACCCAACGCTTGCTTCTACTGCAACTTGGACCATTAACCGGAATAATATTCTCCCCCTTTCATAGTAGCTTTAATGAGAGCTTTCGAAGGAAAAGCAAGGATATTTAAATAAAACATATATGTATATACAAATACTGCCAGACTTATATCATTAAATTAAATTTACATGAAATTTACTTCAACTTACCATTTTTTGGTTTTCACAACGCACCCATCCGCACGCATCCCAGTTTTTTTTACATATCTCTTTGTTGCTTAGCTCCTTATGGTCGCAGCCTGATGTTGTAATAGCCTAAAGCCTTCCTCGATAAATAGTCCAACCAACACAAAAATATTTTTTCAATTCGAACCAGTACTTCCTGAGATTAATGCGTACAAACAAACTCTTTAGCTTTATTTATAATATTAGTATTAGAGATAGTAGATTCATTCTAGTGTCTGTAGTTATGATTAGATGTTTTTGTTAGTTCGACAAAGAATTACTGCCCTAAAACTACTAGGCCAATTTTAATGAAATTTAGCAATTATCCTTCCTAGCCACATTTAATAAATCTAATGTAATAATAGTGGCGCCATCAACATTAAGGCATTTCTATCTTTGAAACTATTAAAGGAAATATCTGTATGCTATGTTTTGCTTTGGATTACTTGTAACATGTTACGTATTTTCTGTTTGTTACCTGTAGTCTTGAGTAAATATACATCCTAATATATTCTTACAATTACGTAATACGACAAAGGGGGTAATTGTTTTTGAAATACACGAGTTTCCAAACAGAACAACATGTCTCTGTAACTCTTAAGATTAATGATCGCCTGGGCTGTTGCCAATTCCTCTAATCTTACGCGACCTGCTGAACGATCCAGCCTGGATTGAACCTAATTGGTATGTTATTAAGATATATTTTTAAATGTCAGAAAAACTTTGTATGTATTTGCCACAAAATTAATGAGCGGTTGCCCTATAAATTGTTTAACTTTATTTTTATAACTCCAATCGAATTCTTACGTTAAGGGTTTTACTTTTAAAAAATATAGAAACGAGGTTTTTGGTTAGGTTTTCAGTTTTGAACTTTATTATTTTTAATATTATTCCTCATGATGGCATTACATAATTAAATAAAACTATTTGAGGTTGAATTTATTATAGCAGCACAGGTTTGTGCGAGACGTAGATTTTTTAAAATCTTAACAGATTTTTAACGTTGAAGTTAAAAGTATTCTTTGATGCCACAAAATTAAAAAAAAAACATAAAACGGTAATTTAAATAAAACAGTTTAACGGTTTAAAAAACGCTTGTTAAACTTATTTGGAAATGATTTTTAACTTCTCACTTTTTTAAGTCTCCCCGTGACCACGGCTGCTGCAAAGCATCCGAAACGTCGGGCCGAAGTTAAAAATCCTTTTCAAATAAGTTCAACTAATATATCGCGTTTTAAACCGTTAAAGTGTTTTATTTAAATGTGTACTACTCGCGTAAACTATAGACAGTATATAAAACGGTAGTTCTTAATTTTTGCATCTGCAGGATTCCATTGACCTAAATGGGACGGCACAAATCTAATTCGTACAGCACTGTTTTATAAAACCCACATGCGGTGTTTCTGATCAAGTAAAGATTGGTTTAAATAAACAAATGATTATACCATTAATGTCGAATAGAGTTTTTAAATATCTAAACTTACTCATAATAAGTTTAGATATATGTATTTCCTTTTGTACCAAGGATTTTTTACCATTTTTGATCGCAAACACTATTCTAAAATTGTATTGATGTATTACCGCATATGTCATAAGATTATCATCAAAACTTGGCGCAGTGATTGTAGGCGAAAGCTATTACAAAACAAACTATTATAACAACGAATCTTAAAGATAGATCTCTTGTTTAATTATAACATCAGTCACATGCTGGACATGTGTTGCCAGATTGAAAAGTGACAAATTGCCGAGTGGAAGATATTTAAACAGTTAATCTATTGTGCCAATTGTAAGCATTATCGCTGGATGTTTGGCAAAGTTCCCCAATAATATTAATTGATACTTTGTATCGGCGAAATAATTTAGGATAATTCCTTGTGGCGCTAGCAATAATATTTTTCTCTATGGCAATCCCTACTTAATGTCACTTAATGAAGAATTGCTAGTAATTCAGTGTATATTTATACATATTATTATTATTATTGTTTTTTGTCGTATCATAAATCATTCTTAAGTAATCATACATGTTTTATATTGCTGTTTTCTTTAAGATTGATTTCGGTCGTGCAAAGCATTAAGCCATACCTTTGTACATTTTTAAAGTTTGTTTATTTATTAACACCTTGTATTAAGATAGATCGAAACATAATCGCTTATCGAGTACAGACAAGTCAGGAAGACGAAGGAATTTAGAGAACATAATTTAAGATTACTAAACAATAAAAATGTACCACAAGAGCAAAAAGATATTCGATTCAATAAATTTATGTTTTACAGACCAGCCAAGCCAGTAAATATAATAGCAATGCCAGAAAATCCAAAAATAATCACTTATCAAGTCCAGACAACGTAAGAAGATCGAAGCTATTTCGCTAAATGTAATACGATTTGGTGCCCGCGACTTCGTACTACGCAGGAGCAGTACAGCGAAATAGCTTATATCAATTAAATTGGCGCAGAAAAAACTAATATTCAATAATCGAAACTATGATTAACTACTACGTTTAGCTGGCAGCGCCCGCAGAAACGTTCGTCTACGTAGGATTAGTTTTATTTGGAGTGCATTTAATATCATATCGTGGACGCGCGGAAAAGATCTTTATAACGTAGCTTATGATTATAAATATGCGTAAGCTTTTAACGTTTAATTGAAAGCAACAGCATTTCGCCAGAAAGGTAGCAGAAAACCATCCACAGATACATTCTTTCGCGTTAATTAAAAGTAGGATTTTTAAAAATTAATTTAACTTGTTTTTCAGTTATTTTAAGGTCGTACAACGAATGCGAAGAAATGATTAATGAATTGAAATTGTTTATTTCAGATTGCGGGCGCACCAAAGACTGCACAGCGGCGACACGTTCAACTGCAAAGCGGAAGGCTGTACGAAGTTCTTCACGACACTCAGCGATTTAAAGAAACACATACGAACACATACTCAGGAGCGGCCATATAAGTAAGTCTGTGTCTTAAAACATAATGTTTGATTAAGTAAAACTATGGTAAAAAAATGACTGGGAGCTTTGGAGTCGTACAAACGTGTTCCCAGGGCTCCCTCTAAGCACCGTAGAGGGCTGGTGGTGTGTTTAGTGGTTCTGGTCGGCTATACGATTTATCACACTCCCCACGTCACACTTGGGCGTGCATTAGGGATTCAAACCATCAGTTTAAAAAAAATGGTAAAGAAACGAAATCCGTAAATTTTGTAAGGCTTTCATGGCCATCGTTCAGCATATCATTGCTGTTCGGCGTAACCGAAAAGAGGTTCTCGACGTTTCGTCATTATAAGCGGATAGCATCATCAGCAGATGTTAGCTCCTCGATTGCACGTCAACCGAAAAACAATGAGATGCTAAACGAAATCCGGTTTATGGAGCAGATATATATCTGAGTCCTAACTTAACTTCTGTGCCCTTCTCGATCCAAACTATTATGTTCATTTGTGTTGGAGCCCAGGAGTCGCCGTAGCAATAATAGTATCTAACATGAAGCGGTATATTCGAATTTTTCAAGACTTAATGAATATACTAAAATGAATTATGATAAACATTATTTGCTCTTGAAATATATTTAAAAAAAAATATATACACGTAGAAAGTGCCTATTTCGAAAAGTCAAAGCGCATCTTGTTTTGACGTTACATGGCTTGGGCTTCGTTGTCTAAGCAAAATCCATGCTTCTTCTCTTCCGTCCTATAAATATCATGTATTGATTAAATGTTTAAATCATAAATAAATTCAGATGCAGAACAGAGGGTTGCGGCAAATCGTTCACAGCATCGCACCATTTGAAGGCACATGCGCGGACGCACACTGGCTCCAGACCACACGCGTGCCCAGCGCCAGCTTGCGGTAAACAATTCTCCACGCCCACTAGTCTACGCGCACACGCAGCTAAACACCAGGTACACTTATTATAGCTAATACAGGTGAAATCCTGTTAATTACGAGACGTATAAAGAAGAAACTTCTTTAAGAAATGTTAAATGAAATAAAACCTCACTTAATCACAATATTTCATATTTCTTTGATGGGGAGGTATTTTTAATCTGAAACATTACACACATACATTTTCGTGGCTTACAAGAGCTGGAAAATGAATACAGTAAGTGTTATATGATGTAACGTAAGTAAATAAATAAATAAACATATAAACTTAATAATAAAAAATGTTCATATCCGCTTCGAAGGACCTTTTTTAAACGAATCATTTTTCAATAAGCAATACTGTATTTGATACAAAACCTAAAGAATAAAATACGTTTTATATATTAAATCTTATCTAGATTTTTAACTAATATATAGCTAAAGGAATTTAATATTTATTCCAGACGGAAACCGAGCCGCAACCCAAAGTAACCACCGACAACGTGCCAAGCAAACCCCCGGACGGAATGAACTGGGACAGCCTCCTAGAGTCCTTCGGTAAAATAACCACAGAGTCCAACTCGAATGACAGTCTAGACGACTTAACTGTCAACCCACTCTCTAACAACGTGGACATAACCGACCTACTCTTTGACAACACTAATACCAACGACAACGCTAACTATGACATAACTAATCTAGATCTTATACCCTTCGACGATAAACCCAAGAAACCGGATTGGGAAGGGAAGAATATCGAGAAACAAATTAAACCGAAAGCAATGCAATTGGCTTTAGCTAATGAAGTAGAATTACAAGCTCCTTGGATTGACGTCACAGCACTAGCGGCTTCAATACAGGAAACCCCTATTAGCATAAAGGAAAAAACTCCGGAGAATATTTTTACACTTGCCACCTTCGTTCCCACGCATATGCAGAGCTACATAGACCTAAACGCCGAAATGCCCACGGCTAATGTGCAAAGCTTTGATCTAGACACGCCAAACATACTCGACGTTAGCGATAAAGTATTCAACGACAGCGAATTAGTGAGGAACTTCGACCCGCCTAATCCTATCGACTTTTTGAAACCGGGCCCATCTAACGATAGAAGCTTGAACACCCCCCCTCCGCAAGTACAACAAAGCATCGAGATAAATCCTACAAATTCTGTGCTATTTAATACGGATCTCGCGTTGGAAGATACGTTATTATTCGACAACGAACCTCCGTCGGACATGTACGTAGTTAGAACGGAGAATATATTCGGGAAGCAGAGGAGAAATGCTGTTGAACAGCTGGCGGCTGATGCCGGGATCTGTTCGTGCGTGGAATGCAAGTGCAACCCGAACGACGACTGCGCAGATTGTTCTAAATCCACGGAATCTGATTGTTGCGAGGATAAATGCTCCTGCGTCAACTGCACCTGTAATCACGCCGAAATGAAATGCGCAGTGGGCTGCGGTAAAGCCACAGAAAATAACCACAACACCTTCCTCGACTACCATAAACGGCACAATAATTCGAATTTGGAAGACTACGGCGTGTACACGCACGAATGTTTCGATCACTCGCCAGCCAGTGTCGCTGAGAGTTTAAAAAAGTTGTCTTGCTCGTGCGATTCCGATGAAAAGAAATGCTGCAAAACGGACTCGAAGGACACCAAGTCGTGCTGCGTCACCATTTGCATTAAGAACGTGGAGGCGTTCAAACACTTCTTAACTAACGACCTACTTAACTCCATTAAATCTCAGAATTTTAATTTGACAACTAGTTAAATTTTTTAATTACAACACTGGTCGCCATGACAGGTTTAATCGTTTCTGATTGGTCGAGATTTTGCGAGTGTTGACCAATCGGAGTTAAGCGATCTTGAAGTTAAACGCTCCGTTGCATTTAAATATGTACAAAGCATAGTATATGCGTAACTTGGTGCTGTTTGTTATTTTTTATAGTAACGCTTAGTGTAGTTATTGTGGATTCAAAATTATTTACATATTTATTACTTTTGTATTTGTTATTTATGAAACATTTATAGCATGTTATAGGTATACTTGTAAAGGACACATTGTCTTTATAAATCGATTGTTTATGACATTTGTGCAATAAATATTTAAGTAAGTGCAATTCGATGTCACCACAACCAAAGAATTTATAGTATTAAACCATATTTACAGAGTATTTTAGCAGTGTTAAGTGACCTTTTGTCACATTCAGTGGTAGAATAGGTGATAAAATTATAGTGGTGATATTAAGATAGAAGATGCAGATGCCTTCACATAAGGTTCTGAAGTCGAATCACATATATTGTCTAGAGCCTCTTACTCTTTTTAGATTAAGAACACAGAACTCTTCCTTTGGTACCGGCTTTCTAATTTTAAAATGGTATCTTTAATGCGTATTTGAGGATTCTCAACTTAAAAATAAAGTCCCTAGACATTATACAAATAGTGTCATCATGTATTACAAGATATTATATTCAGAAATATAATTATCCAATTCTTTACATGTCTATTTACACAAACGAATGGTAAAACGCCGGTGCTAATTGTGCCTTAAATGTTGTACTTACTTGTGCCTTGCACTAAATGTTTGAGATTTTTATGAGATATATGTGTAAAAACAATAATCAAAGTAATGCTGTAAACTTTCTAGTCCAGATAATAAATGCTTTTTATAGTAATGGTATTTTATTGCTTAGTGTGTTAAAACATTGAAGCAAAATGCGATGGCGACCTATTTTGGGTTTGGATATTCGGCAATCTTTCACCCTTTTTTATGTGTGGACTCAGATGGAATGTCAAAATTTCTATAGAAAATCTAATATAATATAATAACTGCCTTCAGCTGGAAATCAGGATATGTTTGTTTCCAGCAGGATATACTGTTTCAGAAAATCTATAAATCCTTTAAACAAATATTATTTTATAATTTTGTCCAGTGTTTAAACGGCTAAGGACGATGGGATCTCCCCTTCCTCAGTTAGATGGGACCCTGTCTACTTATTTATAATTATATATGCTTAACTTATTACTATTATTATGCTATTACCTTAAGTTTCATAATATTAATTTATATTATGTCAAAATGTGAAAATGGTTCGTAATTTTGTTTTGCTAATACAGTTTAAAAATTTTCCAGGGTTACTCATGTATTTGTCGCTGCTTCAACATCTGAATGATTATTAGACTCGACCCATTGATTTTTTGCATTGCTATCATAATCCAAAGAGCCCATCAGAAATATTGAACTGCTTCTTTGCCAATGTATGTGATGTTAAATAAAAAAAATCATTTTCTATTACATTTATTGAAGTCAAACATACATAAGAGATCCAAAATATTCTGTAAAGGAAATCTATTTATAACTTATAACTAATAAACACTAAGTATAAAAAATCCAATAAAAAGTAATACTTATAATTAAATTTACGTATTGTTAAAAACTATGTAATACCCACAAAGAATTATTAAAACTGTGAATAATATCAAGTAAAAAACAGGTATACAACATGCAAAATGTCTAATAGGTAAATAGACCTGTTTAAATGTCTAAGTTATTTAGAACCAACATCACAATTATAACTTAATGCATACAAATCACATCACATAATACATTGATTGAGTATAAATCTTAAACAAAAACTTTTTGCCTTATAATCTTAAATTAAAATCTACTCTTAATATTACCTGTTCTACAGATATAGAATGCAGTCAGTAGTAGATAAATCCAATACAATTCTAGTGATCTATCTTTGACTTCAGCGCCTCTTCTTCTTATCATGGCGTCTTGCTCTTGAGATGGTAGCTCGATGTCCTGGTGATGACTGCTCAGAGCTACATTCATCACTATCTGTGTAGGCCTGAAAAAAACTGTATACTCTAAAATAGTCATAAAAAAACTCTAACCAATAAGTTGTCTAAGACTATGTCTGAAAATTGTTTATCAAATATGTAGCTTATACAATTATTGCGAACATGGAAAGATTGTTTAAAAATGTGAAAAACAAACAAACACTGCCTTGTAAAAGCTTTGTTACTTCAATGGTAACTAAGTACATGTTAAAATAATAAACTACTACTAAACTTTAAGTTTGAACAAATAATATAAAAAAATCCTGATCTGTCTGACCATTGCCACAGTTGCTGACAAGCAACTTCGAATCGTAGTTAAAATATAACTTAACGAATATTCTTTATGTTTCAAAAAGTGTTTTTTTGTTCATTCGCTTTTGCTCTTTTTTGGTCTAATTTATAAATCTTACCTTCTCATATGGATATGGTTCACTTTGATCGTCTGTAAGTGTAACACTAGCAAGCAAGCAGACCAGTTGAAAAGCCGCTCCGATGTATAATCCATATCGGATTATGGTGCTCATCATGTCCTCAGCGAAAATTTCGTTGGGAATCATATTTATTTATTAAGGCTTCACAGCGGGAACGTTGAACGAGAACAGCAGACTTGTAATCACTGTTTATTGTATAGTTTGGCGAGTTTGAAATTTACCGAATCCAATAGTTTGGATAAACACAAAACAATCAATATTTAAAATTAAATCACCTGACAATTGACACCGGCAAGCGGCGAAAATATTGATTGACGTTGGCAGTTTTGACACCTAACAGTTGATTGTTACGATAAATAAAGCTTTCTTGCTCTAGAAAAAAACAAGTTATTACTTTGTACGCCAGACTTTTTAGGAGACTATATTTAAATTTCTTACCTACTATGTGTGTCTCTTAAGTCTTATAGTACTTTTTAAATAAGAAAAAAATGAGCGCACGTCTATCAAGAATCTATTTCTTATTATTGGATTAGCAAAAAGTACTAAAAGTAAACTAACTTAACCCAGATAAGCCTGAAACTAAAATTTTCTGAAAATTTTGAAAAAAGTTACATTATTTAGTTTATTAGATCTTATGCAACATAAAAAAAATTATGAAAAAAAAATTAAGTGTAAGGCTTTCAGGGAAACACGTCCTTAGGACAGTAGGATAATAAGAGGTAATAAAAGACCATTTATGAACAGATGTAATCAAAAAGTGTAGTTTATTAACTGATTATATTACCAAATTACAAAACTTTGTTATGTTTCAAAACACTTACCACTCCACTTTCTTGCAACGTGTCAAACATTTTTTGTGACATTACGACATTTTGCTTCGATGAGGAATAACCAGATGATCTTTGGTCACGACTATCAGCATGTTCAGAGGGAGGGCGGCTAGGCCCTCTTTTGGCATTTTTTCTGTTTGATTCAATCAAAGCAATTGCTACCCTTGCAAGCCAAGATGATCCAGTTTTCCATGATTTATTTTATATAACTGCCATGCTTATGTTCGGCAAGATCTCATGTGTGTGACAACGGCATTACCATTTCTTACCTCTTACCAATTCGGTAATGTGAAATATTTTCATAGACCGCCACTCCTCCTTATTTGTTATTTATGGAACATATGTGGTTCTTCTATGACATTTTCTCTTCTCCATGCGTAGGTACCCTAGTTTAGTTCGACCTTAAATCAGAAGGTTCTTCTTTTGTATCACTCACCATAATTGCCCTTGAATCATTACTTCAGCGGTTGAAGCAGAATGTTTCGTGGCAAATTATTCAAAGTTACATTATCTTCTTCATTCGAATCTTCGTCAGTGAGACAGTCAGGAAAGGAGGAGGTAATACGTCGTTCTCTCTCTCTTTCAGAAACAATTTCTAAAGCATCTAAAATTTCATGCGCAGCTAACGTCTTAAAGAAAAAGTTGTATTATTGTACAAAATCATGAATTATCCTACTGTCCGTACGCTGTTTGTACAAGGATTTTGCTTTTTACAAATTAAGCTTCATAGAAAAACTCACGAGTACTTTTTACATACCTTCATGCCATGCAACGCAGTTTTATTACACACTTATAAGGTAAAATTTAAGGTAAAAAGGTTAAAAAAATGTCTTTTTATTTTTTCTAATAAAGCTGACACGTTTCTTATTGCAAATCATAAGACTAAATAATCTTAGATAAAGAGGGTATTCTGATATTTTTTTTTATTTCTACTGTATATAATAATATAGGACAGTAGGCTTATCTGGGTTAATAATTGGCATTACACAAATATCACCTACTCTTGAGATTACCAGGTTTTGTAAAATAAAGTCGACAGGTTGAGTAGCGTTATATATGTTTATTTAATAATAAGCAAAAGGGTATAATAACGAGTTGATAGGTTAATTACACAGGTATAATATTATGCATTGTCTTGAATAGTCCATATTGATATTCCTGATAGCAATGGTTGAATAAGAAGTTTATTTAGTCTCTCCGTTGGTCTCTACTGAGCGTTGACGACACAACCGGCAGTAGCTGGCCAATCACACACCTGAAATGAAAACAAAACTTATTAATATCAAAAAAAAACCATAAACAACGTACTGGCAGCCTATAATCATACTGTATTTTTAAGAGAAAATGATTACTGAAAATGACGAAGAACGTTATTTAGTAAACTTATTGTTTCTTATGTGCCCACTAGAGGCGCTGTATATAGTCTATATCTCGAGGAAAAAGATTAGTTAAATTGTTAAATTAGTTTTTGAAAGTATTTAACCTTCGCACATCCAAGATTAAAAAAAAGTTATCAAAACTATTAGATGGATTATTGTAAATATTTTAAATTATTGTTATTAAACCAATATTGGGAAGGTATTTGGAAAATTACCTGCTTTTCTCTATTGAAGTGTAGATTAGGGGGACAAGGTCGTTCCACTTTAGAACCCCAAACACAAGAATAGAACACTGAACAGTTCTGTGCGTCAGGCAATAACCAGTGAATATGAGGATCGACTGGGCATCCATTTTCTTGGAACTCTATTTCCGGTTTGTCAGTGGCTATCGTTTCCTCTGGCAAGTCATCTGTGACACCTTCTCCTTCAGCGACGAGAGGGAGGAACTCGGCTGCCCCTTGGATAGGCTGTGGTTCGATTTCGGTGTTTCCTTGACAATTGGCGAGAGCTGGCCAGTCACAAATGGATTCCGCTACGTTGAAGTGTAATCCAGCGGGGCAGGGCATCTCGACAGGGCGTCCATGGGTACATTGGTAGAATTTTCCACATTCCTCGTGAGGCAGCAACTTCTCTATGGTCCAGTCGATAACCTGTTCTGGGGGACAGGCATCGTCACTGATAGCCAGCGCAGACGCAACTAGAAGTAATAATCCTGCTACGGCTGAAAAAGAAACAATGATTATTTTTTATTTCAATAAATTATAATTATTTATTAAGTTGATATTTTTATGTATTATTGTGTATTACCCTTCATTTTTGATTCAATGTGTTTTGGTTAGTGCTCGGCGCGTTAAGTATTTATACAAAACTGAAAAATCCTTATCTTCGAAATCAAAGCAATTGAAACAAAAGTTCTGATAAAACATGAGTAGTAAATTGTAGATTGTAAATTGATAAATTAACGTGCAATATAACTAATTTATTGTCTGAAATCGGAGGAAAGGAACATCGATTGATATAACTGATAACATGTAGGTTATTGTAGTAAAATTCTTTGAAACCTCAAGTTGTAAATGTTTGTCATTTTGCGAATCGTGGTCGCTATCAGACATTATTGATACAATAAGTTTAACGAGTGATCGTATTCATTTACGATGTACTCTGAACAGCGGCGTTACAAACAAATTTTGTAGGTATAGTGCTTTCGTATACTGCCGGCGCGTGATTCAGGCACACTTCGGAATTATAAGGAAATACGCTGATAATATGACTGATTTAATTAGGGCATGTTTTTCACCTACTAACATAAAAATATAAGTAAGGAAATAGCGACAAAATATCGAAAATAATTTTGCATCAGTACGTTAAAAGGCGGACTAAATGTGAATATTTATTATTTAGAAGTATATATTAGACCTACCCGTGTCGTAATTTTTTAAACTCAATTTTTAATATTTAAGTAATCTTATTTTAAGGTTTAGATTAGATGCATAGACTAAGGTACATAATAAGTGTATTCGTCAAATCCTATTACTGGTTTATAAGTTAACATCTGTACCTATGTATTGAAAATAACCCTACAGCAGCGTACATAATAATATCTAGAAACAATGGTAAAATTACAGGCGTCCTCCATATCTTGTTACTTCCACAAACAAGGCCCGGTGTCATGTAATTTTCAAGGATGCACTTGTGAGTGCTCAAGGTGTGACAAGAACCACGTCACTGCGTGCAGCTAAGTGTTTTCTAAGGAAGTCCCTTGTATGATGTACCCCGATTTATGTTTGGTCTGAATCTTCATTTACTCTCTTAAGACACTAAGAGTATAGAAAGATGTTTGTTAATTATTGGTTTTTCTTAGGAGTCAGAACTAACGTCATTGTCTTTCCCAAGATAGCATAAACTAGTACACATTTAAGTAAAATACTTTAACGGTTTGAAACGCGATATATACTAGTTAAACTTATTTAAAAAATTATTTTAAGTACGGCCCCATGTTTCGGATGCTTTTGCATCACGGATCGTCCGAGAGCCTAACTCCATCAATCTCATCTAACTATCTAAATAATTTTTTAAATCAGTAACTTAGGTATATTTATCGCGTTTTAAACCGTTAAAGTGTTTTGTTTAAAGACGATTTGAAAATAGCATGGTTTCTAAGTCTATTGGAATAAAGTTTTGGAGGAGCAGGGGTAGTGAGGATCTGTCATGTGGTCAACCGGGAAGCGTACTTGGGCTTTCATTGAACGGTTACGTATTACATTGTTTGTGACGTATTAATTCGTTCTGAATTTGGTTAGTTATATTTATTAAAATGTTTAATAATTTGAAAATTGTTATTTTCCCATTTTATTGCACATGCTGACATTATTTAACTTAATCTAGTTAGATTTAAAAAAAAATACGACACGGATGGGACTTGAACCGAAATACACAGCGTGCTGTTGCTCTAACCAATGAAACCATTGGTTTTAAAGTTATATTTGTTAACTAGCTGTGTCAGCGACTTCGTCCGAAAAATCGCTATGTTGGGCATCCAAATTCGTTTCTGAAAACCCCTTCATCTTTATAAATTTAAGCTGTTACCAAGACGTCGGTCGCATCCCTTACATAACATATGCCGATTCGATGCCTACCCGTGTCGTCGGGGACATTTTTTTTAATCATTTAAACAGAAATCATTCTCTCATACATATGTATCTTGAACCGTTTTTGCAGCGTCCGCAATTGAAAAAATAGATAAAAGGAATAATTTTCTCAGTATTTTGCTGCTTTTTCGATTGTGTACTACACAGGGCGATGTTTTTATAGCCTTCCTCTGTAAATGCTCTAACCAACACAAAAATAATTTTTCAACCGTATTTCCTGTAATTAGCGTGTTCAAACTAACAACCTCTTCAGCTTTACATATTAGTATACATTAGATTATAATTTTATGCTAATGCACATTCAGAACGCTGTTCGTCGTGGGTTCAGATCCCGTCAGTATTATAAATTACATTTCAATTAAAAAAGTAATTAAAACCCTTTTCGTTATGCTATGGGAAAACTATGAGAAAATCGTTTAAGTTTATCATCGAGTGTAATTTTCTTCGGTTAATCACATAGATAAGTGCGTCTTAGCATGTCTTAGTAATTGGTTACTAGTCGACTTTTAGAAATGAAGAATTCGAATAGATTGGATTAACTATGAAAAAGATATTGTTGATTTGTGAGTATTGATTCGAATTGAAATAAAATATAATACTTTTAATTATTACGTGAAGTGTTATTATTAGTATTAGTTTATTTATATCAACTACGACGTTTTGGATGGCTGTGTGTCCTTCGTGTCGAAGTCTACACTACTAAAATATACTACACTAGCGCCATCTGTTTGTTAGTAGTCGGTACTACCTTTTCTTGACTCAATAGCTCAGTGGCTAAAGAAATGTAAAGATTTTTTTGGCTATCAACTATTTGTATAAACACATTGCTTCATTGTACAATATGGAGCGTAGTTACATACAGACAAATATTTAAGAGTAATAGTTTGTCTGTAGTTTACACAAATAGTACCTACACATATAAATAAAACACTTTTAACGATAACTAGTATATTTCGCGTTTGAAACCGTTAAGTGTGTTTTGTTTGGAAGTAAAATATAGTATTAAATTTAATATCTAGTTACATATGTTCTATTTACTGTACAACAGATTACTAATTAACTTTTAACAGTTTAATTTTTTAAGTGTACTAGCATATTTTTCAGTTTATGTAATCCTATTGATTTACGGAAGTGATGGAAGAAGAAAAAGTAAAAAGAGACTTAGAGAGACAAGTTCAGAAGTGAGTTCGTATCGGAATTTAGACCTGCGAGGGCGGCTGAGAAAATCCCTTTTCGTGGTTTGTTATTTAATAATAGTTTTATTCGAGTATTTTGCACTTTGGCAAATATTTGTAATGATGATGAAATGTCATCGGATATTAACTTCAAGAACATCCTAGAAGAGAGACAAATATTTTTTTCCACAACGGAAGATCGAATTCCCGACCCACTATGGTATAAAGTATTGTGACCTCGAGATCTCGGTCGATATTTATGCAATTCTTGTGCAATACCGAAAAATGGTATTGCATACATATTTAAATTACACATTATTTACGGAATACATTTAAACGTCGCCTTTTTTCAAATAGGTAATTTATTATCTTTGGTTATAAAATCTAACTAATATAATATTTTTTACACAGATTAACGCATTAGAAAATCTAGCACAGAATACAATATGTTCACCTATGTCTGCTTTACTTCCTATCGGTAAACTGGCGTTGGGTGCCCGAAATACCACTTTAGAAGAACTCCTTGAAGGCGTCGGTGTAATCAGCCAACAAAAGGTAGAAAAGCAGATTCCCTCTACCTATAAGGACGTTAAAAAGACAGACATTTAAGTGTGTCTATTTCACTGGTAGTATTTTAGTTTAGGTGTTTTTTGACATTTCTAACTGAACGGTATTCAAAATTTTGAACGTGGGAACTCTCGCGTCCTCAAAGTTTAATAAGACACACGAAAGAAGTCATATTACATATTATGCAAGTTTTTATTCCTCAATATATTCGTTTTTGTTCGATAACAATTTAAAAAAAGGTTACAATATAAATTTTGTTTTCTTCGACCGCAGTAAAGAATTCAGTATTACTGGGACTTCCCAAATGAGGTAAGCGTCCCGAAGCCTCAACAAAATAAAGATAATTATTCGTAATCTTTCAAATAAAAAAATACGCTAAAATAATATTTTAAATTTATAATTTTGTATTGTATTTATTGCTTGTTGCATTGAAAAACTTAAAGAATTTGTTTTATAAATTATGTTTTGAAAAATTCAACTGAGTAAATTATTCTATTGCCACAGAGCATCCAAAGACTAAAACACTCTTGACTTTCTCGTTGGTATAATGGTTGCTATGTAGGGCTAATTATCAACTAGTCGTGGAATCGATCCCTACCGGTTCAAATATTTTTCCAAGAATTTTATTTTTTTTCTGAAACGTCAGGAAATCTGGATATGAATCTAGGTTGCGTACCACCGCCCACAGAAGAAAAAGCCGTGAAGCTCGACTGCGTTTCGAATTCAGTCTGTAGATTTCGAAATATGTAAGGCCAATATGGATCGATAGCGCAGCTTGTCTAGATGTAATATACCACCAATTGAACCACATGCTTGTCTGTCGTCTAGTCGGGCCCTGTCTGTAACGACAGCGAATGCTACATTACCTCTTTAGACTGCAACTTACTTTCAATTATCGGTTTATAGTAATTATACCATGAAGTTAAAAATATTAACACCTGTATTTTATTTAACATTTATTTTTGTCTGAAAAATCCCTTTTCAGATAAAACCACATTTCAAACGCCTTATAGCTGAATTGAGGTACCTACCAGGTGTCAAATTGGATTTAGCCAGCAGATTATACATAGACCAACATGCAAAATTAGTTTCCTCTTTCGAATCTGAGGCAAAAGAGATTTTCAACTCCAGTGTAGTGAAAGCTGACTTTGAAAGTCCTGTTATTACAGCAGACAAGATTAATGCATGGGTATTTGACGATCTCCTAACAATTTATCTTAGTACTGAAATTTCCCATGGGGCGAACACATTTCTGTAAATTTAATCGCAAATAATGCCCGATGGAACCAATTAATTCTTGCCCTGAGATTCGAACCTAAGACCTTATCTAAAACATCAAAACTTCGTGCAATGCTTTGTTTTGAATCATGTGGTAGTTAAAATTAACGTTTAATATTTATTTTAATAATTCATAATTCTTACGTTAAACAGTATGCTAATTTTTACACACAATATGCGTACACTTCTAGTGTTATGTATGTATAACTTGTCTGTTGTAGCAAACAACTAAGTACAAAATGGTTTTTCTATATTTCTATGACGAACTTAATCTGTTACTCAATGAAGTACTTAGAAAATAAACACGAAAATCAATAAGATATAGAAACAAATTCGTTGTCTGTTTATTAACTTAACTCAGAGGTATTTTTTTTATTCAATCACACAGCTTGGAATCTAGTCTTTTTGTCGAACTAGTGGTAGGTCGAACTCATATTTTTATTGATGTTTTTTTTTCAAGGTAGAGTCACAGACAGCTGATATGATTCACGATATGATATCTCCAGATGATATTAGTCCAGATTCTTCCGTGATTATGATAAACGCCATCTATTTTAATGTGCGTAAGACTTTTTATTATTTACGTATTGATTCCTTTTTGTCTTTTCTTTCTAATTATAAAGTTTTTTTCGAGGTATTTGAAAAAATAACAGCACGTATACTGTAAATAAAGAAAAATTAAATCATCCGACAACATCATTTATCGTCCAAGGACGTTACGTTTTAAAACATAACGATTTACGGAGTGTTAGAAATAAAAAGCTGCTGAAAACCCTCTGAAACAATAGTTTGAAATAAATTAACTGAATTATATACTGTCTATAGTTTACGCGAGTAGTATACATTCAAATAAAACACTTTAACGGTTTAAAACGCGATATATTAGTTAAAGTTATTTAAAAATTATTTTTAACTCCCCGTGACCACGGTTGCTGCAGAACATCCGAAACGTCGGGCCGAAGTTATAAATAATTTTCAAATAAGTTCAAGTAATATATCGCGTTTTAAACCGTTAAAGTGTTATATTTAAATGAATTATATAGTTAAAAGAGTTGTCTTGACTATAGTTAAATTTGGAAAGAAACGATAAAAAACAGAAATCTGTAAATACTCAAATAGTTTTAACTGAATGAAAATAAATAATAATTTATTATTCAATGTTTAATATTAGTAAATATTGCGTTTTTCTGATCAGGGTAAATGGGCGATGCCTTTCCATAATATACAGACCTCGACGTTTCACACACCATCTGATGTGCGTAGAATTCTCATGATGTCTACAACAGGGCTGTTTAATTATACTGAAAGTGGCGCATTAGACTCTCAGGTAAAAACAGAGTATTGTTATTGGTAAAACTTGACCGCTTCCAGTGATATGTTGACGCACGAAAATGTATAACTTTTATATGTCCCGGATTCTACACCCTGGGAAACTCGATATGATATTTGAATCAGGTTCAGAACACAGGGCCTCAACAAGCTGGTACATAAAATCGGAATTCCCGTCGCACCTGTACAATGGCTAGACAATTTTCTGTGTCTGTTTCATTCCTCTCTCTTGATCTATTTTATTTTTCCAGAATTTAAATCCAGGACCACTTTACGCATTCGGTTTAAACACTAAAATTGGCTGTAGACCGTCGAAAAACGTTTTTAAAGCTAAATTGTTTAAAAACAGCTTTTCACGGTTTAAAACGCGAAATATATACGCCAAAGTTCAGATGCTTTGCAGCGGCAGTATCTACGACCGTAGTTTAAATAAATTGTAAATAATTAATAAATTTTGCGGTTCGACCGTAAAAAGTGTTTAATTTATATGTGTACTACTCGCGTAAATATTACAACGTTTTTAATTAATTGTATTGGTTTTGTTGTTCACAGATTCTAAAACTACCTTACGTGGGTGGTGTAGCTTCTCTCATAATAGTGTTACCGAAAGCCAGAAATGGTCTACCGTTGCTCTTGAGCCAAATCAAGCTGGCCCCGGAGATATTAGACTCGGCACTTGCAGCATTTTGGGAAACCACCTTGCAGGTTACGATACCGAAGTTTAAGATATCAGCTGAGATGGATTTACGTAAATTGTACGAGAGGGTAAGAGTTACACAAATACTAATATAGTCACTTACGTTTAAAAGAAAATCGAGTTATACTTTAGAAGAAGTGAAATCTTGTGCATTTAAATAAAACACTTTGCCGTGGTCCCGAAACGTCGGGCCGAAGTTAAAAATCATTTTCAAATAAGATTAATTAATATATCGCGTTTTAAACCGTTAAAGTGTTTTATTTCAATGTGTACTACTTGCGTAAACTATAGACAGTATTTAACGTTGTGCAATTTTAAATTTTGCGATGATTACGGATTTATTTTTTGATAGATTTAATTATAAGTATAAAAGTACATCTTTTGTAACATCATTGTAAAATATAATAATTAATTATTGCGATATTGTACGCTAAGTAAAAATTAGAGGTGAGACGAGTAGATACTCAGTTATACTTTGTTATTTGATAACGAGAATACATTATGTAAGGAAAGCAATATATTTAGGTAAATATAATTAAATTAACAGTGTTTATCTTAATAGACATATAATAGCTAGAGATCTGACAAAAATTTTCGATGACACGAACGGACATCGAATCTACGACCACAGCGTACCGAGCTGCTCTAGCTGTTCGTCTTCGTAGATTTTTTAAACTTAAATAAGGTCTATCCTTCTCTAAACTTCTCTATCTAAGTTTCGTTTGTAATTTCTCAAAAGCAATTACCACGTCAAACTACCTGTTGCTTTCTAGATAGGAATAAAGCGCATGTTTAACGCGCAAGAGTCGGGACTATCCAATATCGTGAGGGAAAAGACCGTCTTTGTGTCTAAAGCGAAGCAGAAGGCTGTTATTGACGTAAATGAACGAGGGACGGAGGCTTCGGCGGCGACTTGTGAGTAAATTATAAGCACATTCTCTTGCCTTTGGATATACCATTATACAAGTTTATATTTTTACCCGTCACCGGCGAAAAGGGTAATAATTTTGTCTTTATATGTAGCATATTTATCTAAGCATGTTCTTCAATTGGAAGGGTTGTATTTTCAATTTATAAGAGTCATTTTCTTTTCATATTTGTTGAAGTTAAGTAAGTTAGTTATTTGTAGACGATATTTTTTATTTTAGACAAGGAAATAACTAAATATACCCACTCTTTTACACTTTACTACTAAAAAAAACTATAATACTTTTTATTGATATTTACTTTAGTAACAATAACATCGTATCTTGGCTATAAACGAGCTAATATTCAATAATTAAAACAAACAAGCTGACAACCTATTTTGGCTTTGTATATTCGGTAATCCACAGACTGAAATCAAACCGCTTTTAAACTTCACGGCTTTTTCATCTGTCGGCGGTGGTTATGTGACATGGACGAAATGTTGACATGTCTATCGTCTATTTGATTAAAAACATGTACCCGGTGGGAGGCGAACCCACGTGTCGTTGATTATTAGCCATTGATTACTACCATTACACCAACGAGTTAGCCTACAAAAACATCATCATAAATTAATTTCCCTGTCATAAACTAATTAAGGGGAATAACATTTTAATAAAATCTTTATGGCTAGCATGTGATTTTTTTACTGTGCTGATAAGAATGTGTCATATATTTTATTATTCTATTATTAGTGATAAAGTGTCGAAACTGATATATTTTTTAGATAGAGGATGACAGACAAGCACGACGTTCACTTGATAGGTAGGTGAAATGAACCCAGCCTTATAACATCTAAACAATATGTGTTGTCGACCTATGTTATACCGTAGTACACGGTTTGTGGTTTACATCCCTATCGGGCCAAAAAAATTGCTATACAATTTTTAATTTTTGTTCAAATAATGTTAAAATTTTATTTCAGCGACGACGTTGATTAAGCTCTCGTTACCACAGGTGAAGTTCAGGGCAGACCATCCGTTTCTGTTCATGGTGTTATCACACAAACAACAAATTTTCGCCGGGACCCTCGTGCATCCAGATGTTGCTAAAGCATGAAGAAATGTATCAATTTATTTAAATTCGAAATAAAAGGCATCTCTGCTTAGAATTTTTTATTTACGCTTCTTGGATGCGTTTAATCTTCACACTGATTTATGCAGCTTTAAGTCATTACAGTCTAAGTAATGAACAAATGTCAAAAGACGATAGAAAACTAAAAATGTAATAAGTCTCCCCGTGACCGCGGCTGCTGCAAAGCAGCCAATATCGGGCCGGAGTTAAAAATAATTTTCAAAAAATTAAATTATTTAAATGTAATAAGAAATATTTTATGTCTTATGTGACATAATATTATATACACAAATAAAAACTTCTTTGTAGATCTAGCAGAACCTTAAAATATATTATAAGTATGGTTTTTATCGCACAACATAAACTCTATATTTTGACACTTGAATGTCACTAACAAAAGGTAAACTAATCGAAGTTTCTATGTTTAATTTTCACTCCGCTAAGGGTCGTGAAACTTCTAGCGCATGCGCGGAAAAGTTTTTAACTATTTCCCTCACCCTAATATTCAACCCCAGTAACAATCTACCACCCGCGACGGCTACACATTTTGCAATGCTTATGACGAGCTTACAAACTTTTACGTATTATCTTACGTAAAGATCGTACATAATGGCATCTCTATTGAAACGAGCTTAACAGAAGCAGTTATGGAATATGGTGTCCCTAAATGGATTTGTGTTTATGTAAAAAGCGAGGAATTAGTTATAAATGGAAGTGAAGTTTTTGGTTCATGTAGTGTTGACTCTGTTAGTGTTTAATGTTAGACCGGAAGATGCTGTGACAAGTAAGTAAAGTTAATTAAAAATCTTATAACCAAATTATAAGCTTAATTATAATATAATTATTTAAGTATTAATTTTTTCATGCTTTTAATCTGTATTTATTGCATGTCAGTTGGTCTTTATTTGCGCCAAGAAATATTACACATCTTTAAGTTTAAATCTAAATTAGATTTGAATAATTAAATTCAAGCTTTTTAAACTTTACTCCAGACTTTAACAAGATTTATATCATCACTTAATTCAAAATTATAAAATATAATTTCGAATTAAACAACGTTTTAAAAGTAAGTAATAAATGACTTGTGTAAAATAAATAAAAACTTTTTAAATATTGTAGATGTTGAAAAAGAGGATAGCTCTAGTAAAACCCGAAACGAAATCGTCACAGATAATGAAAAACCTCTCGATTTTCTTATAAATCATCCTAAAACTGACATCAAAGATTATTTCCTGCCAGCTGTTTTTCCAAACCACGATGAAATGGAGGAAGATGAGGATGAGGATGAGTTAGATTATGATTATAAAGAAACCAATTATAAAGATTCCCCAGAACCGACAGCGAAGAGCGACGAAGCAGTCATCGATGATAAAATACCCCTGCATCCAGCGAGTGATAATTTACCAGTGTTTTTACTTGAACCAGAAAATACGTATGTTGTTAAGAATAAACCAGCTATTTTGAAATGCAGCGCTGCTAATGCTTTAGATGTAAGTTATATTTTAATGTTGCCTTGCCTGTGATAGACAGGGTTTAAAACTGAATTCTACTTGATTAAAACGTAATATTAACTAAACAAGCTATACTAAAAGTTTCATAATTTTCTCCGATATTGCGCCATATCAAGATTATACTGATAATCATAATCTTTATGAGGAAGAAGTTTCAATTTATTACTAGAATAATAAAAAATAATTGCGAGTTATTCTTAATAACAATTCTGTGAAAAACATTTGCCTAGTAACAGTAATTACGCCTACAATACGTCATAAAACAAAACTATTATATATATGGTATGTTTCTTAGGCTGCCTGCGTAGCTCTATTGTTTAAACCTTTCCTAGCAGTGGGTTACGCACGAAAGATCCTGGCTTTAAATTCCGCAAATAATACTTTCGGCCGTTCAGGGTACACAAGCCTCCTCATTGACTATTATTTAAATCGATCAGCTGTGTTAACAGGATTCTATATTTCTCTTCCTCCAATAAAAATATTACGAGGGTAAATTACTAACAAGCCGTGTAATCAGACATAACTGTTTGTAGGTTTATTTTAATTGTAATGGAGTAAAAACGCAAGCGTCAAATTTTGAGTTCGTGGACCCTCAAACTGGAGTCAGGATAATTGAAGGAGAGTATAAAGTGACCAGGGATAAAGTCGAAGAATACTTCGGAAGTGAGAAGTACCAATGTTCATGTTTCGCTTGGACAAGTCGCGGTCATGTCTGGAGTCAGCCGGCTACAGTGGAAATTGCTTGTAAGTTATAGATAATAACGGACATAAAATAAAATCCAATTTTTTCCTATGTTAAATTGATCTAATTCTTGAGCTATACCCAAATATATTTTACTCATTAGAATGAATGAAACTAATAAAAGTTCTAGGAAATATTTTTACCAATTAAAAACATGAGCGTAACGTGGCGTATACTAACGTTTAGAAATTTAATATATAATCTGTAATATATAATTCTGTAGTTTCAAAAATACTTGTAAATTATTAAATCAATACACATTATTTTCATAAATTAGTTCGACAGCTCTAAAACTTTAAAATTACTTCACCAAACAAGATATCTTAACCCTTAAAAATAAAAAGAATTTTAACGGTAAAGCGCGAAAGATATTCGTTATTTTTAATTGTGTGCTGCAAAGCATCCGAAACGTCGGGACATAGTTAAAATAAAGAAAGTTAACGAATATATTTCGCGCCTAAAAGTGTTTTATATAAATGTACACTACTCTCATAAGCTACAGTCTTTAAAAATCCAGTATATCTCACATGATTTTCAATTTTTCATTAAGTGAATTCCATTTATCACGGGGGTAAAGTCATCCAGATAAGTTTATAATAAAAAAAACAAAGTCACTATTTAGTCTGTCCTAAATATTTATTTATTCTAGTACACAAAACCAGCAAAACACTTTAGATCTATATAAGCACTATGACAAAGAAATATCCGTTTATTTATAGAGCCTCAAGTACAAACCGCTTCAAATATTTAAAAGAATCCATTAGCAGTGTATAATGGTGCGCCTACATTTGTAGATATAAAGAAGCATTTCACAAAAGCACCCCAATCTCAGCTGGTGAAATTGAACAGCGGAGCGACGTTCCGCTGCGAGCCACCCCAGGCCGCGCCGTTCGCACAGACCTACTGGCTCAAAAATGGTGCGCCGGCCGTCGCTGATGATAACGTTCAGATCTCCAAAGACGGAAGCCTGATTATTAAACAGGCCACGCTGTTGGTGAGTTCTGAAATTGGATTACATTTGGAAAATTATTAGTAACTAGCGACCCGCCCCGGTTTCCATCGGATGCGATGCTGATACTTAATACAACAATAAACATATACCATCGCGAAGTTTTCTGAAGGCATTTTTAATGTGTACAATACTTAGTACATGATTTTGATAAACCTTGTAGTGTTCAGCCTGCGGTTGCAAAGCCAAAAAAATTGAAATATCCACGACATCACATAAGGATATAGGGACAGAAAAACCAACTTTGTTTTATACTAATTAGTGATTCGTTAATTCCCGCCAATTTTAAGTTGGCCATTACTTTTTCTTTAATCATATAGGAGGACCGACAAGTATGGGCTCACTTGATAGTATGGATGATATACCTAAGCCTAAACAAGATGTGTTATCGACCTATTTTGGCTATGGATATTCGAAAATCCACTGACTGAAACCAAAACCGAACCTTCGCTGTTTTTTCACCTGTTGGAGGGGGTTCTTTGAACCGGACGGAATTTCTATATTCCTACCACCCATTCAACCCACAACCCGTTGATTATTAGCCACAAATTACTACCATTAGACCAACGAGCCCGTCAGAATATTCTGTGGTGTGTCACGTTTATCTAGCAAAGTTGACAAGCTGTCAAGTCAAGTTTATATCTTCGTCATAATATTATGAACAATTGGAATCGTCTCTGTCATCAAATTAAAATTTTAAATCTACTTAAATTAAATAGATATGCGATTTTATGGTTATTTATCGAATACTAATGTAATAAAATTCATTTAAATATAATTATTAATTATATTTTTCATCTGTGCTTGAACAGCAGTCATGGCCACCAAATTCCCGCGAGCTGCGATATTAAGTACATTCACACGCGTTGCGTTTTGACAGCATACTTTCTTTTCGCGATATAACGCGTTCTACTCGTTGGCGGTGGACGTGTGCGCAGTTTATTTTAAAATATTAATTAAAAGTGCTATTCAACTAAGCAAAAAAGTGATCAAGAATCAAAATTGCTGCGGCTTAATTGGCAGTTCCGACTAGTGTCGATTGTGTCGTTTTCTTATCTGACTACAGATCGCACGCGCAGTGACGTAATTTGTGTAAACATTCGACAGTGAAATTGGACTCGCCCGCAAGAAACATTACTAACGAAAAGCTACACCACAAAAAAAAATTTGGATAGCAAAAATATTGTGTTAGGAATATTTATTGATCTCCAAAAAGCGTTCGATACAATTAGTCACATTTTTGATCAAGAAGTTAGAAAAATCAACAAAAGGGAATGGCACTAAAACTTCTAAAATATATTTAACTAATAGACAGCAGAAACAAATAGACAAAATCAAAGTAATCCTCCATAACATGTGGAATTCCAAAGGATCAATTCTAGGACCTTTGTTGTTCTCTCTTTCACAATTCCAGGAAAATCTAACGGCCACCTTACCCTTTGCGGATGATACTTGTCTATGGATATCTATCATTAACATAGTTAAACAAGCGCAATCTGATCTTAATAAACTAACGAATTGGTTCCAATATAATTTTTAACATTAATTACGCAAAACAAGTTATAATTTTTAAACTAAAAATAAAAAAAATCCATCACACCCCCCTCTGAAAATTAATAATCAAAATTTAGAACAAAAGCAAGTTGAAAATACAGGATTACATAGACAGTAACTACTGGACTAGTCATATCGAGAACATTAAAAGTAAAGTTTCCTCAATCTTAAGTTCCATACGCAATATTGCTTCCTGTATTCCTCAGAAGTTGCGATATACTATATACAATAGCCTAATAAAGCCTCATTTTCTATACCTAATGACTGTGGGGAACTGTCCAAATCAAAGTTATCAGACCAAAGACTGCAAAAAAATTATAAAAATTATTTTTAAATTACCTTATAGCAAACAAACAATTTTATAAAAACTAAATTACTTAATTTAAATCAAATGTATATTTATAATATATGTACATTTATCTACAAAACATTATCTAAAAAACACAAAAGTGAAATAACTTTACATAAGAATAAACAAAATAATTATAAACGAAGTCTTCCCGCGCCATTATCTTATCTTGCCAAAAATAAGAAAAATTATGGAACAAAATGTTAACATTCCATGGAGCACAGTTGTTTAACAATCTCCCATCGCACCTCAAACGTTTGCCGCCAGTGGCGTTCAAAAAAACTTTTCATCCATGTGTTTACAAACACAGCGTAATGCGTAATCCTTAGTCACAATAATTTCTTGAGCGTTGCACGCGGGTAGAATTGTAAAATTAATTTTGATTTGTATAGTTTCTCAAGTAAGTGATCTTGTTCTTTTTTGAGAAATAAATGTCTTTAAACCTTAAACCTTACTTTCTTTTCACTACTTCAATTCTATTACTAAGTAGAATATTATTATTTCGTAATAAGTACATATCTACAAAGATGTATTTGGATACATAGAAAAATCTGACTGTTGCCCTATTACAAACGCGTGTTAGGAAAACGTTAATATATAGTATTGTACTGTTTCTTAAATATTGACCTTGTTTGACTTATTATAAGGTATCTATACATGAATTTTTATTATTACTATATCTCCAATTATATCCTTATAACACAAACTTTTACAAAATATCTTAACTCTTTATATCATCCGCCATTTTGTCTGCTTGATAATGCGCGAAGTGGCGGCAAAATTAAATTGGTGAATGTCAATGTCATTCATTACATATATTTTCACTAAATCTAGTGTCTTCAGTTAATGTCGTGGTCGTTCTTTTTAGGGAAGGAATGTTTTAATTTAATATAAAAAGTTGGATTAAGATTTAATCAGTATAAAAAATTTAATTTTCCTAGCGCAGGAAAAGCAATTTGCGAGCGAAATTCAGAATAAAAAAGGCGCTCAGTCTAGACAAAGTGTATTTCCAGGATATGGCGAACTACACCTGCGTCGCGGAAAATGTAGCCGGGAAAAGGATGTCTGAGGCGGCTCTCTTGACTGTCTTTGGTGAGCATTTTTCGGGAGTCCCTTTCTCCATTAATTCATTCGCAACTACAGAAACAGTGAGGGTATTCAAAAAGTGCGAGTAAAAAGGATCTTTCGAGATTTTAGGCATTTTTCAAACTCTATTGTTGTAATATAGTTGTGTCGTTGCATTCACTTACTTATGCACACATACATATAAACATTACGCGAGATGTGCATATATGATTCGATAGATGTCATGGGTTCGAGGCTCGCTCGATTTTTTTTACTGAAATAAATTGCATTGAAGTAAAAATATTAAATACTATTTGTCAATTTACGCGAGTAGTGTAGATTTAAATAAAACATTTAAACGGTTTTAAACGCGATATATATTAGGCTGCCGTCGTGGCCTCAAGGTCCAGCCATGAAAAATCGACTCCTAGTTAAAAATAAGTAACTAGCTTGTTGTGTTTTAAATTGTTAAACGTTCTTTTAAATGGAAAGTCCGGAACTATAAAGCACTAGCCGTTCGGGAGCAATCGAACAGTCGGGCCGTAGTTATAATAATTTCAAAATAAGTTTAACTAATATATATCGCACTTGAAATCTTTCAAATGTTTTATTTAAATAAGTATAAATAAAGAATTTTATTATTATTATAAATGTTTTTGTCAACAAAGCATTCTTAAACTTCTTCGAGTTAAATTAGTTTTTATAAATTCGTAGTCAATGGAGGATGGTCGGCGTGGTCAGCTTGGAGTGATTGCTTCTGCGCTGGACAGCCACGCGAGCAAACTCACGGCAGAAGACGTGTGAGGAGCTGCACTTCACCAAGACCTTTGAATGGCGGTCAAGCGTGCGTCGGCCCTAGTATACAAAAGACACAAGATTGCTTCGATTGTGATTTAGGTAAATACTTAATTTTATAGATTCTTAAATAACAGTCAATATAATAATATATTTCTTTCTTTTTAGATGTTTATGTGGATAGCTTGGATGAATTGGCAGATGAATCTTCAGATATAATTATAGGTAAGAATTTAAAGAAAATAATGAAATGTTTTGTATAAAAAGAAATAAAGCAAGTCCTATTTGTTTACTTTCAAAATCTGACATTTGTGTTTGGTCTGTAGCGTTCATTTGCTCCTATTAGTAATATTGTTCATCAGGTCGTTGGTCAAAATGGTCGGAATGGTCGAGGTGTGACTCCGACTGTCTCCAGACAAGAAGACGACGATGTGTTACAAGCACTGCTTGTCTTGGAAAAGATTACCAGGTGGCGCAGTGTCCCCTTTGCATACGAACTTCTAAATCGGATCTCTTACGTGATAGTAAGTTGGATAAGAAGAAATATAAACATATAGCTATGAAAGAAATTTTGTAAAATGCTTAGGCGTTTATATTTATTTAAAAAAAAATTTTTTTGAATACAGTTAAAATGTTGCAATTAAGAAATTACTCGTTGGCTTTGGTTGTGGTTTATACGAATATACACATTGAATTAACTACTTTTAACAGTTTAAAACGCGATACATAGTTGTTGCGTGTAGTTAAATTTATGTGTAAATTATTATTACATGTAACTTATCTGTAACTATGGCCCAACGATTTACAGCAGCCGTGGTAAAATAATTTCCAAATAAGATTAACTAATATATATCGTAATTTGAACTGTTAAAGTGTTTTATTTAAATCGACCTTTTACCTCACTACTTTAAAACTGCCATTAGAATGTTCCTTAAGTAATATTTCGGGCAACCCGGGATTCGAACCTTGGACCATGTAGACTACAAACGAGAGCACTGGCACACAACAAGGCAGCTAGTATAATATGTACCATTGTAATAAATGTTTCCTTTTTTACACCTGAGACTTACTACTTGAGATCCTTCCACTTACAATATTTTTATTTCAGCTTCGTCATATTGGCCGCTGTTCATCATAATATCGATAGCATTTTTAATATTTGTCGTAGTCGGAGTATTAGTTATAAAATACATGAAAATAAAAATGGCCGAAAATTCACCGTACGTTAAACCACCGCCAGGTAATTACTTATATATTCGTTTCATTTAGAAGGTTTAGTTTTGGAAATATATTTATCATCTTATTATATTTAGGTTCAAATTATTTTGGAAGTGTGATAAAACGAACTCTAACAAATCAACCGGATTTGATACATGAAGAGTTTCAAACAGTAACCAGACAGACACACAGACAAACAAGTAATAATGTTCGTCACGAGCATTTGTATGAAGTACCACAATTGGCTAATAGGTAAGTTTTTCATCATATTAAACTTAATACAGTAGTTACTTCGTAATCAATTTTAATATTTACTTATAAATCAGTGTAATTATCTAATAAATTCGCTGATGTGGCAAATGTTTGTTTGTTTGCAACATATATGCTGATAACAAATAATTTGTAATAATGCATGTATTCCAACAGAATGCGGAAATGTTTCAATGGGAATTACAGAGAGATATTTATTTTATACGTATTTTTTGATTTCTTGAACGTTCATTGCAGCACACGCAACAGAAGTCACAGATGAATAGTTTTCCCCGGTAAATAGTCTATCAAAGACAATTAAATTTTCCATTAAAATCCTACGATAACTGCGTTTAAAAAAAAAAAAATAAACTCTCCAGAAAAATGTTTTAATAGAGGATAAATACTTTAATATTTTTAGTGCTAGTAGAAAATGTAATTATGTATAAGGGATTACTGATGCTTATTTTAAAACAGACTTTGTTCACAAACGTTCACATAAATATACACATAACGCTTTCGTTGACAATGATAGTGAAGTCAAGTGTATATTTTATTCTCTTACAGTTTGAATCCTCCATATTCATGTTTTGTGAATGATTTGAAAATCTAGATTAAAATTCATAAAAGCTTGGATTGGGATATTTCACGTGAATTTTATAAAAAATATTAAAAAATTCAATAATTATAGATGATCTAAATAATAGAACAGCTTTGATTTTATCACACTTATTCTCGTGCAAAAGGCACTATCATAAATTGAAAAAAAATTACGTCTCGGGCAGGATTTGAACCGGCATCCACAGCGCTCCGCCCTGTTGCTCGAACTAAGAAAATATAGTCTGAACACTTTTCTTTTTTATTTACCCTCATTATTGTTCGCAGCTACATGTCACCGATAGACCACGAGGTAAGCAAAGATCGACCCACGGAAAAGCATTACGCTTGCAAGGACCAAGTGGAGTCCGAAAGATCTGATTCCAGTTGCTTTTTGAGCTGTGAGTGGCTTCCAATATTCACCGAAATTCACGAGAATATCTTGTTACATTTTAGTAGTAGTACATTTTTAATGTAGTTAAATTTTTTTTATTTGAGCTTTTTGGCTGTTGTAAAGTAATATTAAATTATTTAATATAATTTAGTATAGAAAATTATAATTTTTATTTATAAATAATTTTGACGGTTTAAAAAGCGTAATTTATTAACCTTACAAATTATTTCAACTAAGTACGAGCCGAAGATCCGGATGCTTTACAGCAGACGTGGTCCCGTGACTCACGTGAAAAATGTATACTATTCGCGTAAAGTATCTATACATTTTGCTTTTACGGTTAAAATCGAGAATACAATACAAGTTCATTTTGCTTATGCGTATACGCATATTTCTATATTACTATCTTCACTTATACATTTTTTAAGGCTTTTGCAGCTCACCAATCATTTGAGAAATGATTTCTTAAATACGACGTGCTAACCTGAACCTTTTAAAACAAGCACATAACTTATATATATTTGACTATATGTTTCTTACCGTTTTTTGCCTGTTCGCGTCTTAATTCTCCGCTTATTAGAGTTTCTGTTGCTTCACATATTTCTTTGAATTGTCAATTCCTTTTTGTTTTTATGAGTGCTTTAATTTTTCTAGCGGGCTCATCGTACGGCAATGAAAGTATAGAAATGTCGCCATCTTTAAAAAATAACGCATCCGTTGATTCCAAGAATGCTATCAACCAACAGTACTTGGAGACGACCACTTCAAAAATAGTGATGACTGATGGCGATTGGTTGAATTTAAATAAATGTGGTGTTAGTCTTTTCGTCCCCGATGGCGTAGTGGATAAGGGGGAGGAACTATTCTCTCTTGAGGTCACTGACGAGGAATGGAACAGGCCTGTGTTACAAGAAGGTAGGATATAATCTCGGCGCTATAGTAATATCAATATGAATATGGTTCAGTGGTGAATAAGTATTTTTTTTGCAAAACCGTAATATTTTTCACATGTTATTGCATATTTTATATAAAAATTTACGACACGGGCAGTTTTTAAACTGGCATATTCATCGTTCCGAGCTGTTGCTCTAACCAATTGAGCTACCGTGTCTTACATATCCTGAATTTCTAATCTTTTTTTTGTTTATGCTACCTTTTTTGAAGCCCAAATGACAACGATTAACTTTTTCTGTAAATATCAGCAGTCTAATTAGTGAATCAGACATTATATCGAGGCAAATTCAGTTAACCTTAATTTGAATTTAATTTTTCTCATAAAATTGTTTATGGAAAATACTTTATAAAATTTTCCACTGTAACGTCATTGTATAACTATCTATTAGTTAAACAAAGTCTTATTTACCAGGTGAAACTCAACTCAGCCCCGTGGTCCGATGCGGACCAAAAAACTATCACTTCTCAAAGGCAGTCGTCCTCACTTTTCCGCATTGCGCTGCTCTAAAAAACTCGAGCTGGATGCTTTCAATACTTCAAAAGCCAGAGGAAATAAACTCGAGAGAGTGGAGAAAAGTTTTAACTCTCGGTCAAGAGACGCCGGGGACACCGATATTCGCTCAAGTCGATCCCGCTAAAGTTTACTTAGTGTGTGAATTTCTGAGCGACTTCGTTCTAGTCGGCAGGAGTTTCAACGGCCTAGATGCGAAACTCCTGAAACTGGGCGTGTTCGTTAATAAAACAGACGACGATCACTATTCCCTCAACCTTCGGGTTTTCAATGATACACCCTATGCGTTCTACGAGTGCTTTGAGAGCGAGAGACGCGCGGGCGGGTTCTTGCTCTGCGAACCGAAGACCTTGTACTTTCAAGAGAACTGCTCCGATCTTTGCTTCAACGTCAGGGACGTGGGAACCGGCTGGAAGATCCAACCGGAAGCAAAGTACCAGGAGCTATCGTATCTGCACGTGTGGAACATGAGCGTCAGATCTCTATACTGTGTGTTCTCGTTGTCCCAAATCGACGCGATCAACTGCCTAGAGCTGAACATCACCGTCTATCAGAAACAGAAGCAATCGAATTCCGTGAATTTCAATTTGAAAACGAACGATTTTAATTCGAATCTCAATTGTAATAAACGCTTTAGCTATTCGGGCGGTGAGATCGGGTGCGGCATCAATATCCTGGAAAATCCGTTCAATTACTCTTCGTTATCGAAAAGGGAGGGCCGTTACGATTTCATTCACAGGAACGCTTACAGAAATAATTGCTCGCTAGACAATAATTATTATAGGATTAACGTGTTGACGAAGTCCGATAGGGTGGTACTGTGTAAATTGTTGGACTGTCAATCGTCGAAAGGTAACGATTGGCGTTTGCTTGCTGATAAATTGAAGTTGACCTCGTATTATTACTATTTCTCGAATACATGCTCGCCGACGGAGAATATTTTGAATCTGTGGATGTGCAGGAACAACGACGCGAACATGCTGGTGAGTCTGTCCAGGATCTTTAGGGAAATGTCCAGGATCGACTGCGCTACTGTGGTCGAGAGGCGTTGCTTTCCTAACTAGACTGAATTCTACTTAAATTTGCGAAATAAGTTTTTAAAAAACACGAGCCCAGTCTGAATATTATATTATATTTATTTAATATTTTCACCTTATAGATATGTACTAATAGATATAAAATTGTCAAATTATAAGACGTTCTTTACATGTTTGAAACGGCTGTAAAACTTTATAAGAATGAAAAAATTATTGAATATTCGTTGGTCAATAGTTTACTTGAATATTGAAGTATTTTAATTTTTAACGTTACCGGTAAAACAGTGTTTCATATCAATTGAAATATACACGTATAGTTAGTTAGTTTAGCTTAGTTAAGTTCACGAAGTTTTATTTCATCTTCTAGTTTCGCAAGGCACAATGAACACACAGATAATTAATTTCTAAGAATACAGGTTCAAAGAAAAGTCGTCAAAATTGATAGAAAAAAATGTAAGAAAGTTGTTTATATTTTCGATTTTTGTTAAAGTGCGTGTAGGCGTAGCGCTTGAAGAAATGTTTTGAACATAGCTGTTTAAAGAGAACCAAATAGATGGTATTAGTTAAGCAAAGTAGTGAGTTTAACTTTTTGAAATAAATTTTTAAGCAAAAAATTATATTGTTTTATTTATGACCTTTTTAATTGTGCAATAGACTAAACATCATTTAAATTTTAATTAAATTAAAATTAAAACACTTTTATTCGTAGTACGTTTTAAAACGCGAAATAATGTATACTAGTTATCTCATTCACGAGAAAACACAAACAGATGGCGCTAGAGTCGCAGAATTGACTTTGATAATAGGGACACCCACAATTTGTACTACTGCATTGTCTATAATACTAGGGTAAAACTTATTTTTATAATTTTTATTAATACATGCTTTATGTTGTTTTAAATTTACGACTTACTAACTCGCGTGACTGGCAATAACACGGCGTTTGCCTTTGTTGCATAATACGAAACAAATAAGATATAAATAATTCACTTCAAGTTTAAATACACGTGTTTTGTTTGACCTTGGGTTTATTTATAGCTTGTTTTATATAGGTCGAATATGTAAGTTACAAAAATCGAGTTATTATAGTTATATGCGCATCTGATTTCCAAACTTCGATTCCTGGTTATCTAAAAGGGTCCTTTTCAAATTTTGCAGTAATTAACTAATATATTTCACAATTCGCTAGACTAGTACACATTAAATAAAATCTCTTTAACGGTAATAAAACGCGAAATTAAATTATTTCAATTAGGCGTTTATGTTTTGGGATGCATTGTAGCGGGGTTTATTTCGCGTTTTAAACTGATAAAAGTGTTTTATTGTAATGTACGTACCAGCATGGCAAATCCTCCTCTGTTGCTTAATGGTTAAACGTGTTGCCTAACATTGCTTTAATTACATTGCCGAGAGTTGAACCCTGTTCTCATCCCCCACCATATCCCGGGAAAAAAGTCTGTTCAACTACTTTTCTGTAAATTAAACCGATTAGTGAAATGGACACGGAAATATGTCCCATGCCCCGCGAAAGACAACGGGTATTTAATTTTACGATATATGATGTTTTCTAACTTCATAAAGCACCCGAATACAAAAAGTAGTTGATTATAAAAAAATGTTATGTTGTTATAATTAGATAAATGTGTCTAGTTACAAAAATGATTACAGGCCACAAAAACATCGTATCAAAACAGGCACTAAGCAATATACCAAAATATGTATGATTGCTAAATAATTTGTATGACACAGTTCCCATGTTTCCTCCTCGGATACGGAGTATTCAAGTATTTATGTTAGGGCTGGAGCCGCCCGCGATTGCATTGTTTAATAATTGATACCTGTTCCTACATTACTCTGTATTGATCTGGTACAGGGTGTAAGCGAAAGCGATTTTCATACAATGAAGAGGAGACAGGAAAATTCAATTTAATGTAATAAAATAATCATTTAACTCGCCGATAAGAACTATTAATGTAGTTTTAAGTATATATTTGTGATGGAATAGAAAGTAGTATATATTGTTTAAATTTTGTACTGGTAATCGTTAAACTTAAAAATATATTACATTAATTTAAAATATAAAAAAAGTTTCAATGTTTATTTTGTTAATAGGGTATAAATTAAATTGACAGTTGATTGAACAACAATACAGAATGATGGTCACAGGTTCGATTCCTTCTAACTTTTTATGTGTATTTGATTTCTGAAAATATTTTTATTAGAATAAAATGCTTTTTACGTTTCTAATGCTTTGCTGGAGCAGTGGTCATGGGGGGACTGACGATGGAGACGTCCCTAATGTCAAAAGACTATGAAAGAGTAATTTCTCGCTCTCCTAGATAGTCCGTATTTTGGCCTTACTAAAACTGAGTCTACTCTTGTAACTTTTACCACCACACCCTGTAAAGATTTCACTAGCTACCGTTCGTTTTTATTAAAGAAAACCCTTAATAAAGATGAGAGTTTTACACGAATGCCTTTTGCTGTTGGAAAATCAAATAAAAACCTTTAATATAATTTCATACCTGTCAATAAATACATTTTACTACTGATTTATGATTGTGGCATAGGAATCACTTGATGGCAGGTATTACCCCAGAAATGTAACATCTAGACAAGATGTGCTATCGACCTATTTTTGTTTTACATATTCGTAATCCGCAGATTGAAACCGAAACGCAATAAAACTTGACGGCTTTTGTATCTGTAAAAAGTGATTCGTGCCCCAGATGTAATTTCGATGTTCCTATCACTCATTCAATATACAGATTTCCAAGCGAAATACAATATGTTAAAAAAAAGTTAAAATGGATTAGTAAAATGTTGGATCCCATGAGAATCGAATCCACAACCCGTGGATTTTGAGTTAAACGTTGCTACCGTTAGACCAACGAGTCAGTAAGATATGATTGCTAAATACCTATACATATACTAGAATCCACAGACTATAATATGCATATTTAACAGCAATTTTATATAACACTTATACGTTTGTCTAAATTTGTATTATAGTACGCTCTGTTTTATAACCCAGGTTGGGTTATAAAACAGAGCGTCTGTAACTCACACACTTACCTCCTGTTGAAAAATAAACACCATTTTGATGACAGAGGTACAAATGTTGCCGCGTTCATCACAAAAGGTAACAGATAATGCTTTCACTCGGAGAGGGTTCTGATAAGGACCTCTCATCAACTCAGCGGAGTGTAAACATCTGACAATGTTACGTCAAGCCATAAATAATAACACACGTATAATAAAATAAATTAAATGCGTTAAGCGTGTTGGCAGCTATGCGTCAATCGTGAGAGGACATGTTCGGATCAAGGGGAAACATCCGTTTATCCAAAGTTTAAATAGGTCGATAGCACATCTTGTTTAGATGCTATAGGCTGGATTATTTCACCACATTAAAAAAAAATCGGTTGAGCAGGACACACAAAACTAATCACCTACATGACAATAAAGTAAACAGTGTGAAACGGACACAGATATGTGTTCGCCCCATGCCAGAAAATTAAAATTGATTTCACAAATATTAAAACTTAAACTTTTTTAACAGTCTTAAATGCAAAATATTTGAGTATTTTTTTATAGAAGCAACGGATGTTTTGCAGCAGCCGGAACAAAGAGATTAACACACACGTATACTAATATATAGGGCTAAAGAGTTTGTTTGTTTCAACACACGAATCTCAGGAACTACCGGTTTGTGTTGAAAAATTATTTTTGTGTTAGAACATTTATCGAGGATGGCTTAAGACTAAAATCATGCTAAAACCAATGGGAGCGAAATCAGTCCAAGATCCCAAAAAAATAGGTTTCGAAGAACGATTCCCCTTTAAATGATCTAAAATGGTATAATAAAAACATTTCACTGTCACTGTTTATTTGTCATTATAATTCTGCCAAAATCAAGGGTGTCGTTGGAGGAATGTTGGAATGAAAAGGCAGCGGCAGAAATAGTCGATGCACGCCGCCCACAGTCCGTGGAAGTGTTTATCGCAGTAATCCAAGCACTCTCTATCGAAGTCGCATGCTGGAAATAACAACAGAACATATAGAACAATCTAGAAGTCATTATCATCAGTCCAAGAAGATGAATTTAATCTATGCGACTTCGAATCTATCTTAAGGACCCTCATCCCCCCCCCCCCCCTGGTTAGTTTAAACTTATATAAGGCCCCAAAAATTATAGGTATGTTATCATTTAAAAACAAACTATTTTCTTCTACGTTTGTCCCTTTTCATAGATGAGGGAAGAGGGCCCCCTAAGCTACAAGGCCCTTGTGCACTGCACCAATTGACCCTACGATACCTACGCCGCTCATTCTATTCTGGGTAGTAGATAAAATTAATTGTATAACGTCGAAGTAATATCTGTTTATTTTAACTACGCTTTGACGTGACAGATACTTAGCACTACGATGAAACAGGTGGCAGGAAATTTCACTGATTTACGAGGGTACACTCGATCTTTAGTCCCTTCGTGCAAGATCGGGTAATATTTCGCGTTTTAAACCGTTAAAAGTAATTTATACAAATATATCAGAGAAATCTTGGTTTTGGGGCATCGGCTTTCTTACGATGGTTTTCCTAATCATAGAGGACGTGTTTTAATACAGCGATAATAAGAATTACAATTTTTGTTCCTACCCTAAATTATTATTACAGTGTTCCGAAACAAATCCAGAGTAGAGCTAGTTAATATACAAAAAAATTTTTTTTCGAACTTGAAATAATAAATAAGAATTTAGATCACAATATAAATAGCCAATAGGCTATGTAAAAAAAAATATTAAAAATATATATTTTAGTCTATGGTCTCCAAAAAAACTAACTTTGCTGGTACTCTGAACGCGCTCCAATTTCAATTTACAAGGCAATAAAATCACTTTTAAAAGTTACATAAAAACGTACGTTGCATGGGTGGGTCCGCCGCTACCACAGATAATACAGCCATAGATAATAACAACGCTAAGAAGTTCATGGTACTTGAAACCAGTTGCGTACTACCCAAGAAAATC